AAAAACTTTCATTTTATAATTCTAGAATCACAAGAAACCTAGTAACAAATTTGTGTTCAAAAGCCGAAGAAGCGTTTGTAGAAATATACGTTATAACACGTGTATAGATGTGTACATATATACGTGTAAGTATATATAGAGAGAGGAGAAGAAACAGAGCTATTAATGAAAAGAAAGAAAAAAGGGACAGAAACGTACCAAAAGAAGTAAGAGAGAGACTTATAAGTTGTAACCTAAATATCATAAAAGACCTTTCCATTTTCATGCATCCTATTTTATTATTTCTCATCATCTTCCCTCCCTATTTTTTTTTGTCACTTTTCTTCGCATTTAATTTAATTTAATTCATTCCTCTTCTTCTCCTAAAACTAAAATAAAATATAGATCCGATTTTCTTCAAAAATTTAATTGTCTTCTTTTTTAAAAAAATAACTTATACTTTTTAATTTTGTTATGAAATAAAAATGCTTCAAGTTTTTACTCTTGACTCTCTCTATATTTATCCTTCTTCTTCACGCCGCCTACCAAATATAAACACTCTCTCTATCTCTCGCCATCCTCTCTCTCGCACTCTCTTTGCATTTTCCTCTGAACTTTCCCAGGAAAATTTATTTTTCTGATTTTAACCTTTCATTATTCTCTCTTTTTTTCTTTTCCTCTTCCGGAAAAAAATTGTTATCTTTTTCTTTCCTGGTTTTTAATCTCTCTTTTGTTTCCTTTTCTCTCTTTGCGTGTGTGAGATTTTTTCCTCCATCATCACCTTTTGCCGATTGGTGATTTTATATGTTAATGTAGGTTCTTCAACCTCACCGGTATTCTTCTCTTTCTCCTAAACAATTTCCTCTCGCATTGTCACTGAGATTTTCCTGCAAATGGGTTTCGTCGTCTTAAACATGGAGATTTGATCGGAAGAAAAGATCGGATTTTTCCTTCTGTGATTGTGAGTTTTTTTCTTTTCTTCCCTTTTTTGGTCTTTGATCTTCAGTACATTATCTCAGTTTCTTTCTATTCTACAAAAATTTGTTTCTTTTCTAAGATTTGTGTGTGATCGTAGAGATTTTCTCCTCTGATTTTGGTCCGTACAGTTTATAGACACTGATCAAATCTGTCGATTGTTCGTTACTTGCTTCTTTTGTTTTGTGTTAGGACTCATGATCCATGTCAATAGTGTTTGATCTCACAATGCCGCTATGAAAGACTTATATGTAAATGATGGTTTTGAGTGATTCAGCTTCTAGTGACACTGAAATTATCTTAAGACAAAAAAAAAACTGATGGAAAAATTAATGTTTTGTTGCTGATTAGTGGTGGATTCTTATCCCAGTGTTTGTTTGTTTTTTGTTGTTTTTGATGTATTTAAGAAGCTACCAATGATTTTTTTTACAATATTTTATAGAGTCTTCTTTATTTTTTCTTGTGCAAAGCTATTACAAGGTCTTCTTGAATAAGAATAAGAACAACAACTTGTGACACGAAAATCTTTTGTCTGTTTCTTCCGTCTAAGTTTCACAAATTTTGTTTGGTGTTTGTTTTAAGCTTAGTGTTCTTGTTTTACAGCTGTCAGGAGTATTATTCTTTGATCATCATAACTTTGGAGTTGAAAGTTTGGATTTTTCCTCTGTTTATGTGTATAAACCATCGATCTTGAGATGGATCAGAGAAGCATTGAGCCAGAGTTTGATGAATTTGAGAAGCTTCTTGGAGAGATTCCGAAAGTTACTTCAGGAAACGATTATACCCGTTTCCCTATATGTTTGAGCTCAACAAGATCATCAACTTCCATCAAGAAAACGGCTCGCTTCGAAGAAGAAAATCTCCCTGATGACCGCACATTCACCTCTGCATTTGCTGAGGGAAACTTCAACTTTGGAATCCCAAATCAAACTCCAGAAAATCCTCAACTTATGTTCATTCCTTCTTATCACTCTGCAAATACCTCACCTTGTGTATATGACAAATTTGATCCAAGAAAACTTGATCCGCAAATGTTGAGGAAGCTGCAACATGTTGGCTACTTTCCTAACATCTCTTCCGGGATCTCACCTGCTCAGCCGCAGCAATACTTACCATCCTCGGAGTCTCACCATCAAGCTTTGGATCAGTCTTATATCAATAGGAGGAATCTCGAAGAAGGAAACTTTCAGAGGCTGAATCTGCAAGAAGAACAGTGTATGCCTGTTAACCCTCATTTCCTCTATCTTTATAATAATAACCAAACCATGGATGCTGCTCCAAGACAGGAGCATTTCGACTATCGCCGAGCTGAACAGTCTAACAGAAACTTGTTTTGGAATGGAGAAGATGGTGATGAAAATGTGAGGAAAATGTGCTATCCAGAGAAGATCTTAATGAGATCACAGCTCGGTTTAAACACAGCTAAAGTCATAAAGTACGGTGTTGGAGACGATGCACAAAGCAGAAGACTTTGGTTGCAGAATCAACTCAATGAAGATCTCGCGATGAACCTCAACAATCTGACGTTGCAGCAGCCTCCAAAGTATAACTCTCTTGCAGAGGCGAGAGGGAAGATATATTACATGGCCAAGGATCAGCACGGATGTCGGTTCCTGCAGAGGAGATTTGCTGAGAAAGATGGGAATGATATCGACATCATCTTTAATGAGATCATTGACTATATCAGTGAGCTTATGATAGATCCTTTTGGGAACTATCTAGTTCAAAAACTGCTTGAAGTATGCAGCGAAGATCAGAGGATGCAGATTATTCATTCCATAACTGGAAAGCCAGGAGTTCTTATCAAAATCTCTTGTGATATGCACGGGTAAAACCGTAAACGCTTTCTTTGGATATGAATATCTCGTAGTGTTTGGTTCTTTAGTTGACGTGGTCTCTTTCGTATAAACAGGACTAGAGCTGTTCAAAAGATAGTTCAAACGGTTAAGAGACAAGAGGAGATTTCAGTCATCATTTCTGCTTTGAAGTATGGCATAGTGACTTTGATAAAGAATGCAAACGGTCGTCACGTTGTTCAACTTTGCTTGCAGTATTTGTTACCTCACTGTGAAAAGGTAACAACTTTCTCTTCGAAGATTTTCCGTTAAACTATTCAATGAAAATTGTGATCATTTCTTTTTGTTTTTTGGTCTCTTCAGTTTCTTTTCGAAGCTGCGATTACTCATTGTGTTGAGCTTGCAACTGATCGACATGGATGTGTTGTGCTTCAAAAATGTCTTGGCTATTCCGAAGGAGAGACAAAGGATCACTTGGTCTCTGAAATTGCCTCCAATGCTCTACTCCTCTCTCAAGACCCTTTTGGGTATATTTATTTTGTCTCTTTGAGCTTTTGAAACCAATTCTTGTTAAACAATATTTGAGAAAAGATGCAAACTTTTCTTTTTGCAGGAACTATGTTCTTCAATACATCTTTGAGCTACAACTTCAATGGGCAATCAACGAAATCCTCGAGCAATTAGAAGGAAACTACACCGAGTTATCAATGCAGAAATGTAGCAGCAATGTAGTTGAGAAATGTTTGAAACTAGCTGATGACAAACACCGAGCTCGAATCATTAGAGAACTCATAAACTATGGTCGTCTTGATGAAGTCATGTTGGATCCTTATGGAAATTATGTCATCCAAGCAGCTCTGAAACAATCCAAGGTAAAAATTTAGACCAAATCACAATTGTTTGATTGATTTAGAATTTAGTCCCTATAGAGTAAGATTGTTTCAAATTCAGTACCTAAAAGATCAGATTGTTGCAGGGGAATCTTCATACTCTATTGGTTGATGCCATTAAGCTTCATATCTCATCTCTTCGTACCAATCCTTACGGTAAAAAAGTCTTATCTGCACTTAGCTCGAAGAAGTAAATCCGCAGGTAATATATCCGGAAAAGTAGAAACTTTCTATCTCGAGATGTCACGGTTAAATTCGTTTCCTTTTTCTTGGCAGTTGCAGATCTGTAGCAAATGTTGCTGTTTGTTGTTGGTAAAGTTACCTTGTAAATGTATTGTAATAAGAGCATAATTCGCAGGTTTTTGGTTTTTATTCAGAGAGACGAAAGATTCAAAGTATGGCTTTGATCTAATCTACAATTTCTCCCTGTTTCGACTCTTCTCTTTGTACAATTTGAAAGACCATGTTAAATGCTTTTACCATATATATATATATATATATATATATATAAAAGGAAAATCGATTATGACCGCAATTATCAAATGTCAAATATCAAAACAGTAATTATCATCAAACTTAGAGTTATGAAGTTTCTGCTGTGGTTCATTCTTTTGTGTGTGAGATGGTTTCTTGGGATAGAAGTAAAATTGTTATTATTTTATATAAAAAGAGGACCAATGAATAAAAAATTAAAAGCAAAAACAAAAGATGGTCATTCACGAATTTTTGAAATAAAAAGTAAGTAATAAAATTAGAAAAAAAAAAAGTGTAACGATCGTGTTTAACAAGATGAATTGATTGTGACTAGAATATAATTATTGAAACCCCCACATCTTATGGGCGATTTTGATTGAGTCAACGTGTCAAAATCACAGAGGGCTAAGACTTTAAAGTCAAAGCTTTATACAAGTACAAGTACAGTGTTTTTTTTTTAAAAAAGAGTGTTTAATCTTTTAAAAATATCTTAACTAAAAAGAAAACCTATTAAATTCAGGAATGAATAATATGGTGGTTTCTAATTCATATTGAATTTTTAATCAGCTATATATTAAGGGAACTACTTTCTTACAAAAATATTTCTTAATTCGATTGGGTACTAGAAATCGGTTTATGTAGACAAAAAAATCGGTTTGACATGATTTCATTTTTAGTCTGGATTCAAATTTTTTTTAAAATATGCCATTAATTTTTGTAAAGTTAATCTCGTATCATTATTTCGAGTTTGATTTTGAAATTCGTTTACATAAATAGGAAAGGTAAAAAAATCTGATTGGTTTGTTTAAAATTTGGTCTAAACGATTCGGTACAAATCTGATCTTCAGGACCGAATCATGTCGGACGGAAAAATCCAACTTTTATTTTTTCTGTCCTCGCGAGTTTAAAGTTTTACAACGCACACTCACACAGAGAGACAAATCAAAGAGATCGGTTTTTGAAAAAAAAAAAAAAAAATCCAAAATTGTTGAGATAAGAAAATTTGTGCAGCAGAGACATGGTGTTCCGCGGCGACACGGTGATGTCCGTAGCCCATCTAACGGCGGAGATTACTCAGCGGTTACGGTGGATTCCGGCGTCGGATCGAATCAGCAGCGGCGAGATGTTGCAACTCGTCTGCTGTTTTCCGCTTCAACAATTGGGTCGATTCGTGTTGTGGTTCTGGAATTATATCTGTGTTCCACCTCCAGAGATTTTATATTTTGATTATGATGATGATGATGATGATGATGATGGTGATCGTGATAACGCTGATGTTTATGGACCATCGTCGTCCTCTTCGATCGTTACACATCATAATTACTATAATCTTCATTTGGAGTGATGAAATTTCGTCTGGGTTTGCTTGTAAAGTTTGTTTTTTTTTTTCATAGGAAAAAATGGTTCTTTTTTTTATATATCTTCTTCTGGAGATTCTTGGGATTATTGGATTAATCGGATTATGTTTCTTAAGCCTTGGTTATAGAATCAGAGAAATGTTTATAGCTTACCTTTCATCATTTTAGCAGTCAAAGGAGCTTGTTTAGATCTATTACTTGCTCGTTTATACCAGCTCTTGAATCTTGATTGATGGAGATAATGAAGTTCTTCGAGTTTATTCTCGCAATATTGGAAATATTGGTTTTGATCTAAGAATGTTTGGTTAGTTGAGCCTCTTCAATGTGTTTAATCTGGTTCTTCATTGATACCGATTATCAAGCAATTCGGGATTATTTTGTTTTCGGAAAATCGGTTTGATCTATAAATGTTTTAGAGTGTTTAACCAGGAGATTTATGAAGCAATTAGGAGGGTAAAGATTAAGGATGTTGAGAGCTCATTAAGCTTAATTTTAGCTTAGAATTTTCGGTAGATCAGTCTTTTGTCGATCATTTCTATTGTTCTTGAAGGGCCCTTATAAGGTTACATTACATATGGCATAATCCGTAGATATGATCAATGGTATAATGCATACCTTTACGTTATCAGAAACTATTGTGGATGATCAAGTTCAGGAATTTTTCTTTATCTGTGATCCTTCGAGATCATTTGTTGCAGTAGGGTGGTCTCAGGATAAAGCAAAGGTACATTTTTACCAAATTTTAAACTCTCTTAGTATGTTCTTTGAGATTGAGATCTTTTTGGGTCGATTTTGTTGTGTTAATGTGTTGTCCTCGAGATCTCCTACTGAATTAGTTCTTGCTGGGCTTTTCTTCAGGTTTGAGAAGTTTAATAGAAGTTTAATGGAATCCAATTCAAGATTTTTGTTGCCATTTTCCACGGAAGGAAGGACAATCTATGGAATCCAATATTCCGACTCCTTTTATTTTCCCTTTCTTTAGTTAATAATTTTTTAGATTATGTTTTTTTTTTAATTAAAAAAAATCAAATAAAATATGTAGATGTTTTCAGTAGTTGTTAATGTAAACTGTTAATATTCAATATTAGTTAGTGAAATTAATTATATTAAACAAATTTAAGTTGGGCCAACAGGCCAAGTCTGTGCGGATAGGGTCCATGTCTTTTCTAAATTTCAAGAGGTTGTATTGTTTTTTGAAGACGTAATTTGTTGTTTGTTGTGTGACTTGTCAAAGCAGAGCTCTCTACACTTATAAACCCACATAATATCTCCACGGATCCTAATTACCGCAACTTCACAAGCATTAGAAGCTCTCATGCTTAATAAAATAGATTCTTGAAATGATGAGACACATACCTTTACCACAGAGCCATAAACGACTTCAGAAAATATAATCCAATTTTAAATTCATAAAAAATAATGTATCTTCACAGATGTTATTTACCTCAACTCCAGGACCAGGAACATTAGAACAGACTGGAATGATGGATGGAACACATACATTAACATAAGATCCATTGATTGTGCAATGACGATCACAACAAATTTCATTTTCAAAGGTCCACAAAATCTAGCTGATGTAAGAACATCTGCATATATATATGTGGATATGGCTAATCTACGTACCTTATAATCAGTGCCGTGCCTAGCCTTAGAGAGACCTAAGGCAAATTATAAAATTTATCATTATTTTATTTTGTTTATTTTGAAACTTTATTTAAAGTTGATATATTGTTAATATAATTATAGTTTTTATCAAACAAAATGTAATTTTAAATATCATAACACATTTTTTCAAATTGTCTATATATATATATATATATATATATCTTTCTACTATACATAACAAATAAAATCAAGTATTTTACATATTTTGATAAAGTTATAAAAAATGTGGCCCTTAAAACTAAAAATAAATTTAGTGGCCTAAGGCAAATGCCTTTTTTTTTATACATATAAATACGGCTTTGGTTGTAATATTGAAGTATATTTTTGTTGTTATTAAAATCCGCCATTAATACACTTAATTAGACGTTTGTCCAAAATGGTCATGGAAATCAAGTTGAGTTATATATATCTCACCTATACATTTTCCAAAAATGCGTCAAAATGATTTTTAAGAAAACATAATTTTGTTTTTAAGGTACAGTTTATATCTAGACACCAGATGCATCCAATGATCCAACAGTCCGATTAGCATCGAAGGATCATCTTAACTGTTGATGGTATTTTGGGACTGGGTGGTTAAATCACTTTTGTGCACGCACGTTATAATAATATACGATTAAAAAGTAAAATATTTTTTGTAATTAGAAAAGACAAGGGTGGTGATTTAATGAGGATGATGAATCAGAAAGAAACATGTAAAGGCTCATCTTTTCTACTACTACTTACCTACTCAAAGGCCAAAGCTATCAAACTTAAAAAAAAAAGAATTAAGATTTTAACGACATCTTAGGATTCCCGTTATTCTTTTATCAGTTACTATACACACGGGTTTGTATACTTTATAAATTATAATTTGTGTTGTATAATATAAAAGATTTTTAATTTAAACTTTAGGAATATTTTACTTGTATGAAAAATATCTTAACAAATACAACCTAATTCGGTATAGAAGCGGTCATTTGATAAAATGTATGAATTGATATACGTTGAAATTATTTGTTCGTGTTTATTTTTATTATAATGTAAACACATTTTTAAATTTTATTTAGTTTTTACTCTAAATTTCTAATTAGTCTCGGTTGTAATCGACCACATATTAAAAAATAAAAAGAAAATAATTAATGTTTTCTAGTTTAAGTTATATGATCACTTAATTGGAGGTTTTATATTATGCACATGAAATTTAGATGATCAGCTTAAACTGCAGGAGACTTTCTGACTTTTTTTATATGTTAACAGTTAGCACACAAAAAAAACATTTACATCCATGTAAGCTACACATCGCCATATCACATTTAAGAAAGTACAAATACCTTTTTATAACTTCTAAAATTACGTAAAGATCTAGTCTTACCCATCGTTCTTTCAGAAATCTTGCACCCCAAAAATCGAGCGTAGAAAGAATTATGGCCTTATGGGAACTACATTCTACTTCTATCTAAATATGAAATCTTTTAATAACACACTGCCTAAATTATGTTATAACAAAAAACTTAGATAATGAATACAAAAGGTGATCATATTGTGATCCTAACTCCTAATCCTTCATAAACCCCTAACTGATTTTTTGTGAGACTTTCCTTCTCCAATATCTTTTTTTTTCAAATCTTCTCTAATATCTTAAGATAGCAATCACCACTTTTTGAAGCCAAAGCCATGATCACATTTACTTCCTTCACTTACAAACTCTTTATAATCTCAGTGAAATTTCAAAACTTGATTTTCGGTTTTGCTATTTAAATTCCGATTGAAATTCTGACTGATGAATCAAAGAGGAATTAGGTAGTAGTAAAGACATGAAATGAGTTCTAAGACTCATAAATGTCTTACGATTAATTGTAATATAATTAATTATTATTTAAAATTTAAAATATCAGATTTTTATTGTCGGAACTGATGTGTTACGTAAAAAAATGCTGATGTGTTAAGATTGTGAGATACAACCCAACTTTTATATAATAGATACGGTTGAATTTTATTGCGGAATAGAATATATAGAGTTTTAGCATTATCGTCGTCATAATCATAAATTATAGAGATGTTTTTGAAAGAATTCAATAATTCTGTAAGTTTTATTATTTTTAAAAGTGAAAAATAACAATTGTAAGTTATTTACAATCTCTTTTTGTGGAATCTCATTATGATGCTCTGCTACACTGTTTGACTCATTGGTTTCCCCACCGTTAGTTAGATTTTTTTTTGGATATTAGATTTTCTACATTTTTCTGTCTTTAGCTTTCGTCGAGAACAGACGCTACGCACCGTACACGTGTAAACAAATGGTTTATCGATCGTAATGAGCTGACGCCGTTAGAATATAAACGGTGATTGGCAATTTGGCATACGTTTCCCTTTGTTAACGGCGAGCAACCAGAAGCAGAAGAGAGACCAACAGCTCCATCGGGAGAAAGAATCTTGTGTCTGCTTCCCCATCATATACAAGTTACTCCTTGACCCAAACTATTTGCTAAAACAATAGACAACAATATTGTCATTATGAGGCATCTCGTACTAACAATGTTTATTTCAATTTCTCAAATTACACTACTGTAGTATACGATTTATTTATTTTCCTTTTTTTTTGGACTAGATCATAAAATATACATTCATTCGAGGTCTTATACTATTTTATAAGCCAACCCAACATAAATGATTTTTTTTTTAATACAAATAATTAAGCTGCCTTATATTGGTTCTTTTGTTTAAAGCAATCACCCGATCTTTGTTTCTTGGAACACCGATCTTAACTATGTAATAGTTATCTATTTGGTTATACTTATAACAAAAGCTATGTATTAGTAGTTGTTTAATCTATAAGTCACAAAAAGTAACAAGCTCTTCAACCAGTAGTATGATGGGTCAAAACAATATTTTAAAAATTACTGATAAAGTTGACACTTTTTCAGAACTTTGTTCTCGTTTTTTATATCTTATCTTTATTGACATCGTTAGATACGATGTTTCAGAATTTATTCGTTTCAAAAAATATAGTTTCAAAGGAAAGAAACACTGATATAAAGAGGAATTTATGCTTGAAAAGTACGCAAATATTTAATTTTTGAGATTTCATGTTTTTTTCAACGTTAATACTATAAGGTACACTAAATTACTGAATCGATAAGTTAGTTAAACGCAGTTTAATGCATGGAGTATAAACTATTAAGGGGTATACTTAGAAAATTATGGAAAGAGTTGTATTTTGGTTCGTTGCTCTTTGGAGCTCGTGAATTTTTAGGAGTAGCATCGACTAAGTCGCCATGACTCGTGGACTCCACTCCCATTTTATTTAAACTTATGGTAGTATGATTTGTTGTTTAGATGAAAATAACGTATAGTATTTTGCAATTTTGTTGTTGAGGAAAACATACTATGCTTAATTTGTATTGCTTCTAAAAATTAATAACATATCATCTACTTTCGTTTTTTAAAAAAAAAAACATATCATCTAATTTCATGTATATAAAATTGGGAAGATCAATTGATATCATATGTTACGGAACAAAAAGTATTGATGTTTTGCATATAGATAAACTTTTCTTGATCATTCATGCAATTTTTGGGTACGTATGATTCGTTGTATACCCACGTATACTTTTTACTTTTTTTTAATGTTTTTATCATTAAAGAAAGAATCATTTGAATACCCATTTAACAAATAATCATTTGAATACCCATTAGAGAAAGTTTGGGAGGTGTTTCCAAATGATTTTTTAAGACACTTTCGTTTTCGTTATTACTCCCTCTGTTCCATAATAGATTATTATGATGTTTTAGAAATTTCACTCTTATTAAGAAATAATAAATATGTATTACTTTCAGTTATTTTTTTTTCTTTTCACTTTTTAAATTTTTTTTTCACACACTTATTAAATACTCTATAATCATTATGAATGAACTTTAGCTTCATCACTTATCACTTGATATTTATTGGTTTGTTTACACATAAACATTTATTATTTCAAAATAATTAAATAAAATATGCTATTAAATCATTCTTGTAAAATGTAATAGCATTAAATACTTCCAAAACATCATCTATTTTAGAACAAAGAAAAATCTTAAAACATCATCTATTCTTGGAACAGAGAGAGTATTTGTTTTTGGGTGGCCGTGATACATATTTTCAACACATTTACGTTAAAAAAATTTTGGATCATTAACTCAGAAAGGAGTAGTTATCAACAAAAAAGTAAAAATTACTCAGAAAGGTGTTATGTAATTAAAGTATAATTAAAAGGAGGAGGGAGAGTGAGACTAAAAAAGAGAGAGTGAGCCTAAAAAAGAGAGAGTGTGAGAGAGAGAAACAAAAAGTGGAGTCTTTTTTCATCATCAAACGAGAGACCCACTTCAATGTCGCTGCAGAATCACTGGTGTTAGTGGTGGGTTACAGAGGAAGAAGAAGAAGAAGATAAATAAAGGCGTAAGCTTTTTTCAAAACCTTCACCAAATAAAGGGCTTTCTTAGATAAGTGAGAAGCATACCCAAATTTTTTTCTTCTCTTCTCTCTCTCTCTCTCTCTCTCTCTCTCTTTCTTCTTGTTGGCTTTAGACTTATGGGTAAGAAAAAGATGGTCGCTGCGGCGCATTTTAGCAAGGAGAGGGTTTTTAGAGTGTTTCTGGTTTGGTTCTGCTTTTGGGGATTGCTCTCTCTAACGTGCGCTGGGAGGCTCAGTGCGTCAAGGCAGAATTTCGAAGTGCACAAGCACTTGAGACGATTGAATAAACCAGCTGTTAAAAGCATTCAGGTTTTGGAATCTTTATTCTTAAGCTCCATTTTCAATTTTTGGTGTTGTTTGTTTTGTTTTGGGTTGATTTCTGAGAAAGTAGAAGAAAAGATATTTGTCTGTTACCAACCTAAGTATTCAGAAGTATAGTAGTTTCTGAGACTTACTGAGTTGGAGATGATTACTATCAAGCCCTAAATGTTGGCTTAGACCTTTTACTTTCCTGGAAAGTTCCAATTTTTTTCCCGGAAACTTTGGTTCCATCGTCTAGTTGTTAGTAATTAAAATGTAGGAAGAAAGTTGGATACTTTTGATTACTATGTGAAAATTTAACTCCAAATTGATATACTTTTGTCTCTTGTGTGTGTGTGTGTGTGATATTTTAAACAGAGTCCAGATGGTGACATAATAGACTGTGTTCACATATCCAAGCAACCAGCTTTTGATCATCCTTTCCTCAAAGATCACAAGATTCAGGTAAAATTGTTTCAGCATTTGCCTCAAATTTCACACTCTTTTCTCTCTCAACTTCAGCCTATATACGCCTTAACATATTATGTTTTTTTAACCAGATGAATCCTAGTTCCGTCCCAGAATGGATGTTTGAAGAGAACAAAGTGTCTGAGAAACCAAAAGAGAGAATCAATCCAGTCACTCAGTTATGGCACCGGAGTGGAGTGTGTTCTGAAGGGACAATACCAGTGAGGAGGACAAAGAGAGAGGATGTTTTGAGGGCAAGTTCTGTAAAAAGATATGGGAAGAAGAAGCACCGTACAGTTCCTCTGCCGAGATCTGCTGATCCTGATCTCATCAACCAAAGTGGTCATCAGGTAGATATCTGATTCTTTACCTACATGCCGATCTATTGTTGAAATTCTTGGTCTAAAAGTTCTCTTTTGTATGTGCATTTGGTCTTTGTGGGCGAACTAGCACGCTATAGCTTATGTGGAAGGAGGCAAGTTTTACGGGGCTAAGGCGACCATAAATGTTTGGGAACCAAAAGTACAAAGCCCAAACGAGTTCAGCTTGTCTCAGCTATGGATTCTTGGAGGTGCTTTCGGTCAAGATCTCAACAGCATTGAAGCTGGTTGGCAGGTAGCTACCAATATAGAGTCATACCAGTTTTTAACTAAGCTTCAACAACATCTATGATCTTAGCTTCTTTGCTATATATATATATACAAATCAGGTCAGTCCGGATTTATATGGGGATAACAACACAAGGCTATTCACATACTGGACGGTAAGCTCAAGAAAAATTGTTAGCTTTTCTACAGTTTCTGATTATCCTTAGTTCCTTACTGTCTGGAGAATGTCTTGTGGGCTGATAAGGTTTCATTGTTTATTTGATTTCTCTACTCGGAACAAACAACAGAGCGATGCTTATCAAGCTACTGGCTGCTACAATCTTCTTTGTTCGGGTTTTATACAGATCAACAGCCAAATAGCAATGGGAGCCAGTATTTCTCCGGTATCTGGCTTCCATAACCCGCAATACGATATCAGCATTACCATTTGGAAGGTAAAAGCTAGTTTCCATTTGCTAAAGCTCCTCTCAACAACGATTTCTTTTCAGGGCATTCTTAAAAGTCTCAGCTTTCTTATACACTTACGAATCAAACCGGTTTTCATTTGACAATCTCCTATCAAGAACCATTTCTTTTCATGGAACTCTTAAACAGAGCTCCTTTTTGTCCTCAAAGATGCTACCTTGATGGATTCAGTGATTATGTCTGATGGTTTAAACGTATAACTCGGTAACATATTTCTTGTAGGATCCAAAGGAAGGGCACTGGTGGATGCAGTTTGGGAACGGGTATGTGTTGGGATACTGGCCAAGCTTTCTATTCTCATACTTAGCGGATAGTGCATCGATAGTAGAATGGGGAGGAGAAGTAGTGAACATGGAAGAAGACGGTCACCACACAACCACGCAAATGGGAAGCGGTCAATTTCCGGGTGAAGGGTTCACGAAAGCGAGTTACTTTCGGAATATTCAAGTGGTCGATAGCTCCAATAATCTGAAAGAACCAAAAGAGCTCAACACTTTCACTGAGAAATCGAATTGCTATGATGTTGAAGTTAATAAGAATGATGATTGGGGACATTACTTTTACTATGGAGGTCCTGGAAGAAACCCTAAGTGTCAGTAGAGGATGAACAGAAGAAAGAAGATGATGAAGAAGAAAGATGTAGAGGAACACTGTACTGATTTTTTTACTTATGTTAAGTGAAGTGTGAAAATATCGTTTTTTGCTGATTTTCTTTCACTTTATTATATGTTTTTTCTTCTGGACATTGTTTTGTTTTGTGATTTCTAGGATTGGTTAGGTTTTAGTTTTGGTTTTGGGTTTTTATTTGTCTCTTTGGGTTGTAACTTGTAAGAGAACAAATTTTGTCTGTAGTTTGGAAGTGTGAAAGAGAGAATTTTGTAATCTCTCTCTTGTTTTGTAACCTTAAAGATAAAGGTTTCGGACCTTTGAATTGCGTTGGAGTCTTTTCTCCGTTGCATTTGCCTATGAATTATGATGGAGGTTTGATTCATTATACCAACTGTAATTATTCTCTTAATCAATGAAATATCATTATTTAAATTTTCAACCATAAGTGGTTCATAATGATAAAGTGGTGTGATTTATTTTTTTTTCTTTTGATATCACATAAAGTAAAAAAAAAGGCATAAGGGAAAATAATATCTAAGCGATTAAACTCAAGTAATGCTAAACTTAGATTCAAATGCCAAACTTTGATTGGTCAAGTATTATATGATTCATCTTAGATCGTCTATTTATATATACATACATCTCTATTGTTTGATAAAACAAAATTCAATTAGTAAGATGTATGATTAATAGGTTTAATAAAAATGTATGATTATTATAGACATAGTGAAAGAATAGGCTAGAATACTGAATTATTGCATTGGATGAATCTACGATAATTATGTAACAAAGGTTATGATGAGAAGCATGTTATATACTCATGATAATATAAGATAATTTACATTTCTAATAATTACTTAATAATGTTGGAGTTAAGTATTGAACGCCGAATAATAAACGAAAAATTGATACGCCGAATCAAGTGAATCAAGTACCAAAGTCGATTAACTGGAAATAAAGAGAGGACAAAAGTTTAAAGAAATATGGGTTAGGCCAAATCATGTTACTCGGAGCACATGGATGTCATGGTACCATCATCTAATTTCAATCTTCTTTACCTACAAGAAACACCTAAACAGCTCATTGCTTCTCTCATATCTACTCATTTCACACACACAAAAAACATACACTATTAAATTTATTTATGACTTTCTTATGGACAAATCCCATACAGATGAAGTGTAAGAGGAGAGGCATAAATATAAATATACAAAAAGACCATTCGGTGAGAAAATATTCATTCGTTAAAAAAAAACATTCATTGAATGAGAGAACACAATGAAAGCCGTCCCAAAAAAAAGAACTTAATGAAAATTTGAAACCTAACTCTTCACCAACAAAGAAACTAAAAACTTACAAAAGAAAAAATATAGAGATTACTTATATCTACATGAAAATGCACAAAGGATAAATCGAGAAACAAAAGTATAGCATTAGAAAAAACTTTATCAACGTAATCATCATTTGTGAAAGTATAATTCAATATGGTTCCTAATACATGTAAGAATGTTTTATAGTATTTTCTTATATAGAATGAAACAACCAATGGTATATCTATACTAGATCTGATAAATTAGATTGTTTGTGACTTTCTTGAAAGGAAATTTGTTATAAACAAATGGACTTCTAGTAACCGGCCTATTAACCATCAGGTTAATGTCTCATGACCTATTAGGGTTTCTGATACATTAGTTATGTAATGTATATATACACTGCTTATGGAAATCATAAAATAAGAGTATTTCCCTTAATACGTTATCAGCACGAAGCTCAACTTCAAACGATCATATCTCTCAAAATACAAGGAGTTAGAAGGCGATCTACATATCATTTTGAAGCCCTGGAAGAGAAGAATCTAGTGGTGAAAACCGCTCCTCAATCCGACACCAGACGCGACCTCAAGACTCAAAACAATCGGCGCTATCCCACCTTAGCGGGTGATTCTTTCCAAGCGGTGGTTCCTCCATTGTAGCAGCTGTTCGTTCTCCCTTCTGGCCATCATTCTCAGGAGTTTCCAGTATATATCTGTGGTCTTTAGCTCCCAGATCATAAGCCGGTCAGAAATCCATTTGGCGAAAATGTATTATCTAAAACTATAGATCCTAATCAAAGTTTTGGTTTTTTTTTGAAAACCCTAATATGGATCGGTTCTTTTCATGATTCTTCATCATCTTTTTCGTTTTTAAAACCATAACCAAACCGATCCTCTTTCTTCTTGTCAAAACCCTAATTGGTTTTATTTTTCCTAATCGGCTTTATCATATAAAACCTAAACCCTTAATTGTTCAAACCCTATACCGATCGGTCCTAGCATCATTTAAACCAAACACTAAAATTCCTTGCAACCGAAACCTAAATCTTTGCAAAACCCTAGATCTAAAATCGTTTTGGTTTGTCTATCGTTAAACCGAGATCGATCGGTTTAAATCCTAAACCGATTGGTTATATATCTTAGATCCGATCCTTGAAAACCCTAAAACCGGTCCATGCAAGCTCCTAAATCCTAAACCAATCAACCCCTTAAACTCTAAACCAATCGATCCACCTAAACCGTTTATAAACCGATAAATTCTAATCCTAAATCGATAGGGTTTAAGTTTAAACTGATCGGTTTTTTCCTAATAAAAATTAAACCCTAGCAAATCCGTTTAGTTTAATCCCTTAACCGATTAATAACACTAATAACCGGTTTCCAAAATTAAATCTAATTTAACCGGTTTTGTTGTTTAATCGATCAATCGGATCGGTTTAAGCTTAATCGGTTAATTTCAAATTAGTTTCCAAAATCAATCTCTAGATTGCCTAAACCCTAAACCCTTAAAAAAAAAAAACCAATGTTTATCTATTAGAGCTAAATTTGGAAACCCTAGTAAACCGGCTAGGTTATAAACCCTAATGTTCGATTTTAGAGTTCCCTTATATAGCAAGTTTCCTAAAATAGCAAGTTTCTTGAAATGGAAAGTTTTCCCAAAGAATACCTTAAATCCCTTATTCCAATGATCATAGTCTCATACTATTGATTATTTAACATAAATTATTATATGTTTCAGATGTCAAACATTCAGAAGGTCAAATATGAGGCACTCACTGTCTCCGGAGATAACTACCTCAAATGGGCCCTTGACACCAAGATCTACCTCAACTCAAAAAGTCTGGGTGAATGCATCAAAGATCCCAACACCGCGACTCAAACAAAACGGTACTCGGCGATATTTATTATCCGCCATCACCTCGCTGAGTCTCTCAAGCAACAATACCTCACTCTTGAGGATCCACTCGAACTTTGGGTGGCACTGAAAAAGCGATATGACCATCAGAAAACGGTCATACTGCCCCAAGCCAAGTTCGACTGGAAGAACCTACGGTTCGAAGATTTCAAATCCGTCGAAGAATTCAATTCCGAACTCTTTCGGATAGTTGCACTCATAAAACTATGTGGCGAGGAGGTCACTGATAAGGCTATGCTAGAGAAAACATTCTCTACTTTTGGCACTCCCAATGTTGTTCTCCAACAACAATACCGTGCCATGAATCATAGCACCTATGAGGATTTGATATCTTGCTTACTGCTTGCTGAGAAGAACAATCAGCTTCTGTTGAGGAACAGTGCCATGCGGCCTCCAGGATCAGCCCCATTGCCAGAAGGAACCAGAAAAGAGTTCAACTTCGTCCAACGTAACAGATCCTCAGATCGTGGACGTGAACGTGGAAATGGACATGGACTGCGCGGCAGAAGACGCGGTAGACCGAACCAAGATAACCGACCTAACCTCAGTTTTGGTCGGGGTAAGGGTCGTGGTATCAACAAACCGACCCAAAGAGGCAGTTCATCTAGACCAACTCCTTGCTCAAGATGCGGAATGACTAATCATTGGGTCAAGATCTGCCGTACTCCCAAATATCTTGCTGAGCTCTACCAGAAGTATGGGAAAGATAATCATGAGGCTAACCTGGTTCATCAAGTCAATGAAGATGACTCAAAGGATGATAAGATTGATGGCATTGATTATGAGCTCTCCGACCTCCTTGATTGATCTCAAAAATCTGAATTTGTTTTTCATTACTCCTTAAACTTTTATCTTTTGTTTTTTGGGATTTATTGTCTTTACTTTGGATTTTTAAGACCTTTTGCTTTTACATTTTAATTTATGGAGTAATGTTTTATTTACATCTCATTTTTGCATGTTATTGAATTATAATTCTTGTTTAATAAAGATATGCAAGACAATATGGATATCATTGTGGATAGTGGATCGAGCCACACCATTCTAAAAGACAAGAATTACTTCATAAATTTAGTAATCAAAACCGCAAACATTAGCACTATAGCGGGTAGTTCGAGCCTAATAGAGGGCCATGGCCAAGCTAATGTGCTGTTATCAAATGGCACATATCTAGACATCTCTGATGCCTTATACTCACCCAGTTCTAAGAGAAACCTATTGAGTTTCTAAGACATAAGATTGAATGGTTTCCATATCGAAACTCAGGATGAAGGGAACAAAGAGTTTTTAATTATCACTAAAATGAAAAATGGCCATAAACAAGTTTTTGAAACTATACCCGCCGTATCTACTGGCATTTACCATGCTAAAGTCAGTATGATTGAGGCTAATGCTGCTATCAAAGCACGGTTTTTAGATTACACTATTTGGCATGATCGCCTGGGTCATCCCGGTGCGAACATGATGCGTAAATTAGTCCAGAATTCTAAAGGGCACAGCCTTAAACCAAATGGTATTTTCCCTCAGCACCTCAAGTGCACAGCTTGCTCACAAGGGAAACTAATTACCCGACCTTCACCAGTCAAAGTGTCTAAAGAGACCTTGAACTTTCTGGAAAGAATCCAAGGAGACATATGTGGACCAATTCACCCACCTTGTGGGACATTCAGATATTTCATGGTCCTCATTGACGCATCGACCCGCTGGTCGCATGTCTGTCTGCTCTCTTCTAGGAACCAGGCTTTTGCTAGGTTATCGGCCCAAATCATCAGATTACGAGCCCATTTTCCAGACTTCCCATTAAAGACTATACGTCTTGATAATGCTGGTTAATTCACTTCCCAAGCGTTTAATGAATATCGTATGTCCATGGGGATAAGTGTTGAACATCTCGTTCCACATGTCCATACACAAAATGGATTAGCTGAATCCTTCATTAAACGAATTCAATGGGTTGCTAGACCATTACTCATGAGGTCACAACTCCCGGTCTCAGCTTGGGGACACGCAGTCTTACATGCCGCTGAACTAATACGCATACGACCATCTAGTGAGCACAAATATTCACCATCCCAATTGCTAACGGGTCATGAGCCAGACGTCTCCCATATTAAAACATTTGGGTGTTCAGTCTATGTACCCATTGCACCACCACAGAGGACTAAAATGGGACCTCAAAGGAGGATGGGAATATATGTTGGTTTTGATTCTCCCACCATCATAAAATATCTCGAGCCAACTACAGGAGATCTGTTTAAAGCCAGATATGCAGATTGCCGATTTGATGAATCGGTATATCCTAGATTAGGTGGTGAGACAGACAAGCTGGTAAAAGAACTTTCATGGAATCAAACATCCACACAATGGCAAGATCCTCGGACTCTAGAATGTGATTCAGAGGTCCAAAGAATTATACATTTACAAAAGCTAGCTAATCAATTGCCAGATTCCCTTGCTGACCCGAACAAAGTTACCAAATCGTACATACCAGCTTGTAATGCACCAGTACGAATAGATGTCCCCTCAGGGAAAAGTCAAGTTGCTACAGAGTCTGACGCACGTAAGAAACGTGGCAGACCACCAGGTTCCAAAGATAAGAATCCCCGGAAATCAAAGAAAGGTGCAATGATTGAAACCAGGATTCAAGAGAACACGGATACAGCCTCAGCTGATACTTACCCTATCGAACCATCTCAAGAGGTTTGGGACGCCAAAACTCAAGGTTCTGAAGGGATTGATAATAATGAGATCTCAATCAATTATATCATATTCGGTTCTCTATGGAACAGAAAAGATGTCGACATCAATGAAACTTTTGCATACAAGGTAGCACTTGAGATTGCGCACACGCAAGAGGATCTAGAACCCACGTCTATAATTGAGTGCACTCGTAGATCAGATTGGCTGAAATGGAAAGAAGCCATAAACGTGGAGTTGAATAGTTTAAAGAAACGGAATGTGTTTGGTCCGATCTTAAGGACACCATTCGATGTTAAACCAGTGGGAAACAAATGGGTCTTTGTGCGTAAAAGAAACGAACTCGGCGAAGTCGTTAGATACAAGGCACGCCTTGTAGCACAAGGATTCTCACAGAGACCCGGAATCGATTATGAGGAGACTTATTCTCCAGTGGTGGATGCAACTACATTTCGATTCCTCATAAGTCTGGCCATAAGAGAAAACTTAGATTTGCGGTTAATGGATGTTGTAACCGCATATCTTTATGGACCACTGGACAGTGAAATCTATATGAGATTACCAGATTGTATTGAGCTCAAAGATAAGCATGCATCTCGTGATAAACACTGCATTAGGCTGAACAAATCCTTATATGGACTGAAACAAAGCGGACGTATGTGGTATAACCGGTTAAGCGAATATCTCATCAGAGAAGGCTACGAAAACGATCTGATCAGTCCATGCATCTTCATCAGAAAATATCAAAACAAAGGATTTGTAATCATAGCAGTATACGTGGATGACTTGAACATCCTCGGAACATCTGGTGAAATCGCCCAAACAGTTGAATGCTTAAAAGCAAAGTTTGAAATGAAAGACCTTGGCAAAACTAAATTCTGTTTGGGATTACAACTTGAGTACGTCAATGACGGAATCCTTGTGCATCAATTGGCATACACTGAAAAGGTACTCAAGAGATTCAATATGGACCAGGCCCACCCATTGACCAGCCCAATGGTTGTGAGGAGCCTTGGATTGGATAGTGATCCATTCGGTCCAAAGAAGGACGATGAAGAAATCCTCGGTCCTGAAATGCCATACCTCAGTGCCATAGGAGCATTAATGTACTTGGCTAGTTACACTAGACCAGACATCTGCTTTGCCGTGAGCCTCTTAGCTCGCTTTAGTTCATGTCCAACTCAAAGGCACTGGAACGGTATTAAGCACATCCTTAGATACCTTCAAGGTACTAAGGACTTGGGATTATTTTATTCTAACCATAACAAGGATGGTCTAGTTGGTTTTGCTGATGCAGGATATTTGTCAGATCCGCACTGTGCCCGGTCTCAAACCGGTTATGTTTTCACGCATGGAGGAACAGCCATATCTTGGAGATCCATGAAGCAGACTATTGCCGCTACCTCATCTAACCATGCGGAAATCTTGGCCATTCACGAAGCTAGTAGAGAGTGTGTTTGGTTGCGGTCCATGACTCAGCATATCCGATCAGATTGTGGTATGGACGAAGATAAGGAGCCTACGGTGATGTATGAAGACAATGCAGCTTGTATCGCTCAACTCAAGGACGGCTACATCAAAGGTGACCGGACGAAGCATATTCTGCCCAAATTCTTCTTCACTCATGAGCTACAGAAGGATGGTCAGGTCAAGGTTCAGCAAGTCCGATCAAGCGAAAATTCAGCCGATCTATTCACTAAATCATTACCGACTTCTACACTCCGGAAGCTCATTTATCAGATAGAAATGCGTAGACTTAGAGATCTACAGTGATGCCTAAACTAGGGGGAGTAATGCGTGTTGTACTCTTTTTCCTTCACCATGGTTTTTCCCACTGGGTTTTCTTGGTAAGGTTTTAATGAGGCAACGTTCCCCAGCGCATTATAGAGATCCCGGTTTTGTGACAGGTACGGCTACTTTGTCCAAGGGGGAGTGTTATAAACAAATGGACTTCTAGTAACCGGCCCATTAACCATCAGGTTAATGTCTCATGGCCCATTAGGGTTTCTAATACATTAGTTATGTAATGTATATATACACTGCTTATGGAAATCATAAGATAAGAGTTTTTCCCTTAATAAAATTAAAATTATTACAATGACAATATAATAGAGATAAATTTGCCGTCATTGATAAATAATTCAAAGCGAAAATAGTGCGCATTGCTCTTTCCAACTATATCTCCATATTTTCAACTATTTATATACATAGTTGATGAACTAAACCTTTTACGTGTCATAAATTAATTCCACAGTACAACATAACACATTTCTTATACAACTTTCTCAAGATTAAATTAAAATCTATAGTGGGTTAAATAGTATAGTATCAGAAACATTGAAATTAAGTTATTCAATGCGTTGGTGTAAAGTGGCATGTACACACTTGGCCTTACATGCGTACTCATGTATATAAACACTAACAAATGTAGTTCACAAGTCACACATCAAAAACAACAATACAACAATAATCACCAAAAATCCTTATTTTTTCTTCTCTTCATTTGCTCTCTCTAAGTCTCAAATCCAACAATACTAACAATGGAGGCAATGAAGATGAAGCTTTTCGTGGCGGTTCTGGTTGCGATGATAGCGTTCTCTGCGGTTCAACAGACAGCTGCAGCGGTTGAGGCTCCGGCACCGAGCCCTACCTCTGATGCTTCCTCGTTTATCCCAACTTTCTTCGCCTCAGCCGCGGTTTTGGCTTTTGGATTACTCTTCTAAGAAGTATTTTTACTTATGTTTAATCAAATTAAATAAAAATCACTTAATTGATGTTTAAGTTCTTGTCTTGTGTTGTCTCTCTTTGAGTTCTTGTAGTTTATTTTATGTGTTGAGTTTTATCTATTTCTCTTTCTATCTTTCTCCCACACTCTCTCGCTCTATGTAATGTTGTTGAATTGACTCATCCTAATATCAATAATATTTTTTTTTGTTTTTCCTCTTTTAATTTGACAGTTTAAGTTATTTAGTTAAAATCTAAAAGTGCAGATATGTTGCAAACAGCAACCGAGAAATTATGCATACCGTTAAGCTGGATCTAACTTGGTTTAATAATCTAGTAAAATTAACTACATATCTGGTTTGGTTTAGTCACTTTAGTCGTATCCTAATTGGAATCTTCATCTGAAAGCAATTTAAAGCTGCTAATATGCTTCCACTTTTTTGAGTGAGAGCGGACAAAAAGCAAACACCTTTAAAGTTTTCACATGGCATATATTTAAGCAAAATGTAATTAATTGAATCTGTCTCAACAAGAGTTTCTAATTTGGTTGGTATTGACGCATGTTTAATCTTATACCAAAACAATTATTTTATATTCATTGAATGTACTATAAGAATTATTAGGAAACAACTTTTTTTGATGTAAATTCTCAAGTTTATTGACTTAAATATCAAGTTAGAAGGTATGTTTTCATAAATACAGTAAAACTTCTATAAATTAATACTCGATAAATTAATAATTATTATAAATTAATAAATTTTGCTGGTCCTAAGTTGGGCCAATGTAAAAATCCATCAAATTCGATAAGATAATAAGATAATAATTTTTTTTGAAATCCTTATATAAATATATGGTTCACAACAAAAACATAAATTAATAATTATATAAATTTATGTAAATATATGTAAATATAATATTTTAAAATATGACTAAGTGTTTGTTTTTACTTAAAGTTGAAATCTCATTAGTTCTCATCTCTGTAATTATTATATCAGTAGCTCTTTTTGCTGTTTTACTATATATATTCAAAATTTATGATGATTTTTTTATGTGATAATTGATTTTTTAACTGTAAATATTTTTAAATGTATTGTAATGTTATATTTAACTTTATCATCAATAATACTGATAGTAGGCATAGTTTTTTTAATAAATTTTAAATTTATGTACATGTATATTTTTACATGAACAATCCAATATAATGTTAAAAACTATTTTATTGCGATAGTTTTGATTGTTAATCATAATTTATATTATGAGATTTGTTAAAATTTTAAAATATAACATTATTCCAAAGAAATTTTTAGAAAATTATACGCAGAAAGCAAATTTTATCTATAAATTAATAATTATTAATTTATATATAAATTAATATTACGATAAATTAATAAAATATCATGATCCCAACATTATTAATTTTTAGAGGTTTTACTGTATCAAGTTTATTCTGGCATACTATAATTTAGAGAGATTTGAAAGATGAGTACATATAGATATAGGCTATAGCAAAACAAACCGTTTAATAACGTCGTCGTTTGAAACATCTCACCTTCTGTAGAAACCTTGTCGATCAAGCCACATAAATTAGAGTGTTGCAAACAAAGTAAAAAAGATTCCCGATTTCTTCTTCATATTCGTCCTTAACTAAGATTTCACCCAAATGAAGCACTACCGATGTAGGTCATGTAATTTTGGAAACAGAGTAAGTTTTTCTGAATGAAGCTTGGCAAGTTTCTCTTAGTAAGTTTTTCTGGTTATCTTTTTTTTTTTTTTTTTTTTTTAATTCTCAGAACAAACATGAAAATTTATCATATGTTGGGCTCTAATACTCTCCCAAACTCTCACATACATTGATTGGGTTTAGTTGCGATTAAGGGACAACATTATTTTTTGGTTGTGCTATAGGCTTCATATGACATCGATAAGACTTGAAAATTTCTCCACTCCAAAATTAGATTTAGCTGAGTCTTTTTTCTTGTTTGGGGTATGATTGGAAGATTTTGATTGAGATGAGTTTCGAAAGTTCTTCACTACTCAGATTATTTCTTATGGTAAGAAAATAAGTATGCTGTTATTAGCAGAGAAAAATATTGGCGCCAATTGTGCTTGTGCTTCTAACTTCTCGATGATGTGTAGTGATTGTAAACGTTTGATATGTGGTTTTCTAGTTTGCCTTCTGAGTTTCTTTGATGTTTACTTACTGCAGAAGTTACCCCAGTGAAACAACTCAAGTCTATTTTATCGGTTTCGTCTCTTTACTGATGGGAAGTTACTAATGTGTTTTGTTCTGTTTTTTTTTTCTTTTCAAAATTTTTTTTTTTTTTTGGGGTAATCTAGAACAGTCTAATTGAGAAAAACCCCGGTTGGAGAAGTAAATCGGCAGCCATGGAAGCTGTAAGTCGCTATTCTAACGTGGAGATAAGTTTATGTTCTTTCTTTGTTTTTGTATACTTAAGTTGAGGTTCTGTAACAGGAGGATGAATTCACTAGAAACTTGAAATGGAATGTTGCTAAGCTCTTTGAAGCATATCTGAAATCAACGGTTCCTGATGAACCTGACGTTGAGCCATTGGTTTATCTGTCTCCTCTCGAAAATTTGGCGATTACCAATGGTACGCTCCCTTTTTCTCCCCCTCAATGTTGGTTTGATTTAGTGCAAATACATTTCCTTTGTTTTCTGCTTACTTATTTTCTTCCTCTCCCTACTTTTGTGTGTTTGTAGTAACAATGCAATGGACCTTTGCTCCAAGATAAAAGGAAAGGATCCTGAAGCTGTTGTTCAGGTCGGTTTCTCAAGAAATCGGAGTTTTGTGTAGTAAACACTTGGACTCTTGTTTATTACGTTTTCTTTGTAGGACTTTATGAACAATCTCTCAAACTCAGAGAGATAGTAGAATCATATTCCGTAACGAGAAGATTTGTCAACGTTGTGCTATCAACTAAGTGGATGGAAAAGCTATGCGTACAACCTATTGTATTGTGCAGCTAAGGACAGAAATATAAAGTGGACTCCTGAGGAGCTGGACCAAACAGCCGAGGCAGTTGAATATGGTTCTTTGAAGTAAGTTCTGATTTCTATACTGCTGAAACTACTTAGCATCTTTTGTTTTCTGAGATTTTTTGGGATCTTAATCTGTACAAAATGGTGTGTGATATAGTGGGATTTATAAATCCTGTTTGCAGGTATGCTGATCTGAAGAACAACAGACTGAAAGATTATAAATTCAACGCCGATCAGATGCTTAATGACAACGTAAGTGATACCATCTTTACATCTTTGCACATATTAAGGAAAAAAAATGGGCTTATTGTTAGAAAATGTCAATGAGCAAGGAGACACAGCTGTTTACCTTCTCTACGCTCATGCTCGGATTTGTTCAATCATCCAAAAGTCTGGCAAAGACATAGATGAGCTTAAGAAGGTACCTTTTACTTTTTGGCTGCATCTTATATGGATTCTTTGCTTCTATTTTGTTCCATCTCTTGAAAGTGTCATTTGTTACAAAATCTTCTCTGTTTTGTTTTGCAGACAGGAAAGGTAATGTTACATCATGCGGATGAACGAGCTTTGGAACTTCAATTGATACAATTTTCTGAGGTAGGTAACGCATGATTGGTATCAGACTCTCTTTTGTTTTTGATGAAACGATCATATACACGATTAGATCAATGTTGTGAACGATTTTGTAGACGGTTGAGGAAGCATGTAACAACTTGTTACCGAACGTATTGTGCAAGTACCTCTACAGCTTATCCGAATACTACAACAAATTCCACTCAAACCCAAATTGTCAGGTACAATTTTTCATTTGTTTTTCTTGCATAATAAAACCATCAATGCTATCTATGATCTTCATCACTTAAAACAATGTTTTTATATTAACACTTTCTCAGGTTATCGGTTCGGAACAAGAGACGAGCCGTCTCCTATTATGTGAAGCAACAGTCATAGTTATGCGGAAATGCTTCCACCTTCTTGGAGTCACTCCGGTTTACAAGCTTTGATACATACACAACTAAACGAGCCAAATGCTCACAAACAAGTCTATTTAAACTTTTCTACACAATTAAGACACTGGAATATCGCTTACAGACTTTGAGATTTAGGTGAATATGTTTTTTTTTTTCTTCTTTTTTTGGTTATGTTACTGAAACCGATTTTGGTGAATCGTAAAAAGTTATAAAAACTAAAAAAAAAAAAAAAAGACAAAACAAAACTAATGGTTTCTCTCGGATCTAATGTCTTCTTCTTGATAAACAAGAGAGAGCAGAAGAAGTTGTTCTTGAGGCTTTCTTGGAGATTGTAGCTTTTGGGCTATAAACTCTTTTGTAGCTTTGATCTATTATTCCTCCGGTGCTTCTACATGCCTTTCTTCTTCTTGCTCCATAATTTCTATTTTTAAACCCTCTCTTCATAAGATCTTCAAGGCTTTTAACATTTGCTAGTGATGTGAATGATTGAGATTTTCCTTCATAGAACTTTGACAATCCCCTCCTGCGATTAACACAAAGAAAGTGAACAAATTCTGTTATTACCAGGAAACAAAGATCAATCTTTGTGATCTTGTGAAGATAAATCTTTTAGATCCATTTGCTTTTTAGGTAATTAAACCCTAAAAATACAAAGCTTCAAAAGGAAAGAAGTTTTTTTAAGAGATTAGTGATCAGAGAATGATTTCTTACTTGATTGGGAGGTGTGACATGAGGTCGGAGAGATCTCCAAGAGGTCCATTTGAAGAAGAAGAAGAAGCATCATCATCATCATCCTCTGTTAAATCAGATGAAGAGCACATGGAAGATAATGAACAAGATGATGAATCTTCCTCTTCTTCCTCCGAGAATGTTTCAGCTGCTAACATCGATCTTGAAACTCCTTCAACAATGTCTTCTTCTTCTTCTTCGTTGGTCCTCCTTGAATCATCATAAATCATGTCGCCCATTTGCTTCAGATTCAGATTCAAATGAAGATTCATCTTTGAAATGAAGATTTTTGAAACAGGGATTCTTGAAACAGGATAAAGAAAAACAGAACAAGAGAGTTCTTCTTTTGTCAAGATGTGTGGAGTTGTTCTACAAATGGAAACACAGAAACATGAGTTCTCTATTAACAGATAAACATCTGCATTTATATATATGGATATGTGAAGAGGTTCCAGTTATTATTTTAAAATTAAAAAGCAAAAAAAAAAAAAAGAGAAAAAAGGGAAAGAAGAAAGGATAAATATATGTGTGGGTGTTACTTACGTGCAAGCCGTGGATAACGTTGACCCTTTTAAATTAATTTCACTTTTATCTTCAAATTTTGGGGTTTTTCTTTTCTTGTTGTGTTATTATTGTTATCTATAATCGATCGCATATGTTAATTGCCTATTATTGTGTTTCTGATTATGCGGTTCTCATTCTATGGGCAGTCACTATCCATATCCCGCTTTTTGTTTTATTTTGTTTTTTTTTGTAACGCCCTTTTCCTTTAATTTGTCATTAATGAGATAATATTCTTTTTCAATCCCATAAATGAATGGAAAAATTGGAAAAAAAGAAGAAAATGTGGTATTTTTTTTTCATAGAATAAATCTTTGTAGTTTAAAAGAGGATAATAAGATAACGATACAATTCCTTCCAATTTCTCCTAATTATGTCCCGGTGAAATACAGTCATTTACGGATAAAAGTTAAACAGCGAGATTAGGTCTAATTAAAGCTTGCACACGCAGATGATAAAAAATAAAATAAAAAGTCGGTTTGTGATTAAATAGTAGTATATGTTGAGTAGATAGAGTATATGGTTTAGATTTGTTTAGGGGTTTTCAATTTCCCATGGGCGCTGTTACAAGGCAAAGAGGATAAGACCCATTCCTTTTAAACATATCCGTATCATGTCCTCGTCACCACTATCCTCTTACCCTTTTCAAAAATTAATTTTCTTATTTTGTTAATTGGACCGAAAATTCTAGTTCCCATCACTATTAACGACTTTACCTTTATTTTTTAAATAAAATATATAATAACAAGATCTATCCTCAAAATAATGTATATTGGTGGGTAAGTAGGCTATATCCTTAAAACACGAATCTTGTCCGGCTTTTAACATGTTTTCCCCGACACATGAAGAAACCATTTTGATTTTCAAATTCTGAGGGACTATATCAAAATTACTCAAGTTTCAAATGAGGGATTATTTTGTTTAAAAATTTATTTGAGGATAAATCGTTGATACTTGAATATTCAGATTATTTTGAAGTTAGTAAAGAATATGTATATGTGAATCGAACTTAATACACCTTCTCTGATTGTTCTTAGACTTGGTTGATAGAGTTTGGATTTTAATGTCGTTTCGATAGGAATTTCGGGAATAATGAATAGTTTCACTATTTTCCAAAAACTCAGATGGAATAACACAAAACGTGGGCTTCAGATCACCGCCAATCAAAAATATGTTTGAGAAGGTTTTTAACTTTTTATTAATTCCTATTCACATATGTATGTACATGTATTTCTAATTTTGATTGCTGTGAATAAAATTGTCGATATTATGCTTATTGTTGGAAAAAAAAATGAGTGAATAACTTTGATATCCCGCCACACATCATCAATGGAAATGTAATTGAAAAAGGTCAAGAAAGAATCAATATTGAAAGAAGTAAGACTTAAAAAAACAGGAATATTGGGAAAAAGGTTAACTTATAGGCCTTCTTTTCCACGACAAAATAGGATTAATTAGGAAAATAACTTTTATTGATTACGACTATTTTGTTTTTCTCATACATATTATTATGAATATGATATTATATAGATCTTTTCATTAATCGCCGCACAATTTGACTAGGATTTTTAGTTTTGTTCTTTGCGTCCCAAGTTTCCCCAATTCAGAGTTAATTGGACTCGAGAATTAGGGTTTTTCAAAACTGAGAGCAAGACTCCACCAGACAAAAAAAAAAAAAAATGGAGGAACCGAACATCAATGATTTGCCAGAAGAATTGATCTTGAAGATATTCTCATTTCTTCGGATGTTTAAAGAGACCGTAGCAACACATCTCATGTCAAATCGTTCGAAAGATCCTTAGAAACTGGTGTCGGATGTCATGTTTGATGATGATGAGAAATCATATGATCAGAGATTTGTGACTTTTATGACTTCTGTATACGGATATTTGTTGTTTAACAACGCTCAAGTTCTAGAGAGATTGCATCTCAAGCTTAGCCGGAACTATTCGGCTTCAGACATAAAATTTTTGGTTCAAATCACGGTTAATCGATCTGTGAGAAAGTTAAGAATCCAGCTGTTTGGAAAAACCCTAGAATTGCCAAGTTTCTTGAGTACTTGCAAAACCCTAAAGTCATTGATACTTCATGAAGTACGTATCAAGGTTCGTTTACCTTTGTTTCTCGGAATTAGCGATTCAACTCGCAACCACTCTACACTCCGATCCGATCTTAGCTCGATTCTTTAGATTCGATACTTAGTTGTACGACTTAAAGAAAGAAGTAAAGACACGGAGATTTGATAACCCAGGGTTCACTTCCTAAATGAAAGCTACGTCCCTGGGGCTGGAATCGGCCACCAGCAAAACAATCCACTATCAATCGAAGCTTACAAGATCTCTCGGTGAAACCCAGAAAACTCTCTGTGAAGAAGACGACTAATCAAAAGATCTCGATAGTGATGATCCGTTAGAGACCTCTTATAGAACACGAGGTCAATAACCGGAGTAACCCAAACTCTGTAAACTTATCCTAAACCGACTTCAACCAATCTTGACTTTAACCAGCTGAGTTGACCGGAGCTGTATCACACCTTTAACAAACTCCACCTTGATTCAGCTCGAGTCAACGCTTCAACGATCTCCTATGGATTTCCCTTTGACTGATGGCCTACACATCCAGCACCTGAGCCTTACGGCTCCGTCAAGCTCTAGAGCGCTTGAGTAAGTTTAACGCTGCATTAAACTTACTCACCGGCACCACCTTAGTTAAAACATCGGCCGGATTTGTACTTGTATGTATCTTTAGTACTTCAATGTCACCTTCGGCTACAATATCTCGGACAAAGTTATATTTCACCGCCATATGCTTTGTGCGTTCATGATACATGTTGTTCTTCGAGAGGCAAATGGCACTCTGAGAATCGCACCAGATGCTGACACACTGTTGACTGAAACCAAAATCTTCAAACAAACCCTTGAGCCAGATTGCTTCCTTTACCGCCTCCGAAAGAGAAATATATTCTGCCTCGGTCGTTGAAAGAGCAACCACTGGCTGAAGACAAGACCTCCAGCTCACCAAATTTCCAGCAAGCGTGAACACATACCCTGATATTGATCGCCTTCTGTCCAAATCAGACGCATAATCTGAGTCGCAATACCCCTGAACCTTCATCTCTTTTTCTTTGGTGTAGGTTATCTTAAGGTTTACGGACCCTTTCATATACCGAAGCAGCCATTTCACAGCTTCCCAATGCATGTGACCTGGCCTACTCATGTATCGACTTACCATCCCCACGCCATAGGCAATGTCAGGCCTGGTTCCTACCATCGCGTACATTATGCTCCCAACAACAGATGAATACGGCGTTACGTCTGTATTCAATTCGTCACCATCATCCTTAACTGCTGCTAGCTTGAAATGTGCACCTATAGGAGTCTGAGAAACCTTAGCATCTTCCATTCTGAAAGCCTTAATGACCTTTCTCAAATACTCACTTTGTGACAGATACAGAACCCCATTAACCCTGTCTCTCTGAATATCCATGCCCAGAATTCTCTTTGCCGCTCCCAAATCTTTCATCTCAAAAGTTGAACTCAACTGGTCTTTAAGCCTTTGAACATCTGCAATGTCTCTCGCAGCCAATAACATGTCGTCCACATATAGTAACAAATACAGGTGAGAACCATCTGAAACTTGTTTTACATAAACGCAAGAATCATGTTCACTCCTCTTAAAACCATTTGAAACCATAAACTGATCAAACTTTTTATTCCACTGCCGAGGACTCTGCTTCAAACCATATAACGATTTTCTAAGCAAACAAACTTTCTTCTCGGGATCTCCAATCTCGTATCCTTCAGGTTGAGTCATGTAGAGCTTTTCTTCTAAGTTCCCATGTAAAAAAGCGGTTTTTACATCCATCTGTTCCAGCTCTAAATCCTCATTAACCACTACTGACAATAGCATCCTAATCGAGACATGCTTAACCACAGGGGAAAAAACCTCTTGATAGTCAATCCCCTCTTGTTGTGTGAACCCTCTGGCTACTAACCTAGCCTTATATCTAGGGGGCTCAGCATCAGACATACCTGGTTTAAGCTTGAAAATCCATTTGCAGCTTATTAGCTTCTGGTTCTCGGGCTTATCAACCACATCCCACGTATGGTTCTTCTTCAAAGAACACATCTCTTCATCCATTCCAGCATTCCACTTCTCCCACTGTCTACTTCTCCTTGCTTCTTCATAGCTCTCCGGTTCATCTACATGGGTAATAAACTCCGAAGCAGCTAACGCAAAAGCAAACACATTCTCGTCATCATCATACCTTGCAGGAGGATGAATGTTTTGCCTCCTGACTCTATCTCTGGCCAATTGATAGTTTGCCAGACTTGCAGCTTCATTTGAAGTAGATACAGTACGCACTTCCCTTGGAGACTCAGGAAATTCTCCTTCTTGAACAGATTCTGAAGTTTCTCCACCTTGAACTAAGTCTTCCGGAGGAACTCCACCTAGAGTAGAAGCACCGGTCGTGGAAACCTCAGTGATCACTCTGCCAGGTCCTTTTGCATCGGACCCCATTTCACTTGATGACCTATTTATGTCCTTGTACAGCTTATCCTCACAAAACTTTACATTTCGACTGATAATCAGCTTCTTATCATCAAGTAACCAAACTTTGTACCCTTTTTTGCCAGGAGGGTAACCTACAAACACACCTCTGAGAGCCCTCGGTTTGAGCTTTCCTTGATCCGTGTGTACGTAGACAACTGATCCAAACTTCTTTAAGTGCTTGTAACCCGGTTCCTTCTTCAACCAGATTTCTTCAGGAATTTTGTAATCAATAGCCGATGCGGGAGAGCGGTTGATGATATACACTGAAGTTGAAGTCGCTGCAGCTTCAGCCCAAAATCTCTCCTCCAACCCAGACTCACTGAGAAGACACGTGACCTTCTCCATGATGGTCCTGTTCATCCTCTCGGCAACTCCGTTTTGCTGCGGAGTGTAAGTACAAGTCCTGTGCCTAGCTATTCCCTTTGACCTGCAAAACTCATCAAACTCATTATTACAAAATTCAAGACCATTATCAGTTCTTAGACACTTTACCTTCCTGTCGATTTGGTTTTCAACCAAGTGTTTCCATTCGCAAAACTTTGCAAAAGCTTCATCCTTTGTTTTGAGGAAATAGATCCATACTTTCCTAGTATGATCATCGATGATGGATAGAAAATATTGATGTCTGGAGATGGACGGCTGAACTGTTGATGAACCCCATAAGTCAGCATGCACATAGTCTAAAGGATGCTCTGTTTCATGCTTCCCTACTCTCAAACTGACCCTCTTGGCTTTTCCCATAACACAATGTTCACAGAAGTCTCCTTCTTTTCCGATGTCCTTCTTCTTAATAATTCCCTTCTTAGCCAGACGATGAAGATTCTGATACCCCATGTGACCGAGACGGCTATGCCACAGGGACCCTTTAGGAACAGACTTCGCTGAACAAGATTCAGGCAGAACTGTTTTCCCATCAAGTATGTACAGTCCGTTGCTTAGGACTCCACGCAAAGCCACTTTGTTGTTTCTGTAAAATGTCAGCTTGCCGTGACCTCCGGTATGAGTGTATCCTAGTGAATCCAATGTCCCAGTAGAAATCAGATTCCTTCTCAGACCTGGAACGTATCTGACATTTCGTATTATGCTCACAGTTCCTCCATGTGTATTTACCCGCACAGACCCTATACCGAGAGTTTCCACTGAATGGTAATCTCCAAGAAGAATCTTACTGGACTTCTTTTCCTGAAAATCTACGAACCAGTCTCTCCTAGAAGTCATGTGGTAAGTACATCCAGAGTCTATTACCCAGTTTTCACTTGAATCATCACCTGAGATGTTCAAAGCATCTATCACCGTGAACTCCTCAATTAGTACAACAGCTTCTCCATCACTATCACTATCCATTTTCTTCTTGCGAGCAAAACAGTCCTTTTTCATGTGACCTTCCTTCTTGCAATACCAGCAGACCACCTTTGATTTAGTCTTTGATTTACTTCTGCTGTGCTTGCCCTGAGACCCTTTCGAATCTCTCTTTTGGGATCTTCCCCGTTCATTTGTATAGAGAGCTGCGGCAGACGCTTGATCCTGTCTGCTGCTCTCAGCTATCTCTCTCTGCTTAGACCTTGAGCTGAGATGATTTCTTCCAAAGACAGAGAGTCTTTGCCATATTTCAGTGTATGCTTCAACTGATCGTAAGCCGCTGGGAGAGAGCTCAAGAATACAATGGCCTGGATCTCATCAGTCACGGTTACGTTCAAACTACTCATCTCAGTTACGATCTTGAGAAAATCATCAACGTTCACATCAATCGACTTCGATCCATCACATTTGAAGGTATAAAATTGTGATTGAACAAAGATTCGATTAGGCAAGGACTTAGACATGTATAACCTGTCAAGCAGTGACCACATCGACGCAGCCGTTGTGCAGTGCTTGATCTTCCTGAGGACATGGTCCCCAATATTCACTATTATCATATCCTTAGCTCGCTCATCTTTCTCTATCTTTACGGGATCAAGAGTCACCTTCGTCGATGAAGTATCCTTCGCGGTTTCATCATCGTCGGATTTCTTTTCTTCGCTTTTACTCGCCGGAGATGTAATCTCGAAATTATCACTGAGAACTACCTCCTTCAATCCCGAAACACCGAAGTGAGCCATCATTCGTATGGTCCACAACGAGAAATCACCGGTACCATCGAAACGCTCAACATCAGCTCGCGTCGTCACCGTAGTTGTAGTCGCCATCCTGAATCAAGAAGAACCTACGTTCTGATACCACTTGTTGCACGGAATTAGCGATTCAACTCGCAACCACTCTACACTCCGATCCGATCTTAGCTCGATTCTTTAGATTCGACACTTAGTTGTACGACTTAAAGAAAGAAGTAAAGACACAGAGATTTGATAACCCAGGGTTCACTTCCTGAATGAAAGCTACGTCCCTGGGGCTGGAATCGGCCACCAGCAAAACAATCCACTATCAATCGAAGCTTACAAGATCTCTCGGTGAAACCCAGAAAACTCTCTGTGAAGAAGACGACTAATCAAAAGATCTGGATAGTGATTTATCCGTTAGAGACCTCTTATAGAACACGAGGTCAATAACCGGAGTAACCCAAACTCTGTAAACTTATCCTAAACCGACTTCAACCAATCTTGACTTTAACCAGCTGAGTTGACCGGAGCTGTATCACACCTTTAACAGTTTCGTTTGCCATATCTCAAAACTCTGCACCTTTTATCGGTTAAATTCTCGAGCGATGAATCTGTTGCGAAGCTTTTAGAAAGCTGTGAGGTTCTTGATGATTTGGTCATAAAGCAAACCAAAGATGGCAATGTGATGATATTCAATATCAATGTGCCTTCTTTGAGGAGCTTAACTATCGATAACTCCAAAGGGAAACGTGCCTACGTTGAGGAGAAACATGGGTTTGTGATAAATGCTCCTTCTTTGGAGAAGTTGGAGTTTAAAGATACATTCAGTAACTTTCTAAAGTTTGAACATATGCCCGAAGTGATCATGGCGAATATCAAGGTTGTTTGTGACCAATCTGAGAAGTTCATAGGGTCTCTTACCTCAGTCCAACATCTTTCTCTTTGTTCACTAACTTCAAAGGTAACAGTTTCTTACTCCAATAATTCTCCTTTTATGTCTCATTACTAGTAATTAAAGAAGATATATAATTCATGAATTGCAGACTCCATATCCTAGTGGCACTCTCTTCTTCTTTCTTGAACATCTAGAGTTATGTACATGCTCTGCGGGATGGACGAATTTACTTACTTGTATACTCAATGACGCTCCAAGACTTCGAACTGTCAAGCTTAAGTCGGTATGTTATATATAAATTCTTTTTGGTCACTTTAGGTGTGACTAATATGCTAGATGAACAGTATAATAACACATACCAGAAAATTAAAAGGCAGAAGAACCAAGTTGTTTTGTTTCTCCAAGTGATTTTCTTTTACACCTTCACTTATAGCAGAATCATTTCTTTTCAACAACGTAAAACTTTATCAATGTTCAGAATGATATATGTTCTTTCTTCTTTCTTTTTTTTTTTTTTTGCATAATCACGTTTCTAAACGTAGAAAGATAGTATAGCAGTAAATATTTTTGTTTTTCCCGTTTTTTAATTTAACGATCTAAACACTAACAAACGTAGTGTTTCTCTTTTTTTTCGTCTCAGCAACATGGTGCCCGTTACAATGATCCGATGAACCTATGGAACGAACCAACAGTTGTTCCCGAATGTTTAACAATGAATCTAGAGTTCTTGGAATGGAGACAATATGAAGGCACAGAGCAAGAGAGGAAAGTGGCTGCGTACATACTAGCAAACGCTACTTGTCTAAAGAGGGCGACATTCTCAACCAGATGTAGAAACAAATATCATCGCATGCTCAAGAAGTTAAAGAAAATGTCAAGGGTTTCCGAGACTTGTCAGTTGGTGTTTGACTAACCTCTTCTGTGATTATGTGTGTCTTTAAAAGACACATGAGATTTTTAGTTTTCCTTCTTGCTTTTTCCCTGACTTATCTTTGGTGTTTATGGGTTTTGTTTTCTTATCTCCGGATCTTCTTTAATTAGTGAAATCAGAGCAGTATTGGTTTACAAATTTGAAAAAACACTAGATGTAAGAAAAATTAAAGATTTTCATGCATTTCAAGTAGTTAATCAGAACAATGAGATTTGTCAAAAGAAAAAATAGATGGGACTTTTCCAAAAACTAATAATCCCATATACAGACTACTATGTAAGAAATGTCATTGTTTTCATAATTCTATCGTTTAATACAAAATTACTTGACTTTTATTTTACCAGGTACAGGAATGAGTCTTTAAAGACTGTATATTCTTATCCTTCTATTTCATAATTTGGAGTATGGATCCATGAGTATCCTTGACTCATTTCTGCGACATGTTATTCTTCTTAGACAGGAATCTCTCAAGTCAAGACTGTATATTCTTATATCCTTTGATTTGACATTTATGAAAATTTCATAGTTTTACTTATTTCGTTAAATTAAATTGTTTTTTCCTCCGTAACATATACTTGTTGCATAGACATTCACTTGATCAAATATAGTTGTTAAACGGATGTTCTTATAATTTATTTAAGTATTAAAAAACATGTATTTTTCCCCTTTTTATGTGAACAACAAGTTTATCAAATTGATATATTATCATAGTGTTTTATAGAATTATTTAACGTGTTAAATATCACTATATATGTTATATCAAATGAATTTTTGTATGTACATTAAATAAAATAACACGCTATAATCCTCTGTGTTCTCTAACCACAGAAGTAAAAACTTTCTTGCTCAAGATTTCTCCTTTTATGTTTTGTTATTCTCATTATAGTAAATAATGTATAATTCAGTTGCAGACTCTATATCCTAGCTAGAGGCACTTTCTTCCGGTTTCTTGAACATCTAAACTCTATAGCTATGTACATGTCCTGCGGGATGGTCGAGTCTACTTGCTCGTATATTCAAAGACGCTCCAAGACTTCGATCTCCAACAATCTTATGAAAAAAGACTACTATGTAAGACTTGTTATTTGATCAATACATGAATGGGTCTTTGATTAACAAAAAGGTAAAATTGATTTGACTTTTATTTCAATAAATACATGAATGGGTCTTTGGAGTAGGACCCATGAGTGTCCATGAATTATCTCCCCCACAAGTTCTTCCCCTTAGATATGATCTCAAGTCAAGACTATATTGTATATTCTTATCCTTTGATTTGGCCTTCATGAAATGTCATAGTTTTGAAAGAAAAAGAAAACTTCTTTAATTGACTAACTCGATTTAATCACATATTTAACAATTGAGTATTACATTTTGAAGGAAGAACACAATGAATAATTAGATATGATCTCAAGTAGTTGGCACCAACAATAAAAAAAAGAAAGAAAGATGGGATCTCAAGTAGTTGGCACCAACAATCAAAAAAAAAAAAGATGGGATCTCAAGTCAAGACTACATAGAATATTCTTATCTATTTGATTTGGCCTTCATGAAATGTCACAGTTTTGGAAAAAGAATAATTGACCGGAGTCTATTGAATCACATATTCAACAAAGACCTTGTATATTACATTTTAAAGGGAGAACACAAGGAATATAGAACCTCATTCAACATTCATCATAAAGTAAAATTCTTTAGAGACACATACACATCATGTATCTTATCATATCATACACCAAATTCTTTAGAGGCCTTACTTATCTAAGGTAATTAACTGGTGGTTCCAAAGTGCCAACAAGTATCCCAAGATCAATGTCCTTGTCCTCAAACTTTTTTATGAACGGATGACTCTGAGAACATGAACAAACAAAAGTCTTAAAGAGTGTTTCATCAAATATCCTAAAGGATGTTACGAAGACAGAGAGAGATAGTGGTGAATAAAGGATTACTTACCAAGAGGTCCAGAGATGATGATCTTGCTGGAGGATCTTTTTGTATGCTGTTTAAAATGTAGATTAGAAGTATTTGAAACATTAGTACCAAATCTCTCTGTGTTTCTATGCAAAAAAATGTGAATAATGAGACACCACTTACCAGGATGATACGAAGGAGCAGAATTCAGGTGAGAATTGATCAGAAGGAGCAGTAGGTGGTGGACTCTCTACGATTGCTGCCAAGAGTTCATAAAAGCTAGGCGGGTTTTGCTGATCTTCAGATTCTAAGTAAGGGAATCTTCCAATCGCACACTCCAACACTGACAAGCCCAAACTCCAGATGTCGCTACTGTAGTCATATGTGCTTCCACTGATCCTCTCAGGCTGTGAAGTTAAGGATTAAAAAGAGACATGGTTATGTCTACGATACTGCAACATCAAGAAATCTGTGTAGCAAGTGTTTCCAATGTAGTGATTTTGTAAATGCTTTCATACCGACATATAGTTGTAGGTTCCAACAAATGTGTCCCTCTGTCCCATGGAGCTAGCAAGACTTGCACTAACACCAAAATCTGAAATTTTTACTTCTCCTTTATGGTTCACAAGAAGGTTTGATGGTTTGATGTCTCTGTGTATGACATGTCTTTCGTTGTGCAGGTACACAAGGCCCTGCAAAACCTGTTTACAAGAGGAAATAACCAAGATCGATAAACACATGAGGATGAGAGAAAGTATCATTAGGAATGGTTTGAATCATCTGATGGAGTACAGGAAGTTCGATCTACCTGTTTACAGACAACAGCAAGATAAGGTTCCAGAATAGTCTTCACTTGTCTTATCACATCCGCAAGAGATCCACGGTCCATGTATTCGAGCACAAGGGAAAACGCTCCATTGTGATAGAAAGAGTGGTAGCAGACTACTACGTGTGGACATTGTGATGATGCTTGGTTTATTTTGAGCTCCTGGACAATTTGCTTGCGGATTTCTTCCTGTATATTCATCTGTATGACCTGTAATTCATAACATAAACAAACTCAAACCCCAAAAGTTCTTGAATCTCAAGTCCTGTTTGTCAGTCAACAGCATTATAAAGTAGATAATGAATTCCATGTGAATCATGAAGTGTAACCATTTGATCATATTATCAAAAGTGCAAAACTTTCCTACTTCTTAAGTTAATGAAGTTCCTCAGACGAAGCTACACAAAATTCTAACTTTCATAAACTATTGAAGATTCAAATAAGAGAGAAGCAAACAAGTACTTTTCTTCAATTGGAGATCAAAAACGTACCTTCATAGCAAATAACTTGCCAACCCATTTATGTCGAACTAATTGTACAACTCCACCACTGCCTTTTCCGATGACTTTCACTGTCTCCAAGTCTTCAGCAGTGATTTCGAAGTCAAGCTCCTTGCTATCAGATGACTATTATGGAAGACAAAACACACACAAGAATTCGCCTAAATTGCTTCATCTCTAGATCATTGGTCTCTTAAAAAGGATTAGTGAAATTACCCTTGATTGCTTCTCATCTGACATCAGCCTTAGCCCCTTCTGGTTCAGCAGAAAATCTCCATCGTGAAATGTTCCACTTGCAGTCCTGTAATTTCATCAAGGAATCAACCAATCACCAAATCAAGACGATTAAATTCTTCAGTTTGGGGTTTTAATTGAATTAGTCAATTTCTAAGAAGCAGGGCTCATTTCAATCCAGAAATGGTTCAGAATCATTTGATTTTTTTTTTTCAATCCCGCGAAACTAAACAGATCGTAGAACGATTGAAAAATTCAGATTAATCCAATAAACGATCGAGGGAAAAGATAATCTAATCTGATTTCTTTGTAGAATAATCAGAAGATAACCGATTTCTATTTGTTTCGGAAGCCAAGACACAAAAGGAGAATCGCGAAAACTTACAAGAAGGACGAGATTGGGGTTTCTTGAGCTGGAACGGAGAGCTTAAGCTGCTTCAAGTTCGATTTGATCTTCATCTTCTTCTTCTTCTTTTTTTTCTCTCTTGAGACGATCTAGGGATTATCGCCTTCTCTCTAGGGCTTCTAAATAAGCAACTTCAAGAAAGAGAGAGAAACTGGGAAGTGGAGAGAAGACGACGACTTTCGTCTTAACGGCCTAATAATTTTGAACGCGAGAGACCGGGAAAAATTAAATTATATAATTAAGAAATAAGAAAACAATGGGCTATAACCCATTAAAATTTAAATGGGCCCTAAATCAACCCATTAGTGTGTAAGGACGGTACGAAATAATTCGTGAACCATTCCATCGGTTATCTCTGGTATGTTGGACCAGCTGGGAAAAAGAGAAAAAAAAAAGCTTAATTGATTATTTGTTTTTTTGGCATGAAAAAGGGATAATTACTGCCTTACTGGAGTATAATTTTATGTCTAGTCATAAGATAAGCAAATATTTATGATCGTATAATGATCTTCTTTAAGAGCGTATCTAAAGCTCACAAAACTTAAATTACATGGGACCGTTTCTGCTTATGGGACCGGTTTTACTTTATAACGGGGCGCTTTTTGAGAATACACAAATAATGGGGAAAGAAAGAAAAGTTGGAAAACTCTCAAAGCTAAGCGGAATCCAGACAATACTATCAAATCGAATTTATTATACAGCCTGAGGCCCGGTTCGATCCCGACCAGTGTTCAACTTCTGACAGGAAAAAAGCAATATAGAAAGAAAAACTAAAACTAGTTTCCCATTCCCGGCGGAGAGAGAGAGAAAGCGCTGCACAAAACTTTTTTTATAGAGAGAGAAAAAGCTTCAAACTCTTTTAACAGAAGAGAGAAGAAGCTCGAAGAAGAAGGAAGAAAAAAAAGCTTCCTTCTTTCGAGGAAAAGAAGCAAGATACTGTAGTTATCAACTTATCATCAATGGCGAGAGACTTTAAGCTCATCTTCGCCATTTCTCTCCTGCTTCTGCTTCTGGGTTTGCCTCTCTTTCTTATCTCTCTCTCTATTATTCACTAGAGCCATTAACTAAATGATTCTCCACTTCAAAGAGCTTTCCGAGACTCTGTTCTGCTAAAAATTCGTTTCCAATAGAAATTTGATAGATTCCGTTACTTTCTTGTATTCTACTGTAGAACTTGAGCTTGCAGCTCTTGGAACCCATATTCCTATTTACGTAACATTGTTTTTTTTTAATCGAATCCAACTTCTAAATTTGGTCAGACAAAAACCAATTGATTCTGACTTTTTTTTTCCCCAAATTTTCTTGCAGGCTATTGCCACGGTGGCAAGGTCGGAGTTTGCTACGGAAGAAGCGCCGACGATCTTCCGACACCGGAAAAAGTTGTACAACTGATTAAACAGCATAACATTCAATACGTTCGTATCTACGATTACAATCCTCAAGTCCTCAAAGCATTTGGAAACACAAGCATTGAGCTTATGATCGGAGTTCCAAACTCCGACCTCACCGCCTTCTCTCAGTTCCAATCAAATGTAGACACGTGGCTCAAGAACAGCGTCTTGCCATACTATCCAACGACCAAGATCACCTACATAACCGTAGGAGCCGAATCCACCGACGATCCACACATCAACGCTTCGTCTTTCGTCGTCCCGGCGATGCAGAACGTGTTAACCGCTCTTCGAAAAGTCGGTTTGAGCAGAAGAATCAAGGTCTCGACCACTCTCTCGCTCGGTGTCCTCTCAAGATCTTTCCCTCCTTCCGCTGGTGCATTCAACAGCAGCTACGCGTATTTCTTGAGGCCAATGCTCGAGTTCCTCGCTGAGCATCAGTCTCCTTTCATGATCGATCTTTATCCTTACTACGCTTACAGGGATTCCCCGAACAACGTGTCTTTGGACTACGTCTTGTTTGAGTCTTCCTCTGAAGTGATTGACCCCAACACGGGTTTGCTTTACAAGAACATGTTTGATGCTCAAGTTGATGCGCTCTATTACGCCCTCACGGCTTTGAACTTCAGGACGATCAAGATTATGGTCACAGAGACTGGATGGCCAACCAAAGGTTCACCAAAGGAGAAAGCTGCTGCGTCTCCTGACAACGCAGAGACGTACAACACAAACATAATCCGCCACACGGTTACTAACCAAGGCACACCTGCAAAGCCAGGAGAGTCGATGAACGTTTATATATTCTCGTTGTTCAACGAGAACAGGAAGTCAGGTTTAGATTCAGAGAGGAACTGGGGACTGTTCTACCCTGACCAGACAAGCGTTTACCAGTTGGATTTCACGGGGAAGAACAGCGTGTTACGGTCGAATTCGAGTGGTACAAACTCTAGTGGGAGTGGTAATAGCTGGTGCATTGCTTCTTCTAAAGCTTCAGAGAGAGATCTGAAAGGTGCTTTGGATTGGGCTTGTGGTCCTGGGAATGTTGATTGCACGGCTATTCAACCGAGCCAGCCTTGTTTCCAACCAGATACGTTGGTTTCTCATGCTTCTTTCGTGTTCAATAGCTATTTCCAGCTAAACAGAGCTACAGACGTCGCTTGTAGCTTTGGAGGAGCTGGTGTTAAGGTCAACAAGGACCCTAGTAAGTCAACAAAAATCTCTACTGCAATAATCACTGATCAAAAGTCTTGGTTTTAACTTCAATGTGATTCAATGTTGTTACAGGTTATGACAAATGCATATACATATCCGCAGGCGGGTATGTCATAAAGACGGCTACTTTGTTTCAAATTCGCAAACTGAAGAACATTACATACATATGCTTACCTCTTCTGCTTCAACGGCTAATTTGTTAAAACTATTCTGCAGGACCAAATCCAAGGCGATGAATGCGACTGGATTGACCTCTTCTGCTTCAACTTCGCGTGGAAACGAGCTGCCCAGATGGATTTTGAGACTGTGTCTCGTGATCTTGCTGTTGTTCGGTCTGCAAACTCTGAATTTACAAGCATTGTAACTCAAAATCTGAAAGAAATTTGAGTCAGTGTTTGAAGCAAGAATGTAGCAATAGTGAGCGGTTTGGTCAAGAAATTATGACCGTCTAAGATTTTTGTCTTTCTTCCTGCAGTGGAATTGTTGTACAGACATTCTATCTGAAAACTTGTTTGAAATCACTTGTGTCCATAAACCTTGTGATCTGGATCAAACCTCACTGCAATTCACAAAAATTTCAATCTGCAGAACCATTCTTAAACTCTAAAAAAGCTAAGATACCACAAAACAATTTCAACTCGACACAAATGAAGACAATATTATATTGATTTTAGAATCATACAACCCCAAGATCCATCACATGGTAGGTAATACACAATCGGACAATTGAATGATCGATCACATTCGATATATAAATAGTTTTTCTCTCACGACACAACTAGGAGATTACATGAGCGACATGGATATAGCAGCAGCTTGGGTTTCAGAGCCCTGATTCAATCAGGTAGTCACCGAGCCTCTCAACGACCATATTACACTGTCCAGGAGCCATTGGTTCTTCATAGATACCAAAGACCAAGGCTTGGGTGGTCTTCTTGATGGTAACACCACCAGCTCCCTACAATGGAAGCAAAAGTAACATTTGTTCATAAAAACAAGTAGCAAGTGAGAAAATATGCATCAAAATCAGACAACAACCAAAAAGTAGTCTAGTTACCTTCTTCCCTCGAATGACAGCATTTGGCTCTCCTTGGATTACCATGTACTTTGTGCCACCGATGAATAATCCCGTTGGGGCAAGTGTTCCAGGTTCAGCAAAATCTTTGTTGATTCCGCTAATTTCCTCAGGCTTCAACTAAAACAGCAAATATAGTAAAACGGTAAGAGAAACGTAGACCAAGGAATTCAATTTCTCATCAGATTCCATGACAGAAAACTACAAACTACATAACCAGTATAAATGCTAAAATCCAATTTTCAGAAACAGCATTTCTTATACAACAAAATATCAGCAAAACACTCAAAAAAACCAATGAACATGTGAATAAGGAAACAAAAATCGACCCCAAGAACTTCTTCATTTCCAAATTCACACCTTTCTGCTAAAAAAGCTTTAAACTTTTGAAACGAATTCTGCAACTGCATCTTTTCCACTTTCTAACCCAACAACATATGAAAAAAACTATCTATCAGAGATCACTAGTCAAACGCATGAGCAAATAAATTAGATATTTCTAGACATTTCATCAATATATCCAATTCAATTCTCGTTTAGAGAAGGCAATTCAGGCGAAGAACTAAACAGATCACTCAAACTTGAAAAAAAAAAAGAGCTTAAAATGGGTTGCAGGTTGTGAACAACAGATCCAACAGCAAAGTCGCTGTTGAATCAAACCCTAACCTGAGGGAAATTGGCGCTCTGAGCCCAGACGCTACCGTCTTGGCCGAGAATTGCGGCGGCGGTGAGGTGGTTGCCTTCAACGTCGCACATCAAGTGATCGTCGACGTAAGTCTGCCACGACATCTTCGTCTTCTTCCTCTTTCTTCCTCGGCTCTGCTTCTTCTGTGGCTAATCGGAATGTTCTAGAGATAGCGTCGAAACTACGAGTGTATATGGCATTTACGCAAATATAATTTATTTATACATGAACGACGCGTGCCCGAATATCTTTTGTAGACATTATTATTTCATTATTTGACGTGTGTTCGAAAATAACTATACTTTAATTTTACCAATGTTTGTATATTTATGACAATTGGCAATAAAAATAAATGGAAAGGACGATGTCGATGTACATTAATAAATGGAAAGCTCAACCAATTAAAAGACAAAGATTTGCTTAACGAAAAAAAATTATAATCAAATTTTCTTGGAAAATCATTCCACTTGATATAACTACCATTTAAAAATAATCCTCTAACATTAAAGTAAAGAAAATTAAATTAAAAAAATTATAATGAACAGTTTATTTTTATATAAATTCTTGATATAGAAAGTTAAAAATCTCTGTAAACATTTGTGTAAAGCATATTATTACAAGAAATTTTGCAAAATAATTAGATTAATAGGGTGAAAAAATCGAAAATATATTTTTTAATATTATTCTTGTTGGTGTAATCAGTAAAAATCTTTTTTTTAGAATCTTGAATTTGAACTTTGATAGTTGAATTGTACTTTTTTATATTCGATTTTGATTACTTTTATTTATTTAAAAGTTTATAAATATTATATAACGTACTAAAAAATTAAAAATACTAAACTGTAACATCGAATCTTGTTATCTTTGAACCGGCCATGCAATGATGCAACTATCAATATATGGGTCCCCAACCCAACCCAAGCATCTCTTAGCTAATAACTGCTGCAACTACCACTCTTAACACTTTAGGTGGTTGATGATTTAAGTAATGCTATCTATTAAAAAAATCCACAACTTATAAACTCAAGAACCAACCAAGAACTCGGGGAAAAGAAAAAGATTAGTATTTAGGAACCAAATTACTCCACAAAACGAATTTTTCATGCTATCGACATTGGACAATGACAAAAGAATAAGTAAGGGAAAAACTAAGGGAAAACCTGTTGTTATGTAGTTCTTGGAAAATCGTTTATATTCTGCAAAAATCTGATGCCAATTTAGAGATAAGCAGTGGTCAGAGATGATCCATCTCATTCTATGGGCCTGATAGATTTCTATAGGGCCAATACGACTTAATTTACTCAAATGGGCCTTAATACGTTGTTCGTAAAGGAGGGTGCTTTTGTAAATTTTGTCTGATATGTTGAAGAACATTGTGGGTGATCTTTCGAGTTTGACCAACTGGCTCACTCTTTGAAGTTTGAAGCAATTTTTTTATTTCAAATTCCGACTCTCGTCATCGGGATGATCGATGAAACGGAGGAGGAAGATGACGAGTCGCATCGATCATCCCGAAACGATGGCGTTTCTAAGAAGAAGAAGGGTGTGGGTTTTAAGGGAGATAAAGCAAAGAGAGCTCTAATCGGAGCAGGAGGTCGGATCCTGTTTTACCCGACTCTTTTGTACAACCTCCTCCGCTTCAAACTTCAGTCTCAGTTCCGATGGTGGGATCAAATCGATGAGGTAACTTTTTGTTTCTCTCAATCGATGAAGGCGACAATGATTTTTTGGTATGAGGAATTTGAATTTGACTGCAATGTTTGGATCCCAAAGAGGGGAAATGTGTATTGCTTTTGTTGTTTGGAGCAGCTTAGATTTTTATTCTTCTTGCAAAGGAATTAGTTTCTTGAGCTTGACAGTGTCTTAGCTATAAGATCAGCTCTTAGCCTTCATAGTTGTGGGTTTTGAGTTTTTCCCCAACCATATCTGAAATATTTTCACAGTACTATCTAAAAGTCAGAATATGAGCTCTTTGTATAATTATGCTAAAATATGAGCTCTTTCTCAAGTATCAATTGTTCATTTGGTTAAAAAGAAATTAGCTATTTCGAGTCTATGTAGCATTTTGGTAATGCAGAAAGCTTTTTTTGTTTCTTCAGTATCTTCTGATGGGAGCAGTTCCATTTCGTAAGGATGTTCCGAGACTAAAACAGTTAGGCGTTGGTGGTGTAATCACTCTTAATGAACCTTATGAGACTTTGGTACCATCCTCTTTGTACAATGTAGGTTCAAATTCAATGCCCCCAATCTTGTGCTCCAAATCTTCTGTCTACTTGTGGAGCATTTGATGAATTGCAAATTTGTATTAGGCTCATGGAATGGAGCATCTAGTTATACCAACACGAGATTACCTTTTTGCTCCTTCGATTGCAGACATAACCCAAGCTGTAAACTTCATTCACAGTAAGTGATGTTGTCCTCTCCTTTTACACGTATTTGCATTTACTCTTTCTGTTTCTGTTGCTGATTCTACATTCCCTTGTTTCTCCTCCTGTGACAGAGAACGCTTTGCTTGGTAAGTCCACTTATGTCCATTGCAAGGCTGGTCGCGGAAGAAGTACTACCGTTGTTCTTTGCTATCTGGCAAGTCTATAAATTAGTCGGTTTAAAATCATATCGGTCGAATTAAATTGCATTGCCTCGTCAAGGAGTTTCTTTCTCACTGTTAATTCTCTCTGTGTTTTTTTTTTTTTTTTTCAGATTGAGCATAAGAGTATGACTGTAGCTGCAGCTTTTGAACATGTGCGCTCGATAAGACCACGGGTTTTACTGCATCCTTCACAGAGGAGGGTAAATATTGCCCGCTTTATCGATACGCTTGGTTTATGAGAGAAATCATGAAGCTGAAAAAACATGATCTTTTTGTGTGTGATTCTTCAATACAAAGTATAGGATTTTGTTTTCTGAAAGACTGTGATTTCATGTGTAACTAGGTTGTTGAGGAATTTAACAACAGACTACAATCTTCTTTGAGCGACTCAGCGTTCATCGCAACTTCTGATGGCAGAGATCATAGCTCAGCATTCCCGGCATCGATCAGAAGCTAGGCCAGGAAATGCTCTTCTCTGCTTCATTTTGGTTCGGTTAATATCTCCGGTTTTGACTATCTGACTCGGTTTGGTTCCTGCGAAGGCCGCTCTACTGGTTAATTATATACAGTATTCATTGTCTCAATTATCTCCAAAAGAAAACAATCACTTACAAGATTGAGGCCCTTGTGACATGATTTTCTTAAGTAACAAACTAATGTAAATGACTAGTTGATTAACAATTGTTCATAGCATAATTGTAATTATACGATATGCGTTAATTTCCATCATTTTAATAATTTTGGTCCTACCAGAAGGGTGGGAACGTTAACCAGTCTGCATTTTGCTGTGGAATTGCTTCAGAATTTTCCTGCAAATTTAGACATTTGTAAGTGACCTTTTGAATTATGCGAATTTAATTTGGATCAATAAACTCATAGACATAGCCTATACACCTTTCATGAACATTAATTTATTAAATATTTATTAGAAACTTACGTCTTCTGTGCAAGTAGCAGTGCAACCCATAATTAAGTCTTCTAATCCCGAACCAGATGATCGACCCCTTAATTGCTGCTGCTGTCATATTAAAAAAAGATTACTTTATAACAAAAAATTAAAAAATTAACATCCGGCCAACAAAAAGTATTGCAATTTAAGGACCATATAAGTATGTGTTGGTTTGAATATAGACATTTCCACTACCCATGTATGCTTTACTTGTAACTTTTGCAAGCTAATTTACTTTTTAAACGAATATGAACAAGATTGAGTTTGTGATATATGCGTGATTTACTTTTTGCATGAGCCTGTAGATCCAAAATCATTAGTTTTCACTTATATGAGTTGTTATGATTAAATGTCCAAGAAACACTACTATATATATCCATGCACGTTCGCGTGCATCGACTTCGAATTTGAGTTTCTTATTTATAAATATTCTAAGAAATATATTTGACATTAAATTTTGGGATTTAAGTAACAGGAACTTTACCTGAAATGGCACAGTACTTGTAATATTGAAGAATGTCTCATGTTGATATGAAGATGTAGATGCTATGTGTCCGATTTGATGATGTTGATTATTATGATCATGGATCATATCGTGAGATGATGTTGATGATGATGATGATGGTTTTATGGTCCCGTCATGTACTTCCTCGCACGTGCCAGACACACGCCGGATTTCTCTTCCCTTCGAAGCTTCGGCTGTCCCCTTAATTACATACATGTTAATTACCACACACACAAAATGTTTGTCAACGACTCATTCTCTTTGTAAGCTAATGCGCGTACGTACTACGTACTATATAATATTTTCTGAAAAAAAGTGTGTCTATATAATTTATATCTATATTATATGTATTAATGTATATACCTCATTGAAGGCTCTTGTAAAGGGATTCGTATTAACCCTAGAAACGACGTCACCGGAGCCAAGACTCTGCAAAGCGGCAGCAACGCCGGATATCTCATCTCCGGCGCCAAATCCGATCAAGTCCTTCGAACTACCATGATTATCTGACCAGTTATTATTACCAACACATTGTCTAGGTTGTGTTTGGTAAAAGATCTTAGAGACCACAAGTTCTCCTTCTCTTTCTTCTTCGTTAACCCCTAAATGATATTGATGCATCACCCAATTTGTTTTTTCCGGTCGTCGATTCTTGCCAAAGTTTGTGTAAAGTACTAATATCTTCTTGCATCCTCTTTGTCGACCGTTGATCATTACCGGTCTTGTTTTGCCGGTTTTGTGCCATCTCGTTTCTGACGATGATCCGGTTACCTCGGAGCCGTGATCGGTTTGAATGATTTTGCGTCGTTTTCTTGTTCCGGTTGTGTAAGCTCTTGATGGTTTGTGGAAGAAGTGTTTGCTTAAGCCATCTTTTGTTACCCCTAATTAATTGCAGGAAACATTTAATATGACGTGAATTGGATTTTCTAGAAAAATAACGTAAAGCGGAACAAGTTATTACGAATAAAATGTAAAATTTTGTTTCTTTCAAAGTTAGGTTACCAAACATTATCCAAGAGCTTAATATTACTACTTGCATGCACATTCATACATAATATGTATGAACTAAGAAGTTATCCAAGAAAATGAAAATACCAAGTTCATTAGAGAGTCCATATATTATGTTGTAGGTCATTTTAAAACAGTAAAAAAAAAAAAAATTAAAACAGTACTTTAAAACGCATCACATCCTTTTATTTTTGGAATAGGTTTCGTTTAAAAGTTTTTAGTTACGCAAAACATATCCATTCGCAAATTCAATTCATGTTAAAATTTCAAAGGAAATCTTTATGCTTTTCAACTCATTATAAATAGAACTATATAATCTATATATTTAACTAAAATATCAAAAGCACACTTATACTAAACACATAGGGTGAGCCCAAAAAAATTAAACACATAGAATATGTGAATAAAGCTTTCCTAAACTTGGATAGTAATAGTTATGTAAGAAAAATTAGGATATATAAAATAAAAGAAAATTCAAGAAATTCATAGTTTTAAATATTGAGGCTGTTGACTAAAAAAATAAGGGTTTATACTAAACAAAAAAAAATAAAACATCATTACAAAAATAAAAGAAAAAAGAAGGTTAGGAACCAGTGGAGTAGTGATTTCTACTATGATTTTATAGTACCAATTTTTGTCACCTCCAAACTTTTATTTATATTGAATCAATCCATACTGTTTTGTGTTATCAGTCCATATTTGTTTTTTTTTGGTTGTTGTATCAAAAAGAGATAATTGAACCTGGAAGCTTCTGAGGATGAGTGTAACAGATCCCATCTTCTCCATCAATGGTTGGGATAAACTCATCTATCAGTGGATGAGACGACGACCATTTCTTATTTTCTTCATTTGCATTCACTTTTGCTTCTAAATGTTCTATAAGTTCTTGATCCGTCGGATCAAATTTCACTCCCGCCGGCAATCCAACCCAGTTCTAAAAGAAAAAGAAAAAAAAAAGAATTAAAAAAAAAAGAATGAAGAGCAGATTTAAAGAAAGAAAAAGTTAAAGGAGAATCTCTTTTATTTTTATTTCTGAGTTTTGATGAGTTTATGTATGTATATATGTTATGGAATAAGGATATTACTGGTTTAGTAGCAGCTTGAATCATGCGACCACATCCAGGACAATGCTTTGATCCGCAAAGATGATGATGTTCTTCGAGCTTCAAATCTATGAGGTTACATTTGCTATTCTTCATTTCGGTTTGATCGATAGCTAAAATGATTGATCTCGATTAAGTATGAGAGATTGATATGCAGTTCATAAATAAATAAATAAAACTCTCAAATATATCGCTTGATGCATCTATCTATACACACTAACACACGTATATATATAGATAATATTCCAATCATTAAGAAGAACCAAATAATAAACAAATGTCAAGATTATCAGATATTCAGATTTATACGAGATCTACCTAAAATGAATGTGAAATTTAATAAATTGATTAGATGAGATTGATCTCAACATATAAATGCAAAGAAAAACATGCATGACAAAAAAAGAGTGAAAACCAAATATCAATATTACCAGATTTATATGAGATCGACTGAATTGAGACTGGAATTGAGGAAGAAGAATTTGAGAAAGACGGGAGTGATCTCATATATATAACAAGAGAGAATTTATAATCTATAATTTATTTGCAAGTATATTTATGCTTTGATTAAGTTTGATTATTATAATTAATTATTATTACTATTGTTATCATTATCTCTCTTTGGTTCCAGAAGAGACACAGAAACACATGTAGATACGACTTTAAGTAGTGTAAAATCTATGTCAAGTAGATAAAGAAATGAAGAAGAAAAGAGGAAGAAGAAGAGTAAAGGAAATCAAAGGAGTTGAGACTGAAAAGGTTAAAACCCTAATTTTACTCTCTCTTGTCGTGTGTTGAAGTGTCTTGACCAAACCTTTTATGTCTTTTCTTTCTGATTTGTATTTTCTTAGTTAAGTAAAGTGTGTGTATTCATAAATTCTAAGGCGGTATGTAAATAGCTATTGTACAAAAAGATATACCAATGTTTTTGTACAAATTTTTTTAGTATTTTACACACTTAAATGTGTGAGGAGATTATGAACAATATAGTACTTAAGAATAAATTCAAGTTTATATTGTCTGAGATATGATAATTACGAAATTATTGATTATATTTATTTTAAATATTTCTAATTTTCTTGTGTAAAAATAATAAAAATTATTTTAGGCGAAAATATAATTAAATGACTGAATCAGATGCAACATTCCATTTTCTACGATATTTTTTTTAACATCTTAAAAAATGTTCTATTTTCTACAATATATTTGTAACTAAATGTGTGATAACAAGAAAATATACAGGTTTCTCATAATTTTGAGATTGGTATGTAAGTTTGTATAATTTATGTAGTAAACTATAAAATGTAGAAATCACTAGCACATTAGGATTTTGATTCATCCAGACATCTACTGTATATAATAATAGTACCCCAAATCCGCCGCAAGTTTATTGGGGACCATGGGAATTTCTTCTCATTTACGTGTCTACGTGGAATTTGTTTTTTTAGGCCATTTTAATTACTTAGTTGAATAAGTTGAATTTTAAAGTCACGGACTTTTGTACATAATTACGGGTCGACTTAGCAAACACAGCATATTGTTTTTTGAAAATAAAAATAAAGAGTGCAGATAAAGAACATAGGAAAAAGCATTTAAGGATAATCTCTTTGAAACAAGGCAAACACATGTTTTAAGAATCTTTTTTCTCTTTTTTTACTTAATCACATTTTATATATTTTTATGTAGGTAATTCGTTTTCGACGTTGGGACCCAAACATTGATGTGGGTCCAATGATGATGTCGGAAGGTGGGGCCTAGACGCAGATTTGTTTGAACAACAGATCAAACGGTCATGATTGATTTGATCTGATTGTTAGGTTTCGCATTTTTCTTCCCTTATTCTTTGAATAGGGAAATAAAAAAACGGAAAAAAAAACTCCGATAGGGAGAGAACAGTGTGAGACGAGAATAAACATATTTATCAGCTGTTTGTTATAAGAACATATCCTCTTTTTCGATATATATAAGAGCTTTTAGAATTGGTAGAGAGTATTTTATTTCTTTAGTCATGCCATGAAAACACATATATACACGCAATCATTAAATAAAACGTTTTTATTTTAAATTTATTTTTCATAACATATAATAAATATCAAAGTTAGAATCCTGAAAATGTGTATGTATATGTATTTATGTAAATGTGACCACATGTAATAAGTTCTATCATTCTCTCTTTGAATTTTATTTTGACTGTATTAATTTTCCGTTTATAATTTTATTAATTATTCCAATTAGATAATTTAAGAATAAGTTGTAATCAACAATGTAATATTATAAAAATAAAATAAATCTTAACATTACACACAAAAAAAAAAAAAAAATATGTGAGCCTGTGAGACGAGCATGAACTGTTACGTTGTATATGTAAGAACATCTTTTTTGCTGTTGATAAGAATATTATGTTTAATTAATTAAGTTGGTGTGAAAACACGCACATATATACAGTTTATCATATGAGAAAGAAATTTATTATTTTTCATTCAGCCTTCCATATCGTTTTTTATAGCATAGGGTGTTTCTAATAATTAATGTTTTCAAGCTAATTAGAAGAAGGGTTATCGAAAAAATGTAAAAAACACATTTCATGGATCAGATATTTGGAGTAACTAGCTACGTAGTAAATATTTAGATTTTCTAGTTGACGATCGAAAACCTAAAATTTTCAAATATCCATATGTGTGACTTACTTACTTAATGTGATTTTGTTTGCAACAATGAGGTATTTTGTTTGGACTTTGGAACATCAAAGTGTGGCCTTCGAATTTGATTCCTGGGCCGAATCAAGGCCTATCTATCAACTTGTTACTAGTCATGGGCTTCGCAATCGTCCATATAACTTCGTCTTGTTTCTTGCAGGGATTAAGCGAGAGTCATGTGAAAGTAACAGAAATAACGGCCATAATTAATAGTACAACTTTTACTACTTTTATTCTGATTCGAAATCGACCGGAAAATACGCATCATTTTCTGTATTTACCGTCGAACAACAGATATGACTAAGACAATTCCAGAACGCTACAAAGAATCATACGATTACACGTGTAGAGTTTTATTTAACACTACGCGAGCTGTTTCAAACAAAATTCTATTATATATAGTTTTTTTAATTTAAAACGGCTAAGCAAGTATGTCATCTGATAGCATTATGAACTTATTATAAGCTTTTTGTCAACTCTTTTTGTTTATTTGTAAGTTCATAATGTGCTCTCTTTTGTATTATATCATGTGCTCTCTTTTGTATTAACCAGCAAATTGTTGCATGACACCCAAATAAAACGGCAAATGGGTTTAAAAATTATTAAATAAATAGACAAACATAAAATATAGTATAGCCGAGACAAAAAAATTGGACTTGTCTTGTTCAGGAAAAAAAATGGACTTGTTTTTTCTTTAAGAGATTTTATCTTAAAAAACTGTCGGAATATTCTTCAAGATCTGAATGACGACGGATTATTACAAAAGCAAGTTAAAAAATTGAAATGAAAAAAAAATCATTTTACAAAATTAATATAAATTACTTGTTTTGCAAGGTCCAACTAATAGAGTTCAAATAAATGGAAAGTTACAATTAATGAATTAGTCTTGTTCTAGAAGAATGTGAATCATCTTCTCCAAGTTTCAACGTTGGTTTTTTTTCTTTTCATTTACATATATATAAACACGAGAATCCTGTACCCGAGTTGCATATACATACTCATGTATATGTGTATGTATATATTCGTTTAAGTCGTCTTATGGTGAAAATCCTTTGATGCGCACCACCTGTTTGATCATATTCCCCATCTAAAAAAGCGAGAAAAATTCTTCCTCTCTCAATTGGTGTATCTCTCTCACTCTCTCTCTCTCTTTCTTACCTCTTCTGATTTGTTAAAGACTCAAATTTTCAACTCCTACAAAAATGGGTCGCCTTGTATTCGATTGACGGGTTTGATTCATTTTCCTTCTTCGTTTCAGGATTTGGGTTTTTTTTTTCTTCCTTCTTCTTCTTCTCATTTCAAAGTAGTTTCATCTTCGTGGAGAGAGTTTCTCTGATTTGATCGTCGTCATGTCTAGTCCGAGAAGTTCCAAGCCGAAGATCGTCAACGGTCCTGGTGATTATATACTACAGGACGTTCCTCACCTCATCGATTATCTTCCGGATCTTCCCGTACGTTGCACATGATCTCTCTGATTGTTGCTAATTTGGCTTTGAAATCTTGAAGAAAATTTCTCGATCTACACAAAATTTGATATCTTCTATGAACAAAGGTTGAATCTTTTGCTTTGGTTTCCAATGTTTTGATATGTGTTATTTGCAGACTTATCCGAATCCATTACAAGACAATCCAGCTTACTCAGTCGTCAAGTAAGTGTTTTTAGCTATTTTAGACTTTTCCATTGCTTATGGTTCATAGTTTTGATGAGTTTTTTTCTTTTTCTTTTTGTTTTATCAGGCAATACTTTGTTGATGCAGATGATAGTGTTCCTGAAAAGGTAAATTCATCAAGCGTAACCCTTCTTTACCCTGAAATGTTTGAAGAATGGTGTTAGATGAATATGTCTTACTCAGAAAACTAAAAACTCATTGCAAAACGTTATACTATTCAGATTGTAGTTCACAAGGATGGTCCCAGAGGAATCCATTTCAGGCGCGCTGGACCACGCCAAAAGGTTTACTTTGAGTCTGATGAAGTCCATGCTTGTATTGTTACATGTGGAGGTCTCTGTCCTGGTCTCAACACCGTGATTAGAGAAATCGTGAGCAGCTTATCTTACATGTATGGAGTAAAGAGAATCCTTGGAATCGATGTATGTATATTGTGAAACATAATTAATCTCTTCATTTACAGTTCAGTATCGCCACCATTGTCCTTATGATTTTCATTTGTTGAAAATCGTACAGGGTGGATACAGGGGATTTTATGCCAAGAATACTATCCCCTTAAACTCTAAAGTCGTGAATGATATCCATAAACGTGGAGGAACAATCCTCGGGACCTCACGAGGTGGACATGATACCACAAAGATAGTTGATAGCATCCAAGATCGGGGAATTAATCAGGTTTACATTATTGGCGGAGATGGAACACAGAGAGGAGCTTCAGTAATATTTGAGGTATTCCATTGTGATACGTCAGATATTGGTTAGAAGTTTTAACAATCAGCAGCTGAAGTTTGATTATAAACAATGTAGGAAATTAGAAGGCGTGGACTTAAAGTTGCTGTGGTTGGAATTCCGAAAACGATTGATAACGATATACCGGTGATAGATAAATCTTTTGGGTTTGACACTGCTGTGGAGGAAGCTCAACGAGCGATCAACGCAGCACATGTTGAGGCCGAGAGTAATGAAAATGGTATTGGTTTTGTCAAGCTTATGGGTCGTTACAGTGGTAAGTTTTTCTATTCTTGTGTTTTCGCTTTGAACGTTACACTTAAATACCTTTTGAGCTGTTACTGAGTAAAGGCTATGCGATGATTTACTACAGGATTCATAGCGATGTACGCTACATTAGCGAGCAGAGATGTTGATTGCTGCTTGATCCCCGAGTCACCATTTTACCTCGAAGGAGAAGGTGGACTCTTGGAGTTCATAGAGAGACGGCTCAAGGAGAATGGTCACATGGTGATTGTTCTTGCTGAAGGAGCAGGACAAGATTTGATGTCCAAAAGCATGGAATCTAATACTCTTAAGGACGCGTCTGGTAACAAACTTCTGAAAGATGTCGGCTTGTGGCTATCACAAAGCATCAAGGTAAATAAAAAGACTCGAAACTTTCTCTTATGCCATTACAGAAAACTCATCATAGTGTTTTCTACTTTTTCTCTAATGATAGGATTATTTTAAGAAGATTAAGATGGTGATGAATCTCAAATACATTGGTAACAAAACCCTTCTTTCCCCATTTTTTTTGTTTTTTTTTAACATTTGGATTATCTTTTCTCTAACTCATTTCTCGTTTCTTGCTTTTAGATCCGACATACATGATCCGGGCTGTTCCAAGCAATGCATCAGACAATGTTTACTGTACACTTCTTGCTCAGAGCGCGGTTCATGGTGCAATGGCTGGTTACACTGGCTACACTAGCGGTCTTGTCAATGGAAGACAAACATACATCCCTTACTACGTAAGCTAGTTATGCATACCGGATTTGTTTTCGCTTATAATACCGAGTTTCGATTTGCTGGAAGGGAAGGATCTGAATTGTGATTAGGGATTTAGCAATGGACTAATCTGGTTCGACCTGTCAGATCATGTGGTCTTGAGGGATGGTCTTGATTTGATCCTTTTTTTGTTGTTGTTGTTGCAGAGAATAACAGAGAAACAGAACAATGTGGTGATTACGGATAGAATGTGGGCAAGGCTATTGTCTTCTACGAACCAGCCAAGTTTCTTGGGCCCTAAGGATGTATCTGAGGAGAAACAAGAGATGGCAGAGACGCCGCATCTTGACGGTGCAAATGGTGACGGAGCTATCGATATTCCTCCGGTGACTAAAGAGATCACTAAGTGAAAGTAAAAGATTTGATCAGACAATTTTTCAGGCATATATATATACTCAGGTCTCAAGGCTTTCTGAAGACGGTGTCGTTTTAGGCGAAAGTGAAATAATTGTTTGTTATGGCGATTTTGCCTTTATGTTGGCAAACAGCCAAACACTCATATTTTAGATGTTTAGTTTTGTATTTTCTTTTTGGCACCTTCCAACATTCATATTATTTATTGGATATGATTTTTACACTAAAATTCTAAAGAAGGAAAAGGTTTAAGAGAGATCCTAATGAAGATATGGTACATCAATGGAAGAATCTCGATAATTTGGGCATCTCTAATAATCAAAAGTGTAATTATGTTAGGATCGTACAGTTTAGGCAACTAGATCTCAATCTCTGTAATACGGATGTATATCACTCTCATTCAATTAATTTAATACACAGAAACGTCTAAATTCTTCTTCTTTCTTCTTCTCTCTGTATCAATTCAACAAGTACTTAAAAGGAAATTTATGAATTTAAATCTAAACGATTTGGTGCTGTTAAAGCGTCTTGGGACGTCTAATAATAAAAAAAAAGAAAAAATTCAAGATCAATTATATGCTGTGAACTCGACGTTTTGGGTTTTGGTATAATGATTTATTCAGTTGTGAATTCATATATGTTTACGTCATTATTAATGAATACAAACGTCATTATTACCGAATAAAGGTCGTAATCCATTAACACGATTATCACGAAAATTTTAAAACAGAAGATGATATTATTTTTTATTAATAATCGGGCAGAAGGGTTACACATAATACATATTTTGTATCATCATTAGCCAATGCTAATGCTAATGCAATAAGTTTTATGCTAACTCATGTAATAATAAAACTTGAGTAACTGGGCAGTAATGCTTTCCAGTACTTAAAACGACTACTAGTGATGCTTAAACTTTGTGGACGCCGAAATGCTGTTTCACCACCTCAAATTTTCCGGGAAATACTGAAAATCCAAAAAACAGAATTATTGACTTTTAAAATCAAGAAAAAGGCAATATACACAATGCTTTAATTAAAATATTCCTTTTTTTTTTGTTTGTAAATCGTCGTTTGTATCATTTTCTTCAATCGATCTCTATATTATTTTCTTCAAGAAAAATTTTATTTTAAAACAAAATTTATCGAATAAAATTAATTAGTTACATATTTAAAGTAAAGATCCTTACTTTCTTGATAATCGACATGTAGTACGGTTTGACCTTCTCGACATCGACGTGTACTTTGCTCTTGCTGTATAAGTCGTAATTGCTGTATTTTAAACACAAATTAAGGATTAAGATCTTATTATTAGGAGGACCAAGTTAAATTATGATATTAATTAAGAAAGTTATTAAATTACTTGAAAACATGGAGCCATTTGAGATTTTCCTTGTCTTCCTCATTCATAAGGTGAGTGTATGCTCCAGCCTTGTGCAAAGCTACATACATATATGTGATCACATATACATAATAATAAATTATTCAAATTATGTTACGAACAAAGTGTTTAGTTTTTAACAGTTATTTTATAATTTAATATATAATGCTTACGATAGAAGGAATGATATCGGATGATGAACATTCCAGCAGAGGGCAAGGTGCTTCCATTCTCTTTGGCCACCTATGAACATATAATAAACGGTAGTTTAAAAAAAACAATATTTTAAATCAGAATTAGTTATAATATTTAAGAAGCTGTTAACTTCTTGTGATGAATTTAAAATATTACCAGATACATGTAGTCATCATGTCCCCACGACATACAAACATTTTCTAGTCCACATCCTTCAGAATAAATCCCATTTTTGGTATTGTATAGTGGGTTGTCAAAATCAGGGTTTTCCATGAAATACTGCAAAATAAAAGAAGGTAAGAAAAGGTAAAAACGTTAAATTCTAAATCACCTGTTTAGTGATATTAAAAAATACTCGAAAGTGTAATATGATTTTTTTTTATATATATTATAAAGTTGCTAATTAGCAAAATTTTGAGATTGATATGTACCTTGCGGTGTACGTTAGATTCATCAAATGCACATCCAACAGGAAAAGTGTCACCTAAAGGTTTTGAATGATAGGGAATGCATGAGTTATTCAAAATTGATGAATTTAATAATAATCAGTCAACGAAACATTCATATGATTTTTTTTAAAAAAAACCACAAATAATTAGACTTACCAACAACTGCCCATTGAGGAAGTCCTCCAAACTGTGGAAGAGTAAGAACCTTCCCAAGATCTGGAAATTCACTCTATCTTTAGCATTTGTAGGAATTTTATTTATGGAAATATTGATTTGTAACTACAGCCATAAGCATTATTGTTTTGCCATAATTAACGATTTACCATGGATAAGAGCAGTGAGATGAAGCCAATCTTCATCAGGATAATCTTTACGGATTGCTTCTGCGGATTGAAGCAAATGCTGAATTTGCGGTTCATCAAGATCAGGATCACTCTCGTCCACCACTTCGTTAAGGAGTTCACAACATTCCCAAATGTTCATCACCATCTTGTCTAATTTTCCATACTCACTTCTCATTTTCTTTACCTACAAAAAGTATAATGACCACGCAAATTATATAGGACCCAACTTTTATGCAAATAGTTTGGGTATATATACATTGACACAAACTGATAAAACCCTAAATTGTAATGTAGACAAGATATCTTACGAAGTCTAAAGTTTGGTTAGTGTGTTGTGTTTTGTAGAACTCTTCGACGCTCTTCTGCCTCTCGCTGTTCGCATCCGCATAGTCTCTACAACAATGTACATTGATCAAATCTATTTTCTTCTTTTAATCAATTGAAAAATGTTTAAATTATATCTTTAAAAAAAACCTGAACTGACGACCAAATGCGTTCACTTCAGGAGCCAAAAATACAACATCGTCAGATGATTCCTTCGACATTGGAATTATGTTGTCCAATTGTAACTCTTTGGTTTTCTTTTGTGTCGTAAAATCCTCATGCACTGAAAAAAAACATATAGTAATAACCATTAATTTTTTACCCCCATTTTTGTTATGAATAAAAATAAGATAAAAGTTGTGATTTTCGAAGTAAAGGAAGATATATGTTTACCAAAAACAGGGGTTTCGACAGAGATAGTCATCTTCCCAAAAAAAAAAGATGAATTGAAGACTAAAAGATCGAGAGAGAATGTCGACAAAGAGGCGTAATTTGATGGAGACACACGAAAGGGTATTTGTAGTGGTTGTGGTTTTGGGGACGATAAGTCCTTTCCTCTATATTTAGAGAGAAATCCAGGTATTATATATATTTGACCACGAATTCTTTAGCAACCAAGATTTTATCCATCCCTCAGAAAGACAAAAATCATAAATGAAAATAACTCTTTTCTAAAAATCAAAGACAATATCTGACTACCATAAATATGCCGTATGTCAAAATAAAACATTTGTTTAACTTTATATAAGTCAAGTCAACGTTTCTTTTTTCTACGTTAGTTAAATTGTCTATCAAATATTCATTTTGTTGACATGTATCGTCTTTCCTTTTAGGGTTTGGCTATGTGTCCAAGTTCAGAAATATAGTAGACAAATGCAATGAAATGTAGTAGACAAATGCAACGTTTCTTTTTTCTACGTTAGTTAAATTGTCTATCAAATATTCATTTTGTTGACATGTATCGTCTTTCCTTTTAGGGTTTGGCTATGTGTCCAAGTTCAGAGATATAGTAGACAAATGCAATTAAATATATGTCATATTTTTTATGAACTTTTAAAGACACATATGCCCATCAGATTCTTACTTTTTTCACCATTTTTATACTCCTTACCTTTCTTTATTACTGTGTTTATTTTTTTCAAAGTATAATATCCGTACTTCTCGCTGTTTTAAAAATTATGATATCTGGGACTTTGAAAATATAATGAAAATTGATTCGATTTATATATAATTAATGAAAATTGAGGATGGTATATTCTTAGCAATCTGGGTTATAAAACAGGATATTCTTAGCAAAATAAAAATGGGATAATTGGCAAAATACACTTTTTAAGTTTTTGAATTAGTAAAATACGCTGCTTTTTAATATTTTTGAAAACTACACTTTTGCTATATGTAAAAAACGTTTTTGCCCAAAGTTAATTAGATAATTACGTATTTTAATGAAAGAAACTAAAAATTCGAAATTATTAAAATTATGACTAATTTTTGTTTGAGATAAAGATAACTAATTATTTAGTATTGTAAAGTTTAGATTTGGATAAATCTTTCAAAAATTTTAAATTTATCTTACAAAATTAGTGTGTATATAAAGATGACATTAAACGGTTTCATCAAACAATTCAGTTTTCTTATGAAAAAACAGAGCTAAAAGAAAACAGAGCAACCTAGCTTCTTTCGATTTTTTATAGTCTCTCTGATTCACAACAACAATAACCGAGAATAAACAATAGATTGTCTCATGCAAAATCACATTGGTTTCAGAGTACTGGTAATGGTATAGATGTATACGTAATCTCCAGTGTAATTTCTTCGAACATTGACGTTAAATGATATGATACACCAAATCTATCATACTGCATATATAAAGTAGTGTTCTTGTTTCATCAGAATAAGTAGTGATTGAATAGATCTAAGTGCACTACGTTACCTCTATTTTTGAAGGTACTGTAAGAAGTAAGAACCATACTGTACTTTCATTTCTAACTATACGTTCATTCCTATGAAGCACATTTGACTTTCTCTTTTATTATTTTCTTTATTTTAAGATGAATGTGTAGTAAGAGAAACAAAATCATCACAAACAAAATCATTCGAGTCGAATATTATCTAAAAAATTTCTACAATAACAGATGGTAAGACAGAAAATGTTTGAAACGAAACGCAATAAATTTAAAAATTATTCTTTTGTATCAAACATCTCTAATTAAAAAGAACATTCTATTTAAAGAACAATTCTTGGGTTCACCCTTAGGGGTGAACCTCATTATTCACCTCCTTCTATTATAACCAATCAAAACATGCCATTTAAAATTTAAAATAAATGAATATTATCTTCATAAAACAATTAAGGTATGTTGACTTTTTTATCACATACAATTAAAAATTTAATATTATTCAAATGAAATAATTTGATTTAGTTATTAAAATTATTCTTTTATTTACTTTTTCTTATTTTAACCAATAAAAATCAGCTAAATAATTAAATTAATTAAAGTAATTTATCAAAATAACACATTTTAAATTTTCTTTTCTAATATAAAAAATAAACCCTAAAGTAAAATAGTGAACCCAAGCATAACATTAAACTTTTTAAAAAATTAAAAAATAAAAACTAAATCCTAAACCCTAATCTCTAAACCCAAACATTAATTTTAATAATAAAAAATAAACATTAAATCCTAAACCCTAAATCTAAATATATATTATTAAAATCAATATTGGGTTTAGGGATTAGGGTTTAGGAATTAGTTTTTATTTTTTAAGTTTTTTAAAAATTTAATATTTGGTTTAGGGTTTAGGGTTTAGGGTTTAGTTTTTATTTCTATTTTGTTTAAAAAAAATATTTGGGTTTAGAAGTTAGGATTTAGTTTTTTTTTTAAATTTATATATTATGGTTTAGGGTATAGGGATTATGGTTTAAAATTTAAAAATTAAATTTTGATTTTTTTTATTATTAATTCGTTTTTCTATTTTGTTTTTGTTTTTATTTTTTAATTCACTTTAAATCTTATATGGCATATTTTGAATAATATTAAATTTTTAATTGTCTGTGATAAAAAAGTCAACTTACCTTAATTGTTTTATGAAGATAATATTCATTTATTTTAAATCTTAAATGACATATTTTAATTGGTTATAATAGAAGGGGTGAATAATGAGGTTCACCCCTAGGGGTGAACCCAAAAATTGTTCCTATTTAAATATTATTTAAATTGGTTATTAGAATAATTTGAAAAAAAAATTATATATTATTTTGCATAGAATATCTGTAAATATATTCTTTGAAAAATTATGATTTAAATGTAAAATAAAATTAGTATAATTCTTATATAGGTTAATTTAGTCATTTTACTCTTTAATAAGTGTAGTTATCAATTTTTTTTAAAAAAGGTGTAGTTTCCAAAATATAAACTCACTTCAAGGTATTTTCTCAAATTTTCTCAATAAAAATTGAGGATAGTATATTCTTAGCAATCTGGGTTATAAAACAGGATATTCTTAGCAATTATGTTTTATTCCGACAAGTAACTTTAATTTGTATGTTTTGTTTTTTTTATGATAACTGATATTTTATTTCTTATCGATGTAAAATCTATATTAGACTTGAAAATTAAAAGTAAAATACTAACATTCACCAAGCTTTAGCAACAGTTTTGGTTAACTAAAGGACCTTTAATTAGATCCAGAGATGGCGAATTCAAGCTGCGTTTTAGAAAGGAATTATCCCTTATATATTATGTTCTTTCATCTGATTTCGAAGCCAGTAAATCTCAATATAAAATAAAAATGTGATGGTAATTATTGGTAAATCTGGACCAAAATTTAAGACAGGGATGGATTTTTTCCTTTTGATTATACTTCTAACTAACTAATCTCGAAGCAATGTGAAGAAGACGAAATTTCTGTTGGTTTCCAAGCTTTCTGAGTGATGAAAATTATGATCAGAAAATATATTCTAGTGATTTGTCCAGTTCAGAAATTAATTACAAAAATGTGGATTCCCGTATTTTAAAATCTACTCCATGATTGATTCCAATTCGAAGGAATTGATCTAAAAAAAAGACATCCAAAAATCAGGTATCTAGAAGAGCATGCTTAGTAAGGCTTTGTTCATTTTACGTTGTGGTCTTTCAAAATTTCGGCTTACAAAATTGGAGAGATTGCCATACCTTTACTTTTGATCGAAACTCAAAAGTACAGAAGGTTTAGTGCATTGTTGATAATGTTACCTCAAAGGCTCAAAGTTCGTTTAAAAATAAATTGACATAAAAAAAAATAAAAAAAAATTGACATAAAAAAAATAAAAAAATAAATTGACTTAAAAAAAACAATCGCAGAATAGTTTCTTAATTAATGAAGCAGCCATTTGGCTTTTAAGTTTTAACCCATTTAAAAATCACAATTCAACATCCAACCAACCAACACAATCAAACGACAAACAAATAGCAAAAAGTCTACAAAAGCATATACAAGAAGGATATCTTAAAAACATCTGTGCTAGTCATCTGTCTTGTAGCCGCTGACTTGTTTCTTGCAAGTCAAGCCATCTGAAGTGATTTTTTTTCTAGTGTAAATACAAGCTTAAAACAAATAGATATCTTTAAATTATGGATTTTTAGAAACTATTTGTTTTACTTCAGGTACTCACCTAATAAGTAAATTAAGATCGAGAGAGTTACAAAGAAATAGTGTAATCTTGACAAACAAAGACAAAACCGAAATTAGGATCAATGTGTGGTTCCAATGAAAAACGAAGACGAAAGAGTTCACAACTAATGTACAAAGTACCATCAGATGATTGCTTAGGCCTTTATATTGGAAAAGTTTCAGTTAAAGTTCAAAAGCTTTCGTTAACAAGAAAAAATATTTCGTTAATGGGAGTGCAATTCCTTCTGCTTGAGATTAAAGTATTAATAAGTGGAAATAAAGTTTTTTTTTTTAAAAAAAAATTGGAAATAAATTTTTAAAATAAAGTGGAAAGATGTACTAATTGCAATGTATTGTATCATCCACCAGTATTCAAATTTTAAACTGTATTAATCCAAATCATTTTTCTTTTATGTTATAATACTACAACCAATGTTTATCCTACACATAGAATTAATAAGGTTAATCTGTTCATGAACAATATAGAAAAAATGAACATTTTGTTTGTTTAGTATAAGAAAATGACGTATTTATTATGAGAAGTATTATATAATAACAAATTCACTTAAATTTTCGATTTTATTTTAGATTTCCACCCAAAAAAAAATGAAAAAGTATTTCTCCACCGAATAAAAATTTAAAAATTATTTATCCACTAAATAAAAGTTCAAAACCAAATTGCACACAAACTAAAATTAATTTCGATTTATTAAATACGTCGTTACAAAACTTGTTCCGAGTTATGCTAATGGCCCTACATGACAATATTTGGCCCATTAAGAATTGGACTTTTTAAAATCGTTTTGAGTCTCATTTATATTGACGGGCGCATCAGTTTAACCAGAAATTCGTCGTCTTCTTCCTCCGACCTCAATGGCTCTAATCAACATTTTGCTCTTCAGTTTGACTTTCCAACTACTCCTTCTACTTCGTGTGTCATCAGAATCTTCAAGGATCGCCGGCGATGTGTCTGGAATCCCGACGAAGTTCCTCGACTTAGCGAAGAGTCCGGAGGTTTTCGATTCGATGGTGAGAATCAGAAGGAAAATCCACGAGAATCCGGAGCTGGGTTACGAGGAATTCGAGACCAGTAAACTCATTAGGTCGGAGCTGGACCTTATCGGAGTTAAGTACAGATATCCGGTCGCGATCACCGGCGTTATCGGATATATCGGCACCGGAGAACCGCCGTTCGTCGCGTTGAGAGCCGATATGGATGCTTTAAATATGCAGGTGTATCTCAATTCGAAAATCCCTTTTGACTGGTTCATGAAATTTTTGAATATAAATTCATTGGGAAAAGTGCTGTAACATTCCCAGAACATTCTCCTAGAAGGCTAGAAGTGTATCGATTCTCGAGAATTTTCAAATCTCTGATCTTACTAGTGTGTAACCTGGATCCAATTTGATTCATCGATAGCTTGATCATGACAACACTAATATCAAACTCTTAGGCAAGTGACTATGATAGCATTTGAATAGAGGATTTTAACATGTATTTTGATTGATTCTTGAATTTCCAGGAAGCTTTGGAATGGGAGCACAAGAGTAAAGTTCCTGGTAAAATGCACGCTTGTGGACACGATGGTCATGTTGCTATGCTTCTTGGTGCTGCAAAGATGCTTCAAGAACAACGCCACGATTTGCAGGTCTTTGCATTTTCTGCATTTTGGCTTTCATCAGTAACATTTGACATTAACACACATGCACAATCATTCCTTTGTCTTTTGTTGTTAGGGAACTGTGGTGCTTATCTTTCAGCCAGCTGAGGAAGGTTTGGCAGGAGCGAAGAAGATGATAGAAGAAGGAGCGTTGAAGCAAGTTGAAGCCATATTCGGGATTCATCTTACCAACCGGTTACCCTTTGGGAAAACCGGTTCACGAGCAGGTTCCATGTTGGCTGGTACAGGATTCTTCGAGGCTGTAATAACTGGGAAAGGAGGTCATGCTGCCATCCCACAACTTACAATAGACCCAGTTGTTGCAGCTTCAAGCGTCGTCCTCAGTCTTCAACACCTGGTTTCTCGTGAAACCGATCCTTTGGATTCAAAGGTTCCTTTCTTGTTCCCCTTAGAGCTCATATAACACTTGGGTTTAGGCGCTTTTCTGCTAACACAACTCATTCGGGTTGCTTCTGCAGGTGGTTACAGTCTCTAAGGTTCATGGAGGCAATGCCTACAATGTCATCCCTGATTCAGTCACCATAGGAGGAACTCTCAGAGCCTTTACCGGTTTTTCTCAGCTTCAACAGAGAATCAAAGAGGTGATGTGAATTCAAAGATTGCACCGTTTTAGTTTTTTCCCGGTAGACCATTGCTTCTTTCCCTAAACCAAACCGTCGGTTTCATCTTTTGATTCTAGGTTATTACCAAGCAAGCAGCAGTTAACCAGTGCAATGCATCCGTGAATCTAACACCAAACAGTAAGGAACCGGTCCCACCAACTGTTAACGACAAGGACTTATACAAGCAGTTCAAGAACATGGTAAGAGATTTATTGGGTGAAGAATCTTTCGTGGAAGCATCGCCTATTATGGGAGGAGAAGATTTCTCCTACTTTGCAGAAGCAATCCCTGGTCATTTCTCTTTCCTGGGAATGCAAGATGAAACCAAAAGTTACGCTTCGGCTCACTCACCGCTCTATAGAGTCAACGAGGATGCGCTTCCTTACGGTGCTGCAATTCATGCGACAATGGCCGTACAGTACCTCAAAAATAAGGCCCTTAAAGGATCCGACTCAGCCAATGGCTCTCATGACGAACTTTAAACCCACCATAGCCAGTTCGAAGTTCATGTTACTCATATAAACCTTGTCTATATATTGGTTTTAGCAAGCAAACTAATTGATGAATTCCAAAAGATTGAAATTTTTGTGTTTCCAGAATGAGAATCAGAATCAAAACTGAAACAGTCGTATTTCATAGCATAGAATCAAAACACATAGTTTAGTGCCAAAAGAAAAATAACTAGCAACAAACGAAATTCTCAAAAACAGCCATGACACGAAGCTTCAACAGAAGGCATATCTTTCAATCATCTATCTTCTTTCAAACATCATTTATCTTCTACTTCTCAGACGAGTTAGGTCCTCTCTTCTTACCGAAACCAACAACTGCAAAACACATTAACGCATATAAATCAATGAACAATCTGAACTTGTCTGCAAACCAAATAGTTATCCTCTAAGCAATGAACATTCAGCTGATTAAATGAGTTATTCAGAGTATTCGTAATACATGCATTTTGGAGTAATCAAAAATCCTAATTCACTGATGTACTAGCTAAATTGAACAATGAAAGTGTAAACAGCGTAATCAAATCGGCAAAGTATATAATTTCCTCCTACTATTATAGGTAAGGAACTGAGATATTACCGGCGGTAACGAAACGGCGATTGTGCTGCATACGCTTGTGAGCACGTCCTCTTGGTTTCTTCTTCTTGTCTTGCTTCGCCACCTTCGGTGTCTGTCCTCTAACCTTACCGGCACGCGCCAATGATCCATGAACTTTCCCTGAAATCGACGACACACTCTATACTGTTAACAGATCTAAACGCAAATCACATTATTAAAAAAAAGGTATTTCCTCTACTCAAACGATTAATACTGTATTTAAAAAAGCTATAAAAGCTCTGAGGATTTTACCCATGGCGGATTTGCTTCTCTCTTTTTTCTTTCGACGGCTGCAAGAATGCTGAAACGCGAGTGTAAATTGTGTAATCTCAGAATTAGGGCTTTCGAGATGATTCTTTATATCTGACAGCGAAATTTATTGGGCCTTATTGTAAGCAATTTTTTTTTAGGGTTTATACATGAGGTTTATAAAAATATAGACCCATACTAAATCATTACTATTGGGCATATCAAGCCCATAAGCAACACAAGTTTGACAATTTATGGAAACTTGGATCAATTTTTGGTAAGATCAATGGATTCGTATCTCATTCGCATACTGTAACTAAAGATTTTTGGGAATGTATATATATATATGGTATAAAGTTTTTTTTCTAAATTTTCTATGAATATACTTTTGTAATAACTGGAGTTTTCTATTAATTGACGTCTCGATTAACATCGTCTGTTCTTTTTCATTCCATAAATAAAAGGCAATATTCTTGGAAGAAAAAATAAAACAAAGAAATGATACGAATAAAAGATTCCATATTTTCCGTTAGAATCTTGGCATTATCAATTTCCAATTTACCCCTAGAGAATTTCTCAAAATGAAACGACATATAAAATGCGAAATTATCCCATCGGTTATCCTCACATTTTCGATCCAACGATTACCGTGAAACCTCTTTTAGGGTTTTTATCCCAAAAATTCATTTCTAACTCAAGCTTTTTCGAATAATGGGTGATGAGATTCCGCCGCCGGCAGATCAACTAGCCGCCGTCTCATTAGGCAGCGATGGAGCTTCGTCTTCGACGGTGCAGAAAGCTAGGTTTTCGGATCGTGTCCGTATTCGATCGATTTTAGGTCGACCCGACGGCGGAGCTGGACTTGCCGGTCAGAATGTCCGAATCAGCGGGTGGGTAAAAACGGGAAGGGAGCAAGGAAAAGGGAGTTTCGCATTTCTCGAGGTGAACGATGGATCATGCCCAGCGAATCTTCAGGTTATGGTGGATGCATCTGTATCAGATCTCTCCAAGCTGGTCGCGACGGGAACTTGTGTCACCGTTGATGGATGTTTGAAGAAACCTCCTGAAGGTAAAGGTACGAAGCAGAAGATTGAGCTCAGCGTCCAGAGTGTGATTGCTGTGGGAACGGTGGATCCGGCTACGTACCCGATTCCTAAAACGAAGCTTACTCTAGAGCATTTGAGAGAGTATCCTCATCTTCGTTCAAGGACCAACTCGGTAAAACTTTCCTATCTTTGATTGAAACTGGATTTAAAATGTTCCTGGGTTTGATTCAGTTATTTAGATTCATGTAGCTTTCGTCGTTGTTGCTTTTGCCAATTCGATTCATAGCGAAATGATTACTTTCTTTAAGTATTTGACTACAAAAATTTCTAATTGCTGTGCCTGTGGTTTAATTCAGATCGCATCAGTCATAAGAATCCGTAATGCGCTTGCTTTTGCGACCCACAGTTTCTTTCAACAAGAGGGTTTTGTGTACGTTCACACTCCTATCATCACAACAAGTGATTGTGAAGGTGCTGGTGAAATGTTCCAAGTAACAACCTTGATCAACCTAATGGAGAAGGTGGAGAGGGATCTCATTAAGAACCCACCGCCCAGCGAGGCTGACATTGAAGCTGCCAAGCTCATTGTCAAGGAGAGAGGTGAAGCTGTAGCGCAGCTCAAAGCTGCCAAAGCAAGCAAGCAAGAGATCACTGCTTCCGTTGCTGAACTCACTGCAGCAAAGGAGAGTTTAGCTGGGCTGCTAGAGAGGTCAAAGCTTAAGCCTGGTTTAGCTAAAAAAGATGGAAAAATCGATTATTCCCAAGATTTCTTTGGTCGCCAAGCTTTCTTGACAGTTTCTGGTCAGTTACAAGCGGAAACCTATGCTTGCGGTCTTAGCGACGTGTATACATTTGGTCCGACTTTCAGGGCAGAGAACTCTCACACCTCAAGGCATCTTGCTGAGTTCTGGATGGTTGAGCCTGAAATAGCTTTTGCTGATCTTGAGGTAATTAACATTTGATTCTCTTCTTTGTCGCAGTCTACTGCAGTATCTTAACAAAAGGCTTTAATTTTTGTGTATATAGGACGATATGAACTGCGCAGAGGCATATGTGAAATTCATGTGCAAGTGGTTGCTTGAAAAATGCTACGATGACTTGGAAGTTATGGCTAGGAATTTCGACAAAGGATGCATCGACAGGCTAAAATTGGTTGCCTCGACTCCGTTTGAGCGTCTAACATACACCGACGCAATAAAGCTACTTGAGGAAGCTGTGGCTCAAGGAAAGGAATTTGAGAACTCAGTGGAGTGGGGAATAGACTTAGCATCTGAGCATGAAAGGTGTTTCTTCGATAATCCTTCAAATCTATTTCTCAACTCAAAACACTTGCAAGAAAAGAGGTTACTAATGCTGTCTCCTATATTGCAATTACAGATACTTGACAGAGGTTAAGTTTCAAAAGCCTCTAATTGTCTATAACTACCCGAAAGGAATCAAAGCTTTCTACATGAGACTTAACGATGATGGAAAGACAGTTGCTGCCATGGATGTCCTCGTTCCAAAGGTAACCAAAGCTCATCCTATTTGCATAATACCGACTCAAAGTTGAATCCTTTTTCATCAAAGAATATGAACATCAATGGCGTCTTTTTGTCTGTATAAATTAGGTTGGAGAACTCGTTGGAGGAAGCCAAAGAGAAGAACGGATTGACGTCATCATTAAAAGGTTTTTGAAATTTTGAAACCAATTTTGTTGGCTTATTGTTTATGGTCTTTCGAATATCACTCAATCATGAAGCAAAATCTGGTGGTTTTGTTTAACAGGATAGAGGAGATGGGTTTACCACTTGAACCATACGAGTGGTACCTTGACTTGCGTCGTTATGGAACAGCTAAGCACTCTGGCTTCGGACTTGGATTCGAACGTATGCTTCTCTTCGCTACAGGAATCGACAACATCAGAGACGTTATTCCTTTCCCTCGCTATCCTGGACGAGCTGATCTTTGAGTCCTCCCACCTTATTCCAAAATTTACAAACACTGTTTTATTTTGTTACTTTATTAGCTGGTCTGGTTTTGAGAACCGATTTCGTTTTAAAAGTTTTTACGTTGGTTAATGAATGAATTGGATTTTTGACTTTGACTTATCTATATATATGGATCTTGTTTTGTTCGGTTATTCGGAGAATCAAGTTTTCAGATATGAAAAATTGTGAATATAAGGAACTACAGTATACTACAAACCGGATAATGGAATTATATCAACTTGGTGGTGTTCTTGATTAGGCTTAGCAAATCATGGGCCAGCCCAGAATATATATTAGTCGAAAACATATTGTGTGGGTTTCTGTTGAAGCGTAAGGTAATTTTAACTAATATTATCATTGAGGGAGACGCTTATCACAAGATGTCGATATGTCCGAGTGGTTAAGGAGATTGACTCGAAATCAATTGGGCTATGCCCGCGCAGGTTCGAATCCTGCTGTCGACGATTTATTTTTTCTCTTTATCTTTAAATTAAGTAATAAGAGAACAAAACATTAAATAGCTTCAGACAATGTCCAGTTAAGGATCGTGGAAAAAAATAGTTTAAAAGAAAAAATGGGATTTTGAATTTGGTTGTTAGGCCAATATCTCTTTTGTTTCATGGTAGTCGCATTAGAACTGAGGGGACACTAAACGAAATGTAATCAGAATTGTTTGAATAAGAATCTCGGATTCAGCTTTGAGTAGCATTTCCGTATAAAGAACGGTTCACGAAATTTCCAGGAGATAAAGAGCATAACAAGATTCATCTTAATGTCTTCAAGAAGATAAAGGGTTCCAATAAACTGCATCAGGCAATTCAAGTCGCACTACAAGAAAGACGAAGAAGACTGAGACTTTTTGATTAAAACAACAAAGAAACTTAAAAAAGAAAAACCCCAAAACTTGTCTTAGTGACAGACTAGTCCCTTCTCAATCCTCCTCTTCAATGACCTTCGTGCCAAGTCCACTGAGACCTTCTGCAGGGATTTCAGCAACAGTGACGAGTGAGAAAAATTCTTCCTTTGCGTCTTCATCGTCGTTTCTCTTGCGCGCAACACGGACCCTAATCCTCCTTGGAGGACCTCTGATTCCTCTGCTCCATATTTGCTTGTTCAATTTCACGTCCACTCTAACGTCCTTTGTCCCCATGGCTTTCTCGGCGAACTTCCTGATCTCCTTGATGGCCTTTGGTGCCTTCTTCTTAAAGGTGCTGTTCCAAGTTAACTATGTATTAGCAAGGAACCTTAAATCTCACAACAACTGAAAAAACCAGTACAACAAATCAAACCTAAACTTCATTTTGGTGGGTTAAGTTAAATGTTCTTAAGAATGATGAATACCCTTTCATTTGAAGTTGATAATTGAATCCAGACCAAGATTCAGTATTGGTTTGATATATCATGCTTCAAGAAACCCCAGAACAGCAGCCCTAAGATAATTATTTAACATTTCCTAAACGTATGATTATATCTAGAAAAAAATAATCTTTGAGACACTAATCAAATAACCCACTATAAGTCTAAGAAGCTTGGTACTATAATATGGCAAAAAAGACTAAATCTCAATTACAACGCTATGAAATTGAACCATCAAGCAGCTTAATTGTGAGAAAAGAGTAAATTGCATCTTTTCTAAGATCAGTCACAGAAGAAATTAAGGATTTAGAAAGCTCACCAGCTGTGAAGGCGTCTGTGGAGGTTGATGGTGTACTCTCTGGTCACCACTTCCTCTTTCCTTCCCTTTTTCTCCGACATCTTCTCTTTGTCTGTGACTTACTTGCTTCAACCTCTTTACCTGCGATTATCCATAACGAATATCACTTAAAATGAGATTCTCTTGGCTGAGACTAAAAACAGATCTGTTCACTGCTACATGATTGCGATCAAAGGATGAAGAATTGAGCTAAGAGAGAAAGAGGGTACCTTTGGCTCGAAGAACGTCGAGAGACAGAAAGGCGACGAGGTGCGGAGAAGTAAGCATATATATGCGACACTGAATTAACCCTAGAATTTGTCTTTGGGCTTTAGTGGGCTGATTGTTTGTGCCATTATCGTTGGCATTTATCAGAATGTTGAGCCCATGAAAGGCCCAGTATAGCATCGTAGAAACAAAACCTTGTTCATTATGAATTGAAAAAAGGTTTGCGGATTCTTCCCATAGATTCCTTGTCTTTGTTGTATGACTTGGATATTTGTAAGAAGAAGTTTTGTAAGTATCAGGTTATGTCCTCTTATAAGCTTTCCGTAGATTCCTTTTTCTCTTGTTGGTTTCTTTAGCTTTTATAAATTAAAACTTTGGAAGACTTGAACAACCATTCGTTGCTTGATTATATTTTACTTTTGGGAAAATGGAGTTCGTTGGAGAAGAAATTGATTATACTTTTGTGATTCAGAAAACTTTGGTCTTAATGTTATGTGTTGCTTTGTCATGGAAAATGATAATATACATGTGCAATCTGTTAAACATTGAAAAAGAACCTATAAGGATTCTGGTTACTGGTGCAGCAGGTAAAGTCAGTTACATACTAAGTTATTATTATTATTATTTTTTTTTGCTTTTGAAATGGTTTCTTTTTTGAAGCAAATAATCCGGTTTACAGTTTGATATTCAATTTTATCGGTTGAGAGAAAAACTAAAAGCAAACAAAACTATTTGTAGTGCACTTTCATCTTGATTTTCAGTTCAATACGAGTTATAATGAATTATTATTGAACAGGGAACATAGGATATGCAATTGCTCCAATGATTGCAAGAGGTATGATGCTAGGTCCAGATCAACCCATGATTCTGCATTTACTTGATATAGAACCAGCTTCAAAATCACTAGAAGCTGTGAAAATGGAGCTTCAAGATTCAGCCTTCCCTCTTCTCCAAGGCGTTATCGCCACAACGAATGTTGTCGAAGCTTGTAAAGATGTGAACATCGCCATAATGATAGGCGGTTTCGCAAGAAAAGAAGGCATGGAAAGAAAAGATGTGACGTCGAAAAACGTAGTCATCTTTAAAGCTCAAGCTTCAGCTTTAGAGCGATATGCATCAGAGGATTGCAAGGTTCTTGTGGTAGCAAACCCTGCAAACACAAACGCTCTGATTTTAAAAGAGTTTGCACCGTCGATCCCAGAAGAAAACATCACTTGCTTGACACGGCTCGATCATAATCGAGCACAAGCTCGGCTTGCGGATAAGCTAAGTGTTCCCGTGAGCAGCGTGAAGAACGTGATCGTATGGGGAAACCATTCTTCAACTCAGTATCCAGACACCAATCATGCTACGGTCACTACAAAAACCGGAGATCAATCGATCAAAGAAGTTGTCTCTGATCAAAAATGGCTGAAAAACGAGTTTATCACGGAAGTTCAGCAACGTGGTGCAGCAATAATAAGAGCAAGAAAACAATCGAGTGCTTTATCTGCTGCTAGTGCAGCTTGTGACCATATCCATGATTGGTTTCTTGGAACACCTAAAGGAACTTGGGTTTCTATGGGTGTTTGTTCGGATGGGTCTTACGGTATACCACCCGGTTTGGTATACTCGTTTCCGGTTATCTGTGAGAAAGGGAGTTGGAAGATTGTACAAGGACTCAGTATAGACGGGTTTTCGAGGGAGAAAATGGATGACTCTGCGAGAGAGCTAGCCGAAGAGAAGGCTTTGGCTTATTCATGTCTCAATGTATAAGATCAAATGTTGGAAAATAATGGTAGTTTATGGCACATACAAAATGTAGCAACAAATAAGTTTCTGTTTCTAAATTCCTTGTAAAAACCATATATAATAAACGCTGAGGTTCACTAATGCAATTAAAATCTCTGAAATTTTGAGAGTCAAAAAAGAGAAAAAGAAAGAGAGATCAGACTTTCGACTTGCGAGAGTATCTCCAGATGCTGAAAACCAGAACAGCTAGACCAGCGATTCCCGCCAAAATCTGGTAAAGAAAGAGACACAATTCACAGATTATTGATCGATTACGTAGACAACAACACAAATAAAAGATGAAGAATCTGACCTTAGTGTCACGGATACAGCGGGTCTCGGGCCGAGAAACAAAGATGGAGGAAAGAAATCCAAAACGTGATCTCTGAGGCATGAGAATCACGGCAGTGTACTGTTTCTTGCAAGGGTGAGGAAGGATTCGCTGTAATGCCGCTTGTGCTGTTTGTGGTGCAAGTGACTCTCTCATTCGCAAACGCCCTTCTTCTAGAATCTATATAACCACAGAGAGTTTTAATCCCCTTTTCATAAGACTGTTTGTTTATCTAGTACGATCCAAACCTGACAAGAAGAAACGGTTTTGTTTTATTTTCTTTCTAAAACTAACCTGGCAAGAGGCGCCCAAATCACCAGCGTAGACCCTTGACTGGTATCCACGTAGAATTCTGTCTAACCAGTAATAATTTTCCTGAACAAGACAAGAAAAGAATAAATTGCGTCTTGTTACTACTGCAAAATATAGTTTTTGTGTGTGATGGATTTGTAATAGTGAATAATAGACAAAAAAAAAAAAAAAAACCTGGAGGCCATTTTCGTGAGCTCTTTGTTCTATTTCAAGGATGGCTGAAATGTCTTCCTGCGAAGGGCCTTGCTCTTGAAGCCGTACAATTTCTTCCAAAGCTAGATCCACCTGAAAGACAAAGAGGTGGCATTGATGACCAAAAGGCAGCCAAAAATATAGAGAAACCGTTATAGGATCATTTGAGAACAATAACATACCAGTTTAGAGGAGATTTCTGGATCACAGGAAAAATTTACACTGATGTCACCACGCAAATCCGCAGTCCTAGAAGGTTTATTCCCGCCAAGAAAAACTGAGACCTCAGCGGAATATATCTGCTTAAATAAGAAAGTTAGGTCACTAAAGGTTGGTGTGATCATCAGAGAAAACTGACACGAATGGTAGAATATACCTGCCCATGCGTGAACCTGAGAAACTGGATTATCTTGGTCTCTAGAAGTTTGCCTAAAAAGCCGATACAGTGGATTTCTTCTATCTTTCATTCAAATCAGTGGTGAAACAAATGCGTCAGATATATTCTTAGTAAAGGCAAGAAGAAAATATCATCAATGTAAGCAGCGTGGGTTATGGTTCAGATGATAAAGCAGAGTTCACTTACCATTGTTCCGTTTGTTAACTGAACAGGAAAGCATAACTGGACTGAACATTGGGCCTCCACCATTGGACTTCGTACGAATTCTCTGTAATATTCACCAACATTTACAGTCAATATGGGATAATCAAGGGAAATACACAGTCGATGGTGGAACATTTCCATCAGAATCATAACTGATATCACTGCATTCAGAATTTAACTTCAATTTTTTGGATTATGACTTAACTGCTCCAATCGCCAAACTTTATCAACATTTTGAAAAAGCATATAATTTTATACAGTGGCGATACCGAAGCTAAACAAAGATATACCACGCTGTTGAACTTCGATGATGACACGATTAATATACAGCTTACCTTGTTATCTTCGTAGGGAAAGTGAATGGTAAGCCCCTAAGGTCATCACGGTTGAAGTTGAGAACAGGTTGAGGAGGCTTAGGTATTCCACCCTGCATGGAGGGAACACAAAAATGCAGTCAATTCCAAGCTTTACTTTTCTGTATCATCAGTGGTGTGTCATCCAACTTACCAAATACTGTCGAATTAGAGGAAGCGCGATTGTAGGATCAAGGTTCCCTACAATCACTACTGTGAAAGTCGATGGATCCCTAAAGCAACTGTTGAAGTATTCGCAAGCCTTCAGTGGGTCAACTTTCCTGAGTTCACTTATCCGAATGGGCTACACATCAGAGATTACAGTTACTAAAGGTTGGGCGTTCACCGAGCAATAATTAGTCATTTAGCCAATAGAAGATATCATACCCTAAAGAAATAAGAATTTCCATAGTTGAGTTCCTTCACCCTGTTGGCGAAGACAGTGTAAGGGTCTCTTTCTCGAGCACGAACTGCTTCTTCGGCCATTTGCATTACTATTCCAACCTCTTCTTCTTGTGGCATCACGTTTGTAGTAAAAAGCTGATAAACAAGCTGGAAAGAAGTATTGAAAAGTTCAATGCTGAGGCCAAGATAATGCTAATTCAATAAAAGAGTAAAAAATTATTAGAGAAAAAGAAGAAAGAAGGCACAACGGTGCATAGATGCGCATGAATGTGTTTGTCAAAAAGTTTAATTTTCATCATTTAGATGTTAGCAAAGCTAATACAATACACCTAATTGCAAAATCAGAGAGTTGTGCTTCATGAAGTCTACTGCTAGGTTTCAGCAAAATATGTTAAAAAAAAAGCCTGAAATCATGTTTATATGCAGGAGGAAGAAGTCAAACCTGCAAAGCAGTTTCAAGGTCTGTGGGTGAACAATCACAAGAAAACGTTCTCATGTATGGCCCGAGTCTTGCGCTAACTTCAACTCTCTTACCAGCAAGCATATCCATAAGCACTGATGGCTTATAACCAAACATACCAATTTCACCAGCAATTGTTGATCCCATAGAACATGAAATGTAATCACTCTCAGGGAGTTCAGAAAGTCCTCCATATGAGAACCCTGTAAAAAGAACCTGTAAGGAAAACAAACAAAGGACAACCATAAAGTTACAGAACACTAGGTACAGAAAGAAGCTTAGAGCTTATCCATAGCCAACTATGCATTGACATATACACAAATGTAGAATTCCAAAATATTGTAGCTCTCAGTTGATATTGCACCTGATCATCCAAGAAGTCTGTGGACTTGTAGCAAACTTGCATTCCGTTTGATAATGTCAATTCTGTAACCCCAACTTCTGGATATTCAAGCTGGTGAGTAACATCCCTTCATTGAACATTAGTCGAGGATGAGATATAAAATAAAACACCCCACTTTTAGCTTAACATAGGAGCCAATTCGCTTAGTAAAAGACTTAGAATAGGCGAAATCTAACTAACCAGTCGGCTTCTCTAAGAAATAGATAGTATCACAAAGGCATTAAACTTTTAGGACATATATAGAGAATCTCTGAAAACTAAAGCTAATAGAGCCAATAGCCAAAAGTGAAGAATCTATAATTATAATTTACCCTGGAGTTGGTTTTTCATTGACAACTTCTTCAGGAATCTTTTCCTCATCCCACGGAGCAATCTTCTTTTCTTCCTCAAGACTATTAACCTTTGAGACAACATTTCTCATATCATCAACTGTTGCAGCAGATCTAGGTTCCATTGTCTTGATCACACAACCGCATGATGTTCTTAACTTTTCAGAGTATTTGGATACATCTGAAGCTGATATTTCTGCATCAGAGAGGAACCAATATAATTTATACGAGACATGCTCAAAGTTGAAGTAGACTACATTACAAGCAGAGTATGCATGTTCTCACGGGGTAGAAGAGTTTTCTGAAGTTGCGCCTCATATTCAATCCCAATAACAGGTTCATTGTGAAGGAAATGCTGCAAGATAAAACACACATATAAACAAAATTTCTGTAGAGGGGAAAGGCAGAAAGCTGGAAAATAAATTCCGTCACGGATTTTACCTGTATATATTCATCCCGCAAGCTAGTTGATTGGGTTTGATCACGTTCCAAAAAAGCAGATTCAATCTCCGACATCATGAGAGCTCGAACGACGGATATTTCACGCTCTGAGAATCCATGAAGGCGTACCCTAGCAACCTAAAGCACAATAGAACCAATGAAGACAAGGAAGAGAGAATGACAAAGACTTGGAGAGAGGGAAAGGAGAAGAGACCTCGAGAAGCATTGACTCTAGGGATGCCAAAGTTCCTTTCTCTTTACAAGAAGAGCTCATTATATAGGCCTTCAATGGGCTCACCAGGACATCAGCAGCAACAGAGCACGCAAAAAATGGAGGGTCTTTTTTACGAGATATTTTGAAGAGTCTCTGGTTAAGAGCATGTAGAAACATTGATTCTGCAAGCATATCCCTGTAATCTTTCACCGTCTTCAGATCACTTACGGGCATCTTATAGCTAATCATTACTGCAGACTACAAGCCAGATCAGGAAAGAAGCTTAGGAGTTGGGGAATTGACATCAGGATTATATTGAAAAGTTTGAAGAGTTAAAATTGACTAACCCCAGCTGCCTCTGACTCAACAAAGCAAGAGAATCGTGTCTCTTCATGAGAAGGAACAGGAAAGACTGGTATCTCTGGAGGATTGCTACTTGATCTTTTATCCTCGAAGTGTGTCTTGATCAAATCAACTACAGTCTAGAAAAAAAATTCAGGAAACGTAATCATAAATGCTTGAGTAGCCAAAGAACAAAAGTCACAAAAATAAAATAGTAGTACCTTTGTATCTGGAAAATCTCCAACAGCCACTACTGCCATATTGCATAAATGATACCACTTCTGGTAAAATTGCTTCACAGTTGCAGCAGGAACAGACCGAATCACTTTCTCCAACCCAATAGGTAAACGTTCAGCATACTGCAGTCAAGTAAAAGCCTATTAAAGAACACATTGGAGTCTCTCTTAAACTGCAAAAATGATTAAGAAAATAAAAAGCCTAACATACCTTTGAACCTTCCATCATCAACTGCCAATGCGAATCTTGCATCCTTCCAGTGGCATTTCGGTTCCCTCGGTACTCTTCCATAACAGCCCCTCTTTCTTTGTCCAAATCTTCCTTTGAGACTCGAATCTAAACAAAACGTTTACAGATTTCTCACGGACTAAAACCAAAAGAAAAAAAAAACAAGTAGCTGAAACAGAGTCACAGAGATAAATACCTCGGAGCTGAACTCTGCTAAAATGGAAATAGCCTGAGATAGCAATTCAGGCTTATCGACGGGGACAAACAGTTCATATATTGTTTCATCCGCTGTAGTCATTGCGTTTTGACAAGGCCCAAACTCTGCTCCAATGCTCTCTAAGAACTTGACGATATCATGATTTGTATATCTCGTTGTAGCACTAAATGCAAGATGCTCTACAATATGAGCAACTCCACGCTGATCCTCCTCTTCCAAAACTGAACTGCCAATAAACCAAAAGGTGTGTCAGCAACAGGAAAAGAAAAACCAGAAAGCTACACAAAGCATATAGCCCATTTCCGGTATAATGAGATAAATACAAGATAAGATTAGAGAATTAAGATATAGAATCGTCATACACTATGAATATATTCATGCATGTCACAAATATGTTCATAAACAGTCACCAGAATAATCATTAATCAAATCAAAGTTGGATCAACACAGCAGAGAACAATCTAATCACCAATTCGACTAAGAACGATTAAAAACCCCTAAACTCCAGTACGAGTAGACCAACTTCACCAACAAACAACGAATCAAAACCAAGTTTGTACACAAAATGTCGCCAAAATCGAAAAAGAAGAAGGCCTACCCGACTTTAACGGCGAGAGCTAGAGCGGCTCTCATTCTGGGTTTGGAGTTTCGTCGAACGTAGTAGGTGAGACCATTCTCGAGTCTTCCATAGTCGGCACCGAAGGGCTCAGGCTCGTTTCCGAGTTCCTGTTCCATATCCACACTCATCAGTTTCAGCGATCTAAATCCCTGTTTCCTCAAGACCTTCGAGCTCTCTCCGGCTATCAAATCCATCTCTCTCTCTCTCTTTCTCACTCTCCCTCACTCTGTCAAAATCAGAAATCGTTTCTCAACGGAACACGAATCAAATTCGTTCGAGCTCCCTCTGGTGACGCACAAGAGTCCCACCTTCAAGATTTGTTCTTCTTATGTTTTTTTGCCTTTAGTAATTTCCCGGTCCGCCTGGTAAATTTGGTTCAACCAGTATCGCTTCCGTTAACCGGAATTCCGGTGTGTACTAAACTTCGATCGGCATATTCCAATTACCCATACTACGGGTGTCGATATTATCATAACCGTGCGAATCCTTAAACCGAAACTTCATTAGTTAGCCCAACATCCAAGACAGGTACACAACGAATACAAACAGATTGTCGTTTCGAAGATCACAGAGTTTGATCACTCAAAAAAAAAAGGCTTCTAATAAAATCTCTCACGAAGTTTTTGTAATCGAATAAGATTTTCAAACTTTTGGGCAAATCCTAGAGACTTTCTCAGCAACCAACTTGATCTCACGAATCCTTTCCTCAACCAACTGCTTCAACTGCTGCTCTTGATCCGGTTTGTTCTCATCAACTTGAACATTGCTATTAGCTTCTTCTCCATTGAGACACTTGAAAACCACAAACGATGCTTCCTGCTCGAACGAGCTCGGAACATCAACGACCTGTTTCCTTGGAGTTTCTATATCTTTCCCGAGGATATCGGTTCTCACATGGTTCGTGATGACAGATGTGTAATCCTCCATGTACTTGTCGATAGGATCAAGCGCGAGATATATCAAGATCTCCCAGCATTTGAGAAACTGTTTCTTGTTGATCTTCAGAGTTTCACGGACTTTCTCGATGGCATTCAAAGGCGGAATGAATCGAGGTATCTGAGCTTTCTTTGACAGTTTACCTTTTGTGAGAGTCTGAACGGCTGAATCAATGGCTGGTTTGATTGGTTCGAAAGCACGCAAGCGGTTTATGTCTATGCAAGTGCGAATGTGTTGGAACTTTTCAGATGGCTCTTCCACTGTCAAATCGTAAACGTTTTCTTGAGTAGCCACTTTGTTTACTACTTCCATGAGATAGCTTCCAAATCCTTTTCCTTGGAAGGAAGGAAGGACCAAGATCTGGAAACAAAACGAAGAAACAGCATAAACATTCAAATCGAAAAGATTGCAAGAAGGAATGAGATCTTTGAGGTGTTTATATTATACCTGGCTGAGTCGCATCCGTAACCTATCGGGATAACGATAGAATTTATAAACTGCAGTAAAGCCCACAATTCGATACAAAGGCTCCTCTTTGTCCTCTTTCTTTTGAATTAAGAGATATAATTGCCAGTCAGGGTCAGTGACATCAATCGGGTTGCTGCCTGATATAATGGACCAATGTCTGGTTATTACTAACAAGAGAAATTAAAAATTCAAGAAGCCATAAGAGCAAGGGTGGGTGAGTGATTACCATCGACAAAAAGAAGAACAAGGGGTACCAATCGGCTATAGAGGAGTCCAGCATTTGGAGAACCAATTTCCATCCGTAAAACCTGAAGAAAATCAAACCATTATATGTTCTTTCTTACACAAATCTGCAGTTTCACTGCTTGTCTTGATAAAAGCATCTCAAACTAATTTGCTCCATTAAGATTAGAAGATGCATGGAAACATGTAATGCGAAAATTACCTGGAGATCTGAAGGAGCCACTTCAGCATTGATGCTGCTTCCATCTATCACTCCGGAATGCATTTCCTCTCCGTTTGAGACCATATTTCTAAAACAATCAATGACAAAGTTAAACAATCAATGACTGTAAAGAGAAAGCTATCATAAAGAATACGAGGACAAGTTCGAGGAAGTATGAGAGGATCCAGTAGGTTGTGCACCTAATAAAATCTCTCTCTGACGAAAAGGTTTGCAGAAACTCATCCTTGTCAGCAACAATTGTCTCAGCAAATATGTTCTGGGTGAAATGAAGTAGTCAATCATAAGAAAAAGAAGAAAAATGCTGGGGCATTAAGATAAGATGAGACATGGAAGTTGATTAGTACCTGTAAAGCAGATTTAAGGTCCGTGACGCCTTTCTCTCCCTTTAAACAAATAACAAAAGCTTACAAGGTCGATATTCATTCTAAAAAGGCCGTATGTAAGCAGTTCAATGAATTCAAATTAAACTCAACACTTACATTGATTGTGCTCTGGTATGTAACGTCAGCATATGAATGTAATGAGATGCTATTGATCCATACATTTATCTGACAAAAAAGAATTTGACAGCATGATTATGTCAAAACGTAACCATTAAAATGGAAAGCAGAAAGAACTACATTATCTCTTGGTAGGAAAACATTACCTTCAAATCTTGGTAACCATATATCTTTCCATCCCCATCAAAGAAATCATTCAAGTCAACTGGATTGACACAAGAAATTCCAGGGGAATCCACTTCCTCTTTGCTTGATACTAGAAAATAACACACCACGAAAAGAGACGTCAAAATAATGTCACAACAACCAAAAAAACTTTATACAGAGAGTAGTTCTATGACACATTGATAAAACCAGAGCTTATATCCGTTGGAAGAGAGAAACACAAATAACTTCAGTATACATATCTACTCTACAACTAAGAACTACCTTTTGATAGAATTTATGTGTAGTAAAGCATGAAACAGCGCAACGACTAAATCGCAAACTTACAATCACACATACGCATATCGAAACAGTTCATCTTATGCTGTAGAAACATGGATGTCAGACCAACTAATTGCACCAAAAAGTCGAAAGCAGGAAACGTAACCCTAATTCCGTACGAAAAAACCCCAAAAATCAACATGAAATGATCCACACTTAATACGCACCGAGATAAATTTTGATGCACTCGTTGGCCTCCACACCAGTATCTGTTCAGATAAAAATTATCAGATTAAAGAAAAATACGAAAACGGAGCTACGCGAGTGGCAATCGCGAGCGTCGTAAAACAACAACAACAGAAATCGGAGCAGAATTACTCACCGGCTGGAGAAAATCCAACACGGCGACGCTTCTTAGGCTCGGGGCCTGGAGCGGCGGTGGCTTGCTGCTTCTGAACCATGGATTCTCCGGCGAGTAGAGGGGTTTCTGAGGCGGGAAGAGAGTGAGACAAAGGCGGGAAAATTGGAGGGTTACTGGAAATGTGGAGAAGCCGATACTCACTAAGCTTAGGGATCTTTATGTATTAACTCTTCTCGAGAAGGGCAGACGGAGAAATAGAATCCACATGATCCGCACGTGACTTCTATCAAAACTAAACAAGGCCCGTTCGCAGCCCAAAGAAAACAAATTCAGATCAATAACATTTAGATTTATAGTTTTTGTTCAACAAAACATTAACGAGGGCGTTTGGTCTAGTGGTATGATTCTCGCTTTGGGTGCGAGAGGTCCCGAGTTCGATTCTCGGAACGCCCCCTCAGTTTTCTTTTTTAATGTTCAATCGTCTTTGCCAAATGTTCCAAACTTCCAATGAACGTTCGAAATTTTCCAAATGGTCCATAACTTTTAGAAACGTATTTATTACCCCCTAAGTTCTTCATGATTGAAGAGGATACAACCATCAAAACATCCAGCTTAGTTATTCTTCCCCCCCCCATTATTGAAGTCTAGTTTTCGGCCAAATTATGCCGCAAAATGGACTGATTTTTGAAAACTATCCCTATTTTGAAATGGGTATAATTTTAATATGAGACCAATTTTATAAAAAGGTCAACTTGCTAAAAAAAATAAATTAGTTGCGCCATCTGTTTTGATTTCGATTCCTTATATAGAAAATTGAAATATAATAAAACTATATTGTACTCTGGTTTGATACGGTTCAGTTTGACGATATTTGACCTGGTTTTCGATTCAATTTGGTATTAGTTAAAACAATAACATACAAATGATGATTTAACTAAAATCAGACAAATATAATATGATTCAGTTTAAACAACTTAGTTTTCTTAAGGTTAACTTTTTGGTTTATGAGTTTTTCCCACCTCCCTTACTTGTCCTATTATATTAAACTAGGGTTTATCCCGTGCTACGCGCGGATCATTTGTATATATCTAGTTCCATTTATAGTATTTGCTAAAGTAATAACTATATATTAATCATTTGAGTATTGATTTGGTTGATCATTACTTAAACGTAAATTTACAAATCTAAGAAAATATTTTTTTTTTTGAAACCTAAAAAAATGTGAAGAAGAAGAAAATATCTTGTTTGTCATGTAGGTTATTCGAAATTCTCCGACGCATTTTCAACACTTGAGAAAGGGATCTAAGAATATATATTGAAATCCAATGTAGAAATTAATTTGGTTTTCATGCATCTAGAAGAACTATGTATCATATATGGGGATGATCAAACGAAAATGTGGTGAATAAAATTACATTTTTTTGCTATCAATATTATACCTTTGGGATGTCTTAACTTTTTTTTTTATATGACATTTGCGTTGGCGTATAATTGCTGACCGTCTATGGAGGAAGAAACACATTCTTTGGATCATGCTTTTTTGGCTTCTTCTTTTTTAAGATACTTAAGTATTGTTTATTAAATAAAATAGATATTAAGGACTGAAATTGTTTTACTATTAGCCTAGAGTATTATGTTCTTGTCACCTTTTCCTATTAGTTTTTCCATAGCTAAAATATGTTCTATGTGCTGAAAAGGATAACACACATTGCGATGTACTTGAACACAAGAAATTTAGACCACTCTTTTGCATGACCTTATTTATCAAGCTTATTTGAATGTTTCCATCTTCTTTATTTCTTTGCATTTTTTTTTTATAAGACAGATCATATAGAGTAAGGGGATGTAAAGAACATTTAGACTCATCGTTCTCCGAATTCTCCTAAGCTTTTGCAAAATCCTACCTAATCCTCATTTATCTAAAAAAATATAATAAATGGAATTAAGTACTTGCTCTTTTGACTGTATCGACTAATTAAAGAGACTATAACATATATAATTTTTTTTAGAGAACCGTAGAAATTAAAAAGTTTTTTTTGTTTGTTAAAGAAGGAAAAAAGTAATTTATGAGTTAAGAATTGTATTTCACTGTCTTGTATATTTAAACCATAAATAAACAATAATGTAAAATGACTTCCCGTGTCAAAAGTCATAACTCATAACCAATCTAATTAAGTTTAGATATAAAAGAGAAACACAGTAATCTGTAAGATCAAATTTGATATATGCTACAGTTTTACTTTTATCATATACAATAAATCTTACAGTAAGTGATCACACTGAAGCTGTAAAAACAACCCTCCTCTTTGTATAACAAATTAAATTCATTCTTCGATAGAGGCTTTGGGCATTACTGCATTAGTACTGAGAAGTTCCCATAACATTCATACAAACTAACTACATTTGTTAGCATTAGTCCGTTCTAGTTTGTGATACAAATTTGCAAACTCAAAGATAAGAGACCTTTATTGGATTTAACCTGAAGACATTGAGTTTTGTTGTAGCTCACATCCCCTAGAATTATGTATAACCTTCCTTCAAAAAGTTAGATATAATTCAATCTCATTATTGACAACATACTACATACTACATGCTCATAAATACATTATTCAAAATAACCAAACTTAATCTCCTAGAAACAGGAAATCACAAACTTGATAACTACTGGTTCGTTTGTTCACATATCAAGAGTATACTTAGAAACATAGCTGTGCGACTCATGATTTTAAGAATATAAGAAACATATATAATTAATGTTCAAACCTGAAGAACTGCGATGCTAAACCAACATTTCCATATCTTCTGGTTGAGACCAAACCTGTAGAAAATAAGATGTGCATAAAGAAACGAAACCGATTTCAGATTTAAGATGATACAAAACTTGTATAGAGGAAACCAATTCTATGAGCTCCTCGAGGTTTTTATGAGAATCAATATCTATTCCAAACAAAAAAAAATATGAAGAAGAAGAAGAAAATCCCTTGTTTGTCATGTAGGTTATTCTCGTCAATCAGTAGCCAATACAACCGATTAAACACTTGAGAGAGGGAGGATTTATAATTTACCTTGTAGATTGGGCATTCATGCTTCCCTTTTAATGTACGTCTAAATGTTGGAGACAAAGTTGTGCTTGTAGTCTGAGGAACTTGTCGCTTGATTTTCCTTGGCTCATAGATATCCTCGGCGCATTCCGTTCTCTCGCTTTGATTGGTACAGAGAAAGAGTCGAATATTAGTTAGAAGGTATCATGAGAAGAAAGTTGAAGTAAGAAGATGTGATGGCTCCAAATAGTTGCAGATGTAGTGTGACTGGTGAAGCTTCTCTAGTGAGATAAAAAATGCATGCTTGGAAGTTCAAAGGACATTTCTAACAGCGCAACTTCAATGACGGAGGGAGACTAAAAAGATGGTTAACGCTAGGAGGAGAATCGTTTTGTTTTAAGAAACCGAAGATATATGAAGCTGATGTGGCAGCAATTCAATAAAAGTGTATGTAATACGATGTCATACGCTTTAGGCCTATGTAAAAGTAGTATTTGCTAATGTGGCATCTTAAGAAAGAAAGTTAGAAAGTTGAGGTGGACACTCTTAGGAGCCCCAAGCTTGTGCTTTTATATAGTATAGATTTTTTACATGTTTCAAATTTCAAGTTAGTTTTTTTTTTTTAATTGTGACTTGTGACCCCTGGCTTGTGACATTCGAGCTGGTTGTTGATATGTCTCGAAATGGTTTTTCGTTGACAAAAAAAAAGATTAAAAATGGTTATTAAAATATAAAATTTTCGGGTTTTTGACCGCTCGGGTGTCATACTGTCATGTTATGACTACCGGCGTCTATGGAGAAATCACCGCAAGTTTTTTAGAGAGAGAGAGAGGGAGAGTAAACGAAGAAAGAAAAAAACAAAAAGAAAAACAAAAAATCGGTTCTTTTTCCAGAGAGGTCTTTGGAGAGAGGAGAGAGAAAGAGAAGGAATCGCTTTGTATATAAGCTAAGAAAAGCCAAAACATCTAGAGGTAGGGAGAGGAAGGAGAGAAAGAAAAGAGCTTCTGTTTTTATCCGGCGGTGATAAGACGACGACAGCGACGGCGGAAACGGAGGAGCTTTTGTTGCCAATGGCGGAGTCAAACGGCTCCGTTTCCGTCGACGTTGGAACGATCTATCTTGGTGGCAAGGTTCACCACTCATTCTTTAACTTCCAATTTTCAAATTTTCACTTATTATTGCAAATTGGGTTTTTTGTGGTTTCTTGAAATCGGATCTGAATAAAGCTGGATTTTTTTATTTCTGGGTTTATCTTAAATCTAATTATTAGAAATCTTCTGGTTCTATGAAATTGGGGAAGAACAGACATTATTGAGATTTTGTGGAAGAAATTTATGGATTTGTCATTCGTCACAAGGCATTGTAATATTCAATTGTCTTGTAATAAATCTCATTTTCCTCTGAATCCAATGATTGCTTATTTTAAACATTTGAGAAGCTCATAAGCTGCTTCTTTTTTTGTTCTTCGAAAATTCTTTGCTTGTGGATTTGTGAAACTTCTTTTTTTTTTTTTTTTAATGATTCTTTCCAGATGGGATTATTCTTGGGATCTTCTCAATTCAAAGATAACTTCTTCTTTTGTATTCCTTATTCTTGTCTTATTGCCTTTTGATTTCTTTTTTTATTAGAAAGAAAACTCCAGCTGTTTTTGTCTACCTTTAACCCTTTGTTTATTAAGATTAAGACTAATCCTCCTTTATTATCTCATTAACACTCATATTCTCCCATCTCTAATCTCCTCTTTTTACACTGTCATTCCCTTTTTATAAAAGAAATCCCACAATGATTAGAATTAGGCCATCCTTTGGATGATGATTAGAAGTTTTGATTTTTTTTTTGGCCCTTAAAGTAGAAAGCTGCACATGGAAAAGCTCTAAGATAGATTTTCATTTGTTTTCTTTATTGTTTGCATATATTATTTTCCACCTAAAGTAAGTTGTCATATTCGTAACTTTAGTGTACAAAACTACAAGAAATTGATGAATTGTTTACTGAAGATAAACAAAACATATGCATAAGAATATGGAGAAGACAATGGTAATGGGGGAATAGTGTATGGTTAAAAGTTTAGTTTTCTGTTGGTTTCATGATCCATTTGTTGGTTGCTACTTTTGTTAAAACTTGCTAGTTTCTTGTGTTCAGGAGCATCGTGTTAAAACTGCGTGTGGTGTTGTGTCTGTCATTGTCTATGGAGACCGAGAAAAGCCAGCATTGATTACTTATCCCGATCTGGCCCTTAACCGTAAGTCTAAAGAATCTTTCCAGGCATTAATGTATAGCTAATTACAGGATCATTTGTCTATTCTTTTCTGAACTTCTAATGTTTGTTGCTTCTTCTTCAGATATGTCATGCTTCCAAGGATTATTCTTTTGCCCTGAAGCAGCTTCCTTGCTGCTACATAACTTCTGCATTTATCATATCAGTCCACCTGGGCATGAGGTCCATATTTTAGTTTCTCTTTTAAGTTAGTTTGGTTATTTAAATCGCCATATGTGTTTTGCTTGGCGTCATTACTCACATGATTTCCTTGTTTCCTTGCATTTTCACGAAGAGTTCTTGCAGTTAGGAGCTGCTCCGATTTGTCCTAATGATTCAGTCCTTTCTGCTGAAGATTTGGCGGATCAAATCCTTGAAGTTCTCAACTTTTTCGGGTAAGGATTGAAGTTGCAGCCATGAAAAAGCTTTCTGTTTTATTTTCTGTAATGAAAATTTTGTAACTAATGATGTATACGCTTTTGTTCAGCCTCGGTGCTGTGATGTGTATGGGAGTGACTGCTGGTGCTTACATTCTCACATTATTCGCGGTATGTTCCTGTTTATTTTATTCTTCTCAAAATCCGTTTCCTCTGTAAGACATTGTGTTTATTATCTGTTTTATGTTTCAAAACTTTTCAGATGAAACATAGAGACAGGGTTCTCGGTTTGATTCTTGTCTCGCCGCTATGCAAGGCGCCGTCTTGGTCTGAATGGTTTTACAACAAGGTCATCTCAAACTTGTTGTATTTCTACGGAATGTGTGGAGTGGTAAAAGAATTTTTGCTTCAGAGATATTTTAGTAAGGTGTGTTAACTGCTGTTACCATTGCTCTGTACTTGTTGCAATGACTCTTCTCTTATTAAAACCGGTTGTGAAAAAATCGGTTCTACTTGCAACAGGAAGTCCGTGGTAACGTCGAGATCCCAGAGTCAGATATAGCACAAGCTTGCAGAAGAGTCAGTGTTTTTACTCTCTTGTTTTTTTCCCTGATTCGTCAAGATATAGATCTCTCTGTATATCAAGTAATTGACACTGTTACGCTTTTGGTAATGTCCTCAGCTGCTTGATGAGAGGCAAAGCATAAACGTTATGCGGTTTCTTGATGCTATTGATCGGTAATACAACAAACACCTGTATTCCTTATATGATTACCAGTAATCGTCAAGGTCAAATATTGACTTCTTAACTTGATGGTAACCAAACATCTGCTCTTGCAGGAGACCTGACATCTCTAGTGGATTGAAGAAACTAAAATGCAGGACGCTTATCTTCATCGGAGATCAGTCACCTTTCTACTCAGAAGCTGTTCATATGGCAGCAAATATGGATAGAGGATACTGTGCTTTGGTTGAGGTTTGAGAAAAGAAAAATTCTTAGCCTTCTTTCTTGACATACCAAAACATTTGGTTTTCTTATTGGATGTTTCATATTGATTAACATTTCAGGTTCAGGCTTGTGGTTCAATGGTAACAGAGGAGCAAGCACATGCAATGTTGATCCCAATGGAATATTTCTTGATGGGTTATGGATTATACAGACCATCTTGTTTCACAGAGAGCCCTAGAAGTCCACTTAGCCCTTCTTGCATTTCACCTGAGCTTCTCTCTCCTGAGAGCATGGGATTAAAGCTTAAGCCTATCAAAACCCGAGTCTCGGCTTAAGTGTACGTGCACCCTACTGGTTCATTGGTTCTAGTTTTGCTGAGGAGAAAATCTTAGGGCTTTTGTAGATATAGAACACTTAGCGATTTGAGAAGAAGAAGAAAAATTCAACCCACGCCTTTGATAACACATTCTTTTGTAGTCAGCCATCACGACAGTCCTCTTGTTCAGAAGCCACAAATGTTGTTTATTATTTCATTTTTTTTATATATGTGTAAAAAGATTTGTTGTTGTGACATTGTAACATTTGTTTTGTGATGGGACTTCTACAGATTTAAATAAATCAAGTTCAATAATAACAATTGTTGTGAGATTGTAACTATTGTTTTTGTGATGGGACTGTGCATTGGAAGACGCAGAAGATCATAACGAGGTGGGCAAAAATCTATAAATCAAATACTCGTATGATGCAGAGTAACCAGATTGAAGAAACCAAAATCAATTACAAAAGAATCATCATTACAATGGGCAAATTCTGGAAAACTAATCTGAAGATGCATAACACATGTTAGCTTGTTTCAACTAGCCATGGATGCAATGTAGATAGCTCCGGTGCGTGTTATCCGAATCCGAAAACTCGATGAAGAAGAAGAGGTAAGTAAGCTCTTGCTCGATGACAAATGATTGAATAATAAGATCAAATTAAGCCCCTTAATATATTGTATTACACATCCTAATACAGTTTATAAATCCAACAAAGCTCATTCAGACATTTTCATCAAAACACTCACCTCGTAATCTCTACAAAGGTTTCCACTTTCAAGACACAGAAACAATGTGATCATCGTAAAGCTTCAAATAATGTAATCTGACCATTCCGAGATGAAGGAAGTGTGATCCATCGATTCTCCGGGACATTCCTCATCGTGAATCGTTGGCTTCTCTTTTCCTCCTACGAGTCTCGCCGGATTTCCAACCGCCGTAGCTCGCGGTGGCACGTCAATCAGGACAACAGATCCAGCTCCGACTTTAGCTCCTGCACCGATCTTCACGTTCCCGAGAATGGTCGCACCAGCTCCGATCAAGCAACCGTCACCGATCTTCGGATGTCTGTCTCCACAAGCTTTACCGGTTCCTCCGAGCGTCACGTGGTGGAGGATTGAAACGTTGTTCCCTATCACAGCTGTTTCTCCGACGACAACTCCGGTTGCATGGTCGAGAAGTATCCCTTTTCCGATCTTCGCTGCTGGATGGATATCGACGGCGAATACGTCGGAGATTCTTGAGTGAAGAGCTAAGGCTAATGGCTTCCGCGATTGCGTCCATAGCTTGTGCGATATACGATGCGCCTGATTGAGATTCAACAATTCAATTTAAAATTGGGGAAACAAAAAACCAAAATCGCATGATGCAGAACCAAATCAATATCATCATCAAATTGGGCAAAATTTCTGGGAAAAACCAATCGGAAGATGAAGATTTTTACCTGAATCGCAAGGAAGCCTTTATAATTGAGAAGGCAATGAGAGAAGGAGATGCAAGCAGGGTCACGAACGCGAGCAGCGCGAAGATCCGCGACGGTTGCGTTGCGCAGAGAAGGATCGGAGGTGAAGGTGTTTAAGAAGAGATCGTACAAAAGTGTGGAGAGAAGCGTCGAGGAGCATAGCTTGTTTCCTAGATGAAACGAGATAGATCGCTCCAGAGACGAATGAGAGAGAATCGTCGAGTATAGATAGCTAGCTAACGCCGGCTCCGCCTCAGCGTCACGGCGAGCTTCCGCCTTGATCTGTGTCCATAATCCGGCAGCCTCCGCATCCGCCGCGGCCGCAGAAATCGCTGCCGCAGCTGCTGCTTCAGCAGATTGATTATCGGTCGATTGTTTTTCTTTTGACGGTGATTGGTGTCGGAGTTCTCCGGCCGGCGGCATCTTCACGACGGCGATAGAATAACGATTTTTGTTCTCCTACCTGTAATTGTAAAACTCCTATCTTCGAGGATTTAATTTCATCGTGCGAAATGTTTAAAACCATAAATTAAAGATAATGATAGTCCACGTGGTGCGTGATTAACGTGGATTGTTGAAAACAAATCGGAGCCGTCGATTATATTACCTTATTCATCAGGATACTGATTTTATTACAAGGATATTGACGGTTAGATTAGATACATGCTTCTGGAAATCGACGGTGGTAATTCTGCCGACAGTTCTAAAAATTAATAAATGATCCGGTACAGAAAATCGGTACAACAAACAAACAAAACCGGTTTTAAATAACGATTTGTTTACTCTCTTCTTTTAACATCTGTTTCTTTTCTATATCCTACTTATGTTGCCAACATCTTTTGCTTCCTTTAGGAGAACTTCTTGTGCAAGGTAAACCATTCTTTGTTGTAGCTTCACAGAAGCGATTCAAAGCTTTTTCTTTGTTTGTGTCTTCGGTATGCGATTCAGAATAAGGTTTCTCAGATTTGACGGTTTTCTCACGATCTGTCCGGTTAAGAAGAAAGAGGAAAGCGTTGATCCTCATGCCTTTGTGATCCTCGCATCGTTTTCTTCTTGAAACAGGTCTCTTAGTGCAAGCTTCCATGTTAGGTAAGATCACTCCACAAATAACTTGTCCCGTGAAGATCTCGGGCTGTGGCGGTGTGTGTTTTTCAGGGGAAACACGGTATATTCTCTGCCCTTTATGCTCTATACATCTCTTTCTTCCTTTGACAGGTCTTCTATTGCAGCAAACACCATTTTCAAGAATGACTCCACAAGCAGAATCAGAACAAGAACCATCAATCTCATCAAATCTGTCTGAAACCGGTTGAGGTCTAGAACGGGAGAGTTTGAGTATCGCAGCGAGGAAATGATTACTCTTCTTCTTTTCATCGACATCACAGCTTAGCTTTCTCTCTTCTTTAAGCACATGTTTGTCTCCTTTGATTCTGATACCAACTTGGTTTCGAAGAAAAGGAAACAGCACTCGTGATATCCCAGACTTTCTCTTGCTCATAAACTCTCGATCACCGAGCTTCTCAAGTAAATCAAGCTGGCGTCTTTCCCCGTTGCTTCCTTTGTTCCATGCATAGTCAAATGTGCTCAAAAGCATCCCTTCTGTTGCCTCAGCTACCCTCTTAGATCTCATCTGATAATCACATTTGTTAGTAAGTATCAAAGTTATATACTAAGCAGAGCAAACAGAGAAGACAAGAAGGGATCGATGTATTTACCGGAGCCCATCTATACAATATCGAGCCTTCTTTCGAGAATATGTCCTCAAACAAACCACCGTTCACAGCTTTCTTATCTGGGGATTCGATGATTTCACAGTCGTTAAGGATGTGTACATTGCGCAAATGAGCACCGGATCTTCCATAACGCTGGAGTCTAGATCTAACACTTTCAGCTTGTCCTAGATATGCAGCAAGAACTTCATCGGAGTCAAGCTTCCGGCTTTGGTCTCGACCGATTACTGCTACACCGAGCTCGTACAGACCCGGACAAGATCTACGGGGTAAGTTCTGGATTCTGTATCTACCTACACCGTCTTTCCCATTCTTGAAATCCTCCCAATCGTTGGATCCTATCAGAACCTGTGTATACAGTTTTAACTTTAGTATCAAACATTACACAATCAGAGCTCAGCTTTTTTTGATAAGATAAGACTAAGATCAAACCACTTCAAGTTGCAAACTTTAGAGCTCTGAGAGCTAGTAAGGTCTAAAAGTGAGAAACTTTAACAGAAATCGAGAGAATTGGAAACATGAGTTGTGCAAAACCATAATAACCCATGACACTAAATTATTCAGAATTTCTCGACAAAGACGATGCAAGTGACAAGAGCTTAGATTATTTCATAGATTTCAAGCATCTTGGGGAAATCAGGGGACAAATCAGTCACTAAAAATTGGGATTCTTGCATCGAATTCCAGGGAAATCGAAGATCAGTTATCTCAATTCCATCGAAAATCAGATGATACAACACTAGATCGAGCAAAAACCCGAAACTCAGAAACTTTGATTTCAATAGACAAAATCGAAATTGAGGGAGAGAGGGAGAGGACCTTCCACTTGGAGAAAACGGCGTCGTGTTTGGTCCGCTTATAGTCTTCTCTCTTGTACACAGTGGGGACGACGGCGAACGAAGCGCCGTCGCCGAAATCCATTCCGATGATACACAATTACCGCCAAGTCTTAAAGAGATTGTTCGAACTCACAACTGATTAGGATAAGAAACTCTCCCTCCCAATTTTGTTTTCTCTTATATATGTAATAAATAATGATGAGATGATTTATTTTTTGTGCCAGACGGGAAAGTTTATTCATGTTACCGTTGGAACGGTGAAGCTTTCTCTGTACGGTTTACGGATTATTGACCGTTATTTCTTAGTCAATGTTGAGAACGTAGTTAGCATAAATGTAACATTTATCCAATGAATAATTAAAAAAAAATATTGGTTAGATTGGCTTCCAAATTTTGGATTTCTATCACCCAAGATTCTAAAGAGTTCATTTGAAAATAGGATAATTTTTTTAAGTTTTAATTTAAAAAATAGATAGTTTTATGTTTTAATTAGTTTGCGTAAGGACATACTTTTATAAACTCAAAGTTATCCTTATTTTTCAGAAACTATTATATTTTGAAATGAACCTTTTGAAATTTAAAAAATGTGGGTGATAGAAACCTCAAATTTTGAAAACCAATCTAATTATTTCTCCAAAATTTAAAACTACATATTCCTCTAATTTAAAACTTAAAAATTATTTATATAGCAATTTTCTCAATTCGAAACAACAGATCTACCGGACTACCACCAAGAACCTTATTACATTTTATGGACCAACACCCAAAAATTATGAATAACAGAGAAAAAAAAACAATAGAATGGTCTAGGAGTGTTTCCTAGCATTTTGAAGCGATCATTAGGAGGGACAATGGCCTATAATGAAAGTTTCTCATATCTTCTTTAAGAGTAATACAATGAAGCATGCTCTTTCCAAGCCTTATAAGCTTTCCAAGTGAGGAGAATGGTTATCTGCTAAGCTTTATCGTTTTGATCATTTGATGCATAGGGAAGCTAAGCTAATATTTGGTCCCTGAGTAGAGGAGCGCCTTGGAAGTGGAGTTTAGACTATAGGGTCTCAAGCTTCGAAACTATAGGATCCAACTGAACTGTATGTCTTGGAATATCTTTGTACAAACCAGTTGTGAATCTTAAAATTGAGTGAACAGAGCCACAAATACAAGTGTAAACTGTTGCATCACCCAATTATCAATGCTTGTAACTCTGCAGCCAGTGGAATCAAACATGATTCACCTTGACCCCTAATAGAATCCTCCTGACTCTCCTATAATCTAGCAAGCTTTGACATATCATTAGAATATTTATTTATATTTTTGTTACAGTATTACAATATTTTTCTACAAATAGAGTTTTAGATAATTTGACAATGTAGAACTACAATATAATTAACATTTTCATTTCAGCATTTACCGAGAAATCTTTATCATAGAAACAAAGAATGCCAAAACAGAGCAATCAACATTTTAATAATTGATTAGTGTACAATACTGTATGTCAATATTCATTCATGCTGCCATTAAATCCAAATTTTGGTTTTCATCCTTTTTCACTTTGTTAACAGTATATATTGATCTAATCATGAGATTTTAAATTTATTCCGTTCTAATATGACACATGATATATTCGATTACATCAGTAGACTTGATTTATTGGAGCACCTTTCATGCTTTAATAAAGTACAAATCATCTTTAGTACCCAACTTTTTCACTTTCTCCACTGAAATATATAAAGCAACATGAAAAGCATGCAAGTGCAACGTTCTACTCCTTACTTATATCATTTTTACTTTTCTAATTTTATTTGTTCTGAATGAATTATATTCGTGAGAACCGATTCTATAATGTTCTTTGTCATAAAGATCAAAACTTGGCCATAACTTGACAATGAAGAAAGAAACGGTCTTATTTTTTTAAATCAAGAAAACTGAAAGAAAAAAAGTGTGATAAGGAATTAAGGATTATCCTTTGACACAGCTCAATTGGATTCTTTTTGCTCTCTTTAGAATAAAGCAGAGTCCTTTGTGAATATTTCTTTTTTTCTTTTTTTGTCCTTTTTTAATTTGGAATAAAAAGGAAAATGCAGAGACAAAATAGAGAAGGAGGAAGAAGAAAGAAACTCCAATCATATACTAATAATAATAGGCCATTGTCTCTTCCTTCAGACAGAGCTACAAATCCAAAATACTTCTTATTTGTCCTTTCCTTTACTCAGATTTTATTTTAAATTCTTCCTTTTGGAGCTTTCCTTTTCTCTCTTACCGAATTCCTCTGATCTTGTCGAAGAGATTAGTTTTGAAAATCCAAAATCTGACTTACATCATCCAGCTTTGGCCCACCAACTAAGGATGGGCAAATTTTTCTTGTTTTCTACAGCAAAGCAATGCTCACACCATTTTCGTGGAGCTTAAAAGTCTTCAAAACCCAAACAAAGCTTTGAAATTTCTCAGAAAGAAAGAGAGAGAGGGAGTAATCTAAATTTAGACTCTAGGGATTGGCTATTAAGAGAGAGAGAGAGAGTACTATTGGTTCTTGTGCTGTTGTGTTTTGTGCAACTGTTCTTGGGTTTCTCAGTTAAAAAAATAGTTTCAGAGACATTGAATCTCACACACTTATACACACTCACACACGCGTAAATTTCTCAACTTTATACTATTTTTTGGGCTTCTGGGGTCACTTCTGAAAGCATCTTGGATTGCGTGATACTTCCACTTTCTCATTTCAGGAAAAGATGAGTTTAGATTAAGTGGAAGTGCTAAAAGTGTGTAAGCAAAGGTTGAAGAAGAATAAGTTTGGGGGTTTAGGGTTTTGTGATTTCTCTATCTATCTTTGAGAATGAAGCAGAAGGGTTGTAGAGAGAGAGGTGTTGTAGTGGGGAAGAAAGTAATGGTTGCTGTTAGGGCTTCAAAGGAAATCCCAAAAGCAGCTCTGTTATGGACCTTAACTCATGTTGTTCAACCTGGAGATCGAATCAGGCTTCTTGTTGTTGTTCCTTCCAATTATACAAGTAATTATCTTTTTCTCTTCCTTTCTTTGTCTCTAATTCACCAATATATTGTTTTTAAGCTTCTTGGTCTTGAGTGGAGATATCTAAATTTTGTCTCTTTGGTGCTGAAGGATTTAGTTAGAAAGGCAGAAATTTTGTTTGAAATGGCTCAGTGCTTTACACAGAATCTGAAAAAGAACCAACGAGCTCTGCTCTGGTTTTGTTAGATTACATTGATTTTTAAGGTAAAGATTTCATCTTTGGTACTGATTTTTCAGGTAAAAAGATTTGGGGATTTTCGAGATTTACCAGCGACTGTGCCTCAGGTTATGGAAGATTTCTTGCTGGAACGAATTCAGATCGGAAAGATGATATTCATGAGTCTTGTACTCAGATGATGTTCCAGTTACACAATGTGTATGATGCAGACAAGGTAAACAACACACACTTTTATTCATGGAGATTAAAAGATAACACAGCTTTCTCTTGGTTGATGGGATCAAAAAGAGTTTCCTTGCTTTAAATAATGCAGATAAATGTCAGGATTAAAATTGTTTTTGCTTCACCTGATGGAGTTATTGCTTCTGAAGCCAAGAAATCCAACTCAAATTGGGTGATTTTAGACAGGTAACACTATACATGTGTACTGCAAATGCATAGTTTTTGAATTGTGATTTACCTTTTGCCTCTGAAAATTCTTGAACAGGGGACTGAAGTATGAGAAGAAATGCTGTATTGAGCAATTGGAGTGCAATCTTGTGGTAATTAAGAAGTCACAGCCAAAGGTTATTCGTCTCAATTTGGTGAAAAATGCAGACACAGAGCATCCAGAAGCTATTACGAGGTTAACCTCAAAGTCTGTCGAGTCTCGAAGAAGTTCAAGACCCGGAAAAAAGCTGAGGGAACCATTTGTGACTCCAGCTAGCAGTCCAGACCAAGAAGGTTCTTCACAGACCACAACTGATATGGGAACTTCATCAATATCTAGCTCTGATGCAGGAGCTTCACCATTCCTAGCTTCTCGAGTCTTTGAGGGCCTCAACAGAGAGAATCCATGGGTCAGTGATGGAAACAAGAGCTTCTTTGAATCTGATTCTGACTCGGATGGCGAAAAGTGGAGTCCTTTATCAATGGCTTCCTCATCTTCTCATCCTGTGACAACAGCTAATATTCTTAGTCCTAGCGGGGAATTATCGAAAGCTCATACCGAGACTCCAAGAAAATCAAGATTTTCTGTTCTAAGGCTCGGTTCATCGAAGAAAGAACCTGAGGCGGGAAAAGAGATCCGTAAGTCTGATACATGCTTAAACAAAAGCGTGAGAGAAGTGGTTTCTTTATCTAGAAAACCAGCTCCTGGACCTCCTCCACTATGTACCGTATGTCAACACAAGGCACCTAAATTTGGAAACCCTCCAAGATGGTTCACTTATGGCGAGCTGGAGACCGCAACAAAAGGTTTCTCTAAAGGTAGTTTCTTGGCTGAAGGTGGTTTTGGTTCGGTTCACCGAGGAACTTTACCAGATGGTCAAATCATTGCCGTTAAACAATATAAGATTGCTAGTACACAAGGTGACCGAGAATTTTGCTCTGAAGTTGAGGTCTTGAGCTGTGCACAACATCGGAATGTTGTAATGCTCATTGGACTATGTGTGGAGGATGGGAAAAGATTGCTCGTTTATGAGTATATCTGCAATGGATCCTTGCATTCTCATCTTTATGGTAAAACTTTCTACTTTTGCTATACAAAGAACATTCTTGTTTCTTTTTCTCCTGAAAAAATGGCTAATACAGACAAGTTCCATAGGTTTGGGGAGAGAGCCGTTAGGATGGTCAGCTCGACAAAAGATTGCTGTTGGAGCAGCTCGTGGATTGAGATACCTTCATGAAGAATGCAGAGTTGGTTGCATCGTTCATAGGGATATGCGTCCTCACAATATTCTCCTCACTCATGACTTCGAGCCTTTGGTAATATTATCATCTCAAGTCTTAACCTTGGTCAAGCTCTCTCTGCTCTTACAGATATGTGCAAAGATTGAAACTTTTTGACATTCTCGTTATGCTTCTTTTCTAGGTTGGAGATTTTGGGCTAGCAAGATGGCAACCAGAAGGAGATAAAGGAGTGGAAACCCGAGTGATTGGGACTTTCGGGTACTGTTATGCCATAATCATTGAGATATTCTTCTTTTTGAGTTACTTGTAGAACACAATAATCAAGAAGGATGTTTCCTCTTTCTTCAGGTATTTAGCTCCTGAATACGCACAAAGCGGACAGATTACAGAGAAAGCAGATGTTTACTCCTTTGGTGTTGTCTTAGTTGAGCTTATCACAGGAAGAAAAGCTATGGACATTAAACGTCCTAAAGGCCAACAATGTCTCACCGAATGGGTAAAACCAAAAACAAACTATATAAAAGTTTCAGTCTTTAAAGCTCTGATGATTACAAAGAAGAAACATTTTTGTTTTCTTTTCAGGCAAGACCGTTGCTGCAGAAACAAGCCATTAAAGAACTTCTTGATCCGCGTCTAATGAATTGCTACTCTGAGCAAGAAGTTTACTGTATGGCGCTTTGTGCTTACCTCTGCATTCGCCGTGACCCTAACTCGAGGCCAAGAATGTCTCAGGTTTGCTGCCATAACTCATCTCAAAAACACTTTAAAAGTTGAAAACTTCAACAAAACTTTTTTGAATGTTTATTTTTATTTATATTTTTTAATCTATGGAATCTGTGTCTCCTCAATGAAGGTGTTGCGGATGTTAGAAGGAGACGTTGTCATGAATCATCCAATGTAGAAGCTTTACAAGGAGAGGTCTTCTTATGGACTTTATAGACTATTTAGAGTTGTTACAGCTTTCTCTTTAATGAGCTTTGTTTTTGTATATGTAAGAGTTTGTTAATGGGAAAAAGATTCAAGTCAAGTTTGTTTCTTTTATGTTGCTGAGAATTTTGTGTAGGGGATCAGTGAAGTTTGTAAGATCTATGTATGTACTTTATATAAGATTGCTGTTAAAAAAAAAAAGAGGGTATTTTAAAAAAAAGGTTTTTGGAGCTGTTAAAAAAAGAAAAAAAAGTTATGAAGGTTTTGACTTTAGGCTACTGCTCGCTCCTCTGATTTCATTTTAAACTTTGGAGGAAACTCAGGAAAAAAAATCCAATTCAGAAAAATTTAGGGTTTATCTTGAGTCCTCAGATTATGAACAAGTGAGAGGGCAAATTACGAGGGTATGTCTCTGTTTTAATTCACCTTTCGTTGATTTTGCATATATCATTCTCGTCATCTATCGCTACTGGCTTTTAACTTTATCCCTGGAAAAATTGAATATACTTGAGAAAACCGATACCTTTTTGAAATTTCGCACTTCTTTTTGTGTTCATATTATTTCCAGGTTAAACTCAGATCGAAAAATTCTGTCTTTGGTTTCGAGACGAATTCACAGGTGAAGTTGGAAAAAAAAAAGCAAACTTTGGGAGTGATTTGTGCGTGTAAATCGTTAAGATATGGACAAGGTAAGTCAGTTGCCTGATGATTTACTCATCAAGATATTGTCATTAGTCCCTACAAAAAATGTCATTGCTATGAGCATATTGTCCAAACGATGGAGATCTCTTTGGACATTACTGCCAAGACTTATCTTTGGTGAGGACGATGAGGATGAAGAAGAGCATGCTGAGTATAATTGGGCCGACCAAATAAATTTGTCGCAGGTTGTCTATACGACTTTGCTATTACACAAGGCGCAGGTTCTAGAGTGTTTTCATCTCAACATTACTACAATATGTAGCGCTTCCGAGATTGAATTATGGGTTAGAGTTGCAGTCGATCGTTTCGTGCGTGATCTGAAGATACGTTTCTGTAATGGATATGGGCTCATAACATTGCCCATTAGTTTGTATAGAAGTGAAACACTAGAGACTTTGGAACTCCGAAGTGTGAAGTTCTTGGAAGTTCCTTCTCAGTTTAGCTTTCCATCACTCAAGAGACTGCGGCTTCTATTTGTCAAGTATGCAGATGAGGAATCTTTCGTTAGGCTAATATCAAATTGCCCCGTTCTTGAGGATTTGGTTGTAGAAACTTGTCACAATGACAATGTGGCGACTTTCACTGTCAATGTGCCTTCCTTAGAGAGTTTATCCATTAGGCATACATTGCCATACTTTGGGACTGAGGGTGATGTGTTTGTGGTACATTACCATTCTTTGAAGCAGTTGACCATTAATCTGGACTACATAGGTGATATTAAGTTTATAGGCAACAATATGCCCAAACTTGTCGAAGCAAATCTCGTATCTTTGTCCTGCCATGCCAAGGTTCTAGCTTCTTTTCCAAATATCAAACGTCTTTTTCTATGCTTAGATGGAGAGGTAGTTTGCTGTTTCTCTTTAGATCTTTTGGTGACGAACAAAATCTTGAAACTTTTTGCATAAGTCAATTAAAACTGTTTCGTTTTTTGCTTGTGTCCTGTGATATGCAGGCTTTGTATCCTATTGGTACGGTTTTGTTCCAGCTTGTGCGTTTGGAGCTATGTTTATGTGAAAGTAACTGGACAAATATGCTTGTGAGTGTGCTCCAACATTCACCTAAACTACAAGTTCTCAAGCTTGCGCTGGTACTTTTCTTTCTTCCCTAACTCATATTCGTCAATCATATTTGTTTTTCCCGGTTTATAAGTCTGATGCAGTTTACGATTACAGAACCATTTTCTGTCAGAGGATCGTAATGTTTGCTGGATTCAGCCGAGCTGTGTTCCTGAATGCTTGTTGTTACATCTCAACACTTTTGAGTGGAGAGACTATGGTGGATCTGAAGAAGAGAAACAAGTGGCGGTTTACATTCTGAAGAACGCTAGGCGGTTAGTGACTGCAACTATCTACCCTGACTCAGCCGAGTTGGCTTCCAAACATGAGATGTTTGAGGAATTGGAAATTGAATCAAGGTTCTCAACATTGATTTCAGTTTCCCAAATAACCTTAGAGTCTTCGAAACACTTAGTCGTCTTCAAACTCCAATGCAAAATTCGTCTTGATTTTGCTGGTTCTCCGGTTTGGTTCCGGTCCCTGAAAAGTTTGCACCTCACAGGTGTGATGTTCTCATTCTGCAGATTTTTATCGGCTTGTCCTGTTCTTGAAGATCTCTTCTTTGTGATCTGTTTTCAAGAGCTTAGAATGGTCTACTTTCTCAGAAACATTTAGGTCATACACGAGAGATCAAGGATGAACCACGTTCAATCTGTAACCCGAGCTGGGTTCCTGAATGCTTGTCCTTCCATCTTGAAACTCTTATATGGAGAGGCTACAAAGGGAACAGAGGAAGAGAATGAAGTCGCGGTTTACATCCTGCAGAAAGCTCGTTGTTTAGCTGCGATCTCTATATATATTCACAAGGTCTTCGAGGCACGGAGAAAGACCTAATGATGATCAAGGAGTTGAGATCTATGTCTATGGCTTCAACTTCTTGTCAGCTTGTGGTTCAACTTAACAACTTCTTCTAGAGAAAATCTGTTTAAAACTCTCACTCAAAACTACATTTTGATGTGAATCTAAAGATGCAATGTTTTTTGTTATGCGGAACTGAATTTTTACTCAGTAATCATAAGAAGTTTCTCCTTTTAGTAAGAAAAAGTGTACTGTATAACTCGTTCCGATACAGAGTAGTTTCTTCGGATTCTACAAAAATGTTGTTTGCTTTTTCAATGAAAAAGGAGGAGAGACTTTTCTTGTGTTGTCTTCTTGGGTTTTATCTGTTTCATGAGCCAAAGCTGATCTGATGTGTTAAGCGGAAATCTGTCATCCTAAAAAGAGAAGTAACGAAGGCGAGATTTTGGTTCTGTTCGTTTGCAACTTTTGTTTTCTATATGAGTCCTTCCAAAAAGACTTGCGTTGCAAGTTTCCGCATTTTGTCGTCAAGCACTCAGAGAAAATCTTAAATTTCAAAGAGAAGAAATGAAGCTGAGATTTATCTTATTATTATTATTATTTTTTTTTGCTTATCCTTTCCCCAAATTATTCGACTTTATCTATATTATATATATATATATATATAAATAACATTAGGGTTTCATATCTTTTCTTTCTTCTACTCTCCAAAAAAGTAGACCCTTGCTTCAGATCTAAGGATTGGGCGATGAAAGCTGCAAAATTGGGAAATGAGGAGCTAACACATTCTGAATCTATGATAGGATCAGTCACTTACCCGACGATCTGCTATTAAGGTTGATCTGATTCACAAAATCTAGTTAGGGTTTTATTTCTCCTTCATATATAACACGCGGTCGCTTTCCAATCTCTAGTCTAGTTTTCAGAGTTTTTTTTGGGGATATGAAAACTGCTAAATTGGGAACTGAAGATGCTACATTCCCGGATAGGATCAGTAGATTACCTAACGATTTGCTCTTCCAAATCCTCTCATTAGTCACAATAACCGATGCAATGAAGACAAGCTTATTGTCTAAACGATGGAAATCTGTGTGGAAGATGATGCCAATGCTTGATTATGATAAAAACTCTTGTCCCAACATTGGTTCCCTTGGATTTGTCGAATTCTGTAGGAGGTCATTGCAATTACATGACGCTCCTGTTGTCAAAACCCTAAATCTCAAACTTGGGGAACACGCTGGTTCCATGGGTTCTCTCAAATTCTTAAGTTTCCAAAATAACCTTAGAGTCTTCCAAAAACTCGTCTTCCTGAAACTCGACACGATTGTTCTTGAATTTTCTGGTTCACCACCAAGAACAATCTTTTCAGGTGAATCACCGGTTTGTTTCCCTTCCCTGAGAAGTTTGCACCTCACAAATGTGACGTTCAAGTGGGAAGAATCTTTCTGCAGACTAGTATCGGCTTGTTCTGTTCTTGAAGATCTCTTCCTCGAAGGTTTTTGCAGAGTTGCCATTTTTTTGTTCACTATATCAGTCCCTTCTCTACAGAGATTGTCCATCATTACAGAACCTACCTATTGTCTTCACAACGACCCGACATTTGAGATGAATACTCCTTCTTTGAACTACTTAAAGATCATCCATCGCCGAGGGTGTTTTAGTTTTGTTGAGGATATGCCTAATTTGGTTGAGGCAAATGTGTTAGGTCATCTTGTTGACAATGTCAAACTTCTGAAAGTTCTTACTTGTGTTGAACGTCTTTCGATAGATTTATATCCTGTAATGGTAAAGGTAAAAACCCTAAATAAAGTTCTTGTTTGTTTTGTGAATATAAACACTTGCTTTATAGATAAACTATAACTTGTATTTTCGCGTGCAGATGCTTCATCTTGCCGATGGATTAATATTCAACCGGCTTCTACATCTGGAAATAGACACTTTCTATGATTTTCGGTCGAATTCAGTTCTGCATTTTCTGAAACATTTTCCTGCTTTACGAGCTCTCAAACTCAACCACGTACAGTCAAAAGTTTTGTTTTTTCCATTCTTGGTAATCTTTTTCCTTCCAGAGCTTTATAATTGAGATCTAATTCAATGTTTTCATGCTTTCTCAGAGTCATAGGAGGATTCATATCAATATCGAGTATCCACCGGATTTATACTCAGAACCGAGCTCTGTTCCTGAATGCTTGAGCTTCCATCTCGAAACTCTTCAATGGATTGGGTATGAAAGAACACTAGAAGAGAGAGAATCAGCGGTTTACATTCAGAAAAACGCTCATCGTTTAAAGACTGCTACGTTCTCTCTACGTTCAACGATCACAGACCATCGTATGCTGATGATAAAGGATTTGAGATGTATGACTAAAGCTTCAGCATCATGTCAGCTTGTAATTAAATTTTAGAGCTTTTTCCATTAAGATGAAGCTGATTTTTCATTAGAGTTATCATACTTCTCTCGGTTACTGAAAAGTTTCACTTGCATTCTAAATTTTATAGTCTGAAACAGAGGAGTTTCTAGCATCTCTATCATTGTTATGCAGGAGAAAAAAAAAACAACTTTGTGTAAGTTCTGTCTTTTTAACAGAGCATGAAACAGAGAACAGCAGAAAAACTTTAATTTTTCTGTTGCATGGTTTAATACCATTATTAACACCTTTGATGAATTACTACTATTTGAAAAACTTTGGCATTTTAATTTTCAATGAGATTGGTAGAAGAGTAGTTCTTTTGGCAAGAAAAATGGAATGCTGAGAACTTTTCTGGGGTTTTCCCATTATTTTATTTTTATGGAGCAATAATTGAAACTTTTAAGTTTTAGTAGATATAGGAGAAGTATAGATCTATGTTACTACATCAAGAAAAATTTAACAAGGGAATTTTTTTTTTTTTTAAGGAACGTGTACAGCTCTTAGGCCATCTCCAACTATAGCACCAAATTTGGTGTCATGAATAGTGTAAAATTTGGTGTAAAAGTGAATAATATTTTTTTCATCTCTAACCACAACACCAAATCTCACACTAAAAACAATCTTTTATATTATTATATTATTAAATTTAAGATTCTTTTTATTTTTCATATTTTGATGAGTACTTATTATTCATAAAATAGATTAATTATAAATTTGTTATAACATTACATTCGGTAATAAAAAAACAAAAATTACAATCAATAAAAAAAAAAATACTAAAAAGAAATTACATTATACTAATTTTCAGAATTAGCATATTTTAACCACAAATGTTCAATTAATGCATTTCGAAGTTCAATATAAGCTTACAAAAATGGATCCTACATTCTTAAAACCAATATAATTTAATTAATTAATAAATAGTAATATAATTATTTGAGTAAATGAGAAAAAAATAATATTTTAATGTTTGGTGTTGTGAATAGTGTTGCACCAAATTTGGTGCAACACTATTCACAAAACACCAAAAAAAAAAATTTGATGCAACATTTGGTGCATCATTGGAGAAGAATCAACACCAAATTTGGTGTTTTGGTGCATGGTTGGAGATGGCCTTAGACCATGTGCAACGGCGTATACACGTTGCGTCTCCAGCCATTTTTTAGCAATTAAATAAAACAAAAACACATAAAAAAAAGAGAGACGTCGCCAAATTAGAGACTGGAGAAACGTTTTTGGCGACCACGTGGCGTGTTGTTATTGGAACCAAAAAAATAAGATGGAAGAAAATGCATTCTCTTTTTTTTACCCGATAACTTTGTTTTTTTTGCAGTCTTCGTTCTCTCCGTCGGCGATTGTTCGTCAATTTATCTGGATTCTTCGTCGGCGATTTATCCGGATTCTCGTTGCGTATTGTTTCAGATAGAGGCGTCGATGTCCTCGCAACATCTGCTTGGCGGAATGAAGGATCAATTGAAGCTTCTGTCGGCGAAGGTAAGCAAAGCGTCAAGTTGAAATTGTTTTGATTTTTGTATTTAGATTCTATGTTTGGGATGAAATGGTTTAATAAAAGGGTGTAGATTTATCGGGTTTAGGTTGTGATTGGATATCTATGCCGATTTAGTCTAGGATGATATGGTATTCGACTTTGGCTTTGATATCGCCTCAATGTGGAATTTTGTTTTTGCTTTGTCTGTTCTTGTATTGAGTTGTAATTCGACAAGATAGACAAGAGGAGAATTCATGCTCGACATAAAAGTCCATTGGTGTTTCAGTTAATCTCACGATTACATTTGGATCAGTTTTGGTTTGTTTAAGTTTGTCTTCCATCTTTGTATCAGTTTGCATATGTTTAAGTTTGTTTATAGATTGACACGTTCATTAACTCTGCTTGTTTTGTTTAAGAAATAAGTTCTGAGCATTGGTACTTTATGGTTCCGGTTGTAAGCTAACCTGAACGTTGGTATTAGTTTGTCAAGTTCTTTATATTTGTTTGTTTTCTTTATAGTTGAACTTCATTAACTGTGATTGTCTTATCCATGTCTTGTTTGTGTAGTTGTAGTTCATTAACTGTTGTTTGTATAGGTTCTGTTTGCTAACTCTTATTTATTGTCGCCTTTGTTATATGCACGACGAGTGAATGTTGCGGAATGACAGGAAGAGGAGAGAAGAAGCACATCTGCATAAAGCTATCCATCTTCACTATCCTGAAAAGGTAAGGTACAATCACTTACTAGGTAGTTGTATTAAATGGGTTTAGGTAGTGTTAGATAATAAATGGAATAAGGGATTAGTTAATGTAGAAGGTAGATATCTGTCTAGTCAAGTCTAAACCCTTGTGATGAATGCTTCTTGTATATGGTTGTGTTTAAGGTAGGCGTAGAATGATGAATGCTTCTTGTTTGTGGTTCTTCATGCTTTTATAAATTCTTCTCTTTTTCGCATTTCTTTCATCTTAGTCAAATTGTCTTCAAAGCTCACAACCTGTTCTCTCTTTCTATTCTCTCTTTATGTTCTCTCGTTCTCATCACTTTCTATTCATGCACCAGATGTGCATCACAAATTAAAAGCTGATTTGATTGAACATATCTGGCAAAAATTTGGTTAAGCTCAAAAATCAATCACAAGTTTAATGTATAATATTTTATGTTCTATTTGTTGTAATGTTTTAGTATTTCTTCTAATGTTGTAATGTAAAATAAAAACTGAAGTTTAATATAAAATTTATGTTTTTATATCAAATTGAAGTTTAATAAGAAATATAATGTAAACTTTATTTAAAACAGAAGTTTAAAGTAAAATAAAAACTAGATTTTTTTAAAAAGATTTTTAAGAAACCATTAGGATTTCTCCCATTGGATCATACAAAAATACAAAGTCTCTCTCTTAGGTTTCTACTATTAAACCTGACATTTTATTAATAAAAAAAGGGATAGAGACTCTAAATGGTCTCTCCCATTGCACATGCTCTTAGTATACAAGAAAGGAGATAGCTATCTACAAGGATATGGTAGAATATTCCTAGGATAATTAAATAACAGTCGAGATACAACATATAACAACAGAGATCTGTACATATCTCCTATATTAGATTCCAGCCCATATTTTTTTTAAAGCCAATTTTTCTTTTGTTAAGGTTGCTCTGATTCACAAAGTCAAAGTCTAGTTAGGGTTTTATCTCTCCTTCATATATAACACACGGTCTTACACGCTATCCAATCTCTAAGTCTAGCTAGTTTCAGACTTTTGTTTTGTTTTTGGAGCTATGAAAGCTGCTAAATTGGGAACTGAAGATGTTACATTCTCGGATAGGATCAGTAAATTACCTGACGATTTGCTCTTACAAATCCTCTCATTGGTCCCAATAAGCGATGCAATGAAGACAAGCTTACTGTCTAAACGATGGAGATCTTTGTGGAAGATGATGCCAGTGCTTAAGTACGATGAAAACACTTGTCCCAACACTGGTTCCCTTGGATTTGTCGACGTTTGCACCAGGTCATTGCAATTACATGAAACTCCTCTTCTCAAAAGCCTAAAACTCGAACAAAAGAGACACTCTAATTCTTGTCTGAAATGGCCAATTTTCCAAAATAACAGTAGAGTCTTGCAGAATCTGGTCGTCCTAAAGCTCTACACGACTAATCTTGATTTTGCTGATTCAGGTGAATCACTACCGGTTTGTTTCCGGTCCCTGAAAAGTTTGCACCTCTTTCGTGTGACGTTAAAGGACACAAAATCTTTCTGCAGACTATTATCGGCTTGTCCTGTTCTTGAAGATCTCTTCTTCTTCATCGTAAGTCTGAGAAGTACCAACACCCGTAATTTGTTCACAATATCAGTCCCTTCTCTACAGAGACTGGAGATATATAGTTCTTATTTGACTACCTTTGACTCGAGATTCGAGAGAAATGCTCCTTCTTTGAAGTACTTAGTGGTCAAAGATTTCACTAGCCGTTTCAAGTTTACTGAGGGTATGCCTAAATTGGTGAATGCTAATTGGTGGACGCAAAAGTTACCGTTCATGAGTCAAAAACAGGGAAGCTAATGAAATTTCTTACTTCACTTGAGCATCTTTCCATAGGTTTATACCCTTCAATGGTAACAAACGCTTGTAACTTTCTTTCCACGCAATCTCGGTTTTGTTTCTTTGAACATAGCATATGATTTTGTTTCTCGCTCGTAGGCTTCACATCTTACAGGTACATCAATCTCCAACCGGCTTCTTCATCTGGAACTAAATATTTACAGCGACATTCATCTGAATCTGCTTGTGCGTTTACTTCGAGATGCTCCCAAGTTACGAGCTCTCAAGCTCAACCACGTTAATTCACAATTTTCTCTTTGTCCTCATCAGACTGTTGTTCAGTCCAAAAGTAGATCGGTCTAGTAATCTGTATCCAGAGCTTTAATCACTCTTATGTTTCTCAGAAAAGCTGGCTTCATACCGGAGATACCGAGGACCAACCGAGCTCTGTTCCTGAATGCTTGAGCTTCCATCTCGAAACTCTTCAATGGATTGGGTATGAAAGAACACTAGAAGAGAGAGAATCAGCGGTTTACATTCTGAAAAACGCTCATCGTTTAAAGACTGCTACGTTCTCTCTACGTTCATCGACCACAGACCATCGTATGCTGATGATAAAGGATTTGAGATCTATGACTAAAGCTTCAGCGTCATGTCAGCTTGTAATTAAATTTTAGATCTTTTTCCAAGAAATACATTTTGGATTTGAAACTTTTAAGATGTGCCTTTTAACAAAGAAAAAAATCCTTGAAGATGAATCTGAATTTTTTATTAGAATGGGCTTACTTCTCTCGGTTAGTGTCAGCATTTTAAATTGTATAAAAGTTCTGAAACAGATGAATTTCTTCCGATCACATGAATCTTAAGAAAAATATCATAAGCTATTATCGGTTTTTAGCTTCTTATATCATTTTTTCTCCAAATCTTATGGCCAAGAAGGAGAAAGAACAACCATTTTATCTTTCCTCCTCAAAACCCTTTGGATTCTATTTATGATCAACCGAGTTCTGTAACTTCTGTTCCTGAATGTTTGACCTTCCCTCTTGAAACTCTTCAATGATTATGCTATCCAGGAACACCGGAAAAGCAAGAAAACGCTGTTTAAAGATCATGTTTTTTTTTATGGGATTAACTATGAATGTGGTGAACCAGAGTCTGCGAGTAAAACAAAGGGAAATCTCTGATGGCCAGGGAAAAAAGAGTATTTAATTTTAATATATGTGCTTGAAGATATATACATTATTAGTAAACGTACCTTGCTATTCAAGTCTTATTAGTATTAGGTTTATACAGAGAAACAGAGGATGTTAAATTCCTCTGTGTTTTATTTATAAATATTAAATTAATAGATATATAGATAAATATATTAAGTAAAGTTTACTTTCAAAATTTAATGTAAATGTAGTTTTTTTTTTAAAAAGGAAACCAATTTTTTTTGTTTCTATTTTTCCCTCTTCGGAAAGATTTTGTTACAGTCAGTCAGTAACAAGCGACTACTAGAATTCCGAAAGATATAAAAAATCGTTCTCGTAATTACTTCGTGATTATCAGCACAAGTTTGTGAAATCGAGAAAAAGGATATATCTGCCAAGTTATGGGCATCAATGAGTTGCCTGATGATTTACTCTTGCGGATTCTGTCTTTGGTTCAGACAAAAACTGTCTTCGACGCTCAGGTTTTGTCTAAGAGATGGCGAAATCTCTGGAGACAGTCAACAAGTCTCTTCAATGATTATACCTCTCACAAATCTGAATCCAAGTTTTTAGAATTCATCGATAGAACAATGGAATTACTAGAGTCTCCGGTTTTAGAGAGGTTTTATCTCAGAATTGCTCCAACAGATACTAGTTCTTCTAGTGTTGTTCTCAGGCGAGATCTACTAGCCAAGCGACCCGTGCGTGAGCTAGATTTAATAAGCAATAACCCTAATCGGACACAAATAACAAAGGCTATCTATCAGTTTCAAACGCTTGTGATCTTGAGACTCGAAAGCTTTAGTCTTGAAGATCATTATGGTAACCTGGTTTCATTACAATCCCTCAAAGTCTTGCAGCTTTGCCGTGTGAAATACTCAAGCGACGAGTCTCTCTCTGATCTTTTATCTAATTTACCAAGTCTCGAAGAACTGATTTTGGATCGATGTTTGAGTGTTAAACCCGCTGCAACTCTATCTATCGCGGTGCCTTGTTTGCGAAGATTGACAGTTGTTAGATGTCCTGATACTTGTCGAAACGATCTTATGATGTTGAAGGTTAATGCACCTTCTTTGAAATACTTAAACGTTGAAGATTATTGGAGAAACGTTTCTTTTGGTGGTGTGAAGATGGAAGAGCTCGTAGAAGCAGATGTTAATGCTACTTTTATCGATACCGAGAAGCTTCTGAGAACTATTATATCCGTTAAACGGCTTTCGCTATGTTTAGTCCCTTCAAAGGTAATGATCATTTTAATCGATTCTTTGTTTAACACATTCATGTGATTTTGATTCTCTGTTTGGTCATTTTGTAGATTCCGCAGATTAATGACTTCTTTGATCAACTTGTTCGTTTGGAGATATGTACATGCCAACAAGAATGGTGGGATATTCTTGAGAGAGTCTTGTTAGATTCACCTAAACTACGCGTTCTCAAGCTTCATCAGAAACATTCTTTTGGGATTTCAGATCCCACGGTTAGATGGAAAGAACCGAGTTCTGTTCCTGAATGTTTTGCTTATCATCTTGAAACATTCGAGTGGAGAGGTTATGAAGGAACCGAAGAGGAGAAAAAATTAGCCAGTTACATCCTAAAAAATGCTAGGAGATTGAAGATTGCAACGTTCTATCCACTGATCTCACACCCTGATAACAGGATGCACCAGATTCTCAGAAAAGAGTTGGAGAATATATCTCGGTATTTATTCACTTGTGATCTTGTTTTCAAGTGAGCAAATTGTGTAAATATATAGAAGAAATATTAGTTATACATTCTCTTTCCTTAGATTTTATTCGAGGATTTTTTTTTTCTCTCTCTCTTAGTTTGAGGATTCCTCAAAATCAAGTAAGATATATGTATATATCGAATTCGAGGTGAGTTATTTAACTTGGCAAAATTTGAACACAATAACTCCATAAAGTGAGACAGAAAAATCATCTGAGAACAATTTTCAGCATCAATGACTCATAATATGAGGCATAAACAATAATTGTTTCTACAGTATAACCAGTAAAAAAAATTTCCTATAACCTAGACCTAGATTATATGTGTGTGGATATCTGCATACGTTGGGTTTAGGAATAATTTTGGTTCTCTTATGATAGCTCAACTTATGATTTTGAAATTCTCAATATTATCAATAGTTTGATATCTATTATATTAAAACGGAACACTCCTAATTTTTTTAAGTGTTTTAAAATAATTTTAATAATTATTTATATTTAATTTTGAAAATTAGTTATCAATTGAAATATTTTTAGAGTTCCTTAAATATAGGTAATTTAGATTTGATTTGATTTGATTAAAAATAATAAATCAGATATTAATTTAGATTTGATTTAAAGATTCTAATTTAAATAATTTCTATACTATTAAACATTTTTATCAAAAATATCTAGAATTTTAAAAAAAAAATATTCACATATGAAAAATAATGGTCATATTTGAAATATAAAATATTTATAATGATGTAAATGATATGATATTTATGTTGTTTATATAATATATTTATGATTATGATTTATTTACAAATTAATAATAAAATAATAGGTAAAATTCAAATGTATAATTGAAATATTAAAAATATATTTTTAAAAATTCATAGAACTAAAAATATATATAAAAAACCGGGTTAAAAATATTTTGGTAACTAATATCACTAATTTTGAGTTATACATGTATATCGAAAATATATTTTTCATACAAAATCAAAACATAAAAATTAAAAATTATTGCATACACTATAATGTGGTTTGAAAAACCAGTTATACACTCTTTTCGTTGAAAAAAGTTTAGAAAACTATAATGCTAAATAATATTGTTAATACATCTCAAACTTTTAACAAATATTTATATTATACGGTAATATGAACGGAAAAATTAGAGTTATGTTTTAATAATAGTTCATTTTGAATTAATATTAGCGGATATGTTAAAATTATATTTTATAATCATAATTAATTTTAATACTATAAAAATATATCTAAACACAAAAATCAATATTTTCACTTATTAAAAATATATTTATAAAAATAGTTATATCTAAACTCAAAAACACAAATTATATTACAAAATTTGTTAAACAATAAAAAATATTTCCGTGCGGATGGACGAGGTTAAAATCTAGTTATTCTTAATTACGGTACAGTTTTAGATTTATCAGAAGCAAAATCATTTTACAACCCATAAACCCTAAATAAATCCGATTCAAATCAGAACAAATCTTAACCAACTAACATTAAATATTTTCAAGTACAATATCCTTATTTTTCTCTTAGTATTTCTTAAGCTTTTATCCGTTTCCTAAGACATTTGGGATATCTTTTTCCTTTTCCTTCGCGATCTTGTGAAAAATTAGGGCTATAAATATAGAATATCTCCTCTATACCAATTTGTCTAGTATATGCGCAGTGGTTTAAGGTTTGCTCAGAAATTTGATCCTATCAGGTACACTATTGATTTCAGATTTGATGTTTCTGTAATTTCTCTGTGTGTTTTTCATGGTGGGTTATATATCAATTTGCGGGTATTTATTTGACTAAGTTTTTCAATATCTAATCTTCGTGTTCTTGCTGATTCTCAACTCGATATGTTTTAACCACTAGTTTCAAATATATACCTGTGGGAATGATTTACATATTCTATATGTCTATCCGCTGACATGCCTTGAAATTTAAGTTTCTTATAAGCAAACAGAGAACTTGATCTTGTTTGGAACCAGTACCGTAATGTCTGTTTAATGATATATGATTTAAGTCTTTATGTTTTAGGGATTATGCGTGTTTATTCTTTCCTTGAGAATATATTTTTTCTTTGCCCAATACTTTTTGATACATGGAATAATAATCATATTTTTTATTCAGGGCTAATGACAATGCTTGGTGTTCCTGTGTTTGATGGGAATCATTATGAGTATTGGAGCGTCAAAATGAAAACGTGTTTGAAGACTATGGATCTATGGGATGTCGTGGAGACAGGAGTTGAGCAAGAACCGCAGGGGCAAATTTCATCGAGATGTCATGAATTTGAAGGAGAAAGTTATGCATCATCTTCATATTCATCCGCTGAGTACCATTCCGCATGTTGGAAACAATTTATGGAAATAAAAGACGCAAGAGCACTTCAAATCATCCAAAACGGATTAACCGAAGAGATTTTGCCGTGGATAGCTTCTGCTACGTCATCAAAGGAAGCATGGGAACTTTTGTTGGTGAAATCAATAGGTGGTCCTATGTTTCAAGCTAAAAAGCTTATTGATCTCAAGAAAGAGTATGAGAATATGAAAATGAGTGACACGGAAACAGTTCATGGGTTTACAGGGAAACTAATGGAACTTGTGTTTCGTATGAAGTTTTGTGGATGGGAGGTCGAAGATAAAGAAGTGGTGAAGAAGATTATTTCCTCTTTGCCTCCAAGATTTGATCAAGTGTTGGTCAAAGTTGTGGAAAGACTTTCTATCTGTGAGCTTATCGACTACTTGCTAGTTAATGAATACAAAACGAAACCCGTTCAAGAATCTTTGGAAGAATCGGTCATTACTGAAAGTGTTGTTGGTGTGGAAGAAAGTCTCCAGCAAGAACATGAAAGCTTAAACTCTTTAAGAGAAAGGGTAAACTCTTCGATGGAAAGGGTAGACTCTTCGATAGAAAGAGTAAACACTTCGATAGAAAGGGTAAGCACTTCGATAGAAAGGGTAAGCATTTTGATAAAAAGGGTAGACTCTTCGATAGAAAGGGTAAACTCTATGAGAGAAATATTAAACTCTTCGGATGAGGTCATTCCAGTCCGAGTGGCGGCATTGAAGGCGCTATATAGACGAGAGTTGTTTGGGTTTGGTATCGCTTGGCTATTAACACTATGTTGGGCGCTTTGTGTGGCTAAGATCTTGCCAAGTGATGACTACTGATGCATGCTTTTTTATCTTTGTTTAGTTTTGGGTTTATTAATTTTCCTTATTAACTTGATTACAGTTTGATATTTAAAGGCTTTTTTTACGATCATTTTTCATTTTTTTTTTTAAATTACTATCCTTGTTGATTGGATCGGATGTGGAAACAAAAAAACTATAGCAAATCAGAATAAAACATAATATCGCCATAAGGCAAACAAACAATTTTACAAACCCTAAAACCTAAATAAAATCTAATTCGAATAAGAATAAAATCTTAACTAACTTAACATTTGATTTTATAGAATAACAGCGTCTCGCTTTTAGTAATTTTTGTTTTTTACATTTCTCGCTTTCAATATTATCTATTAAAAAAAGACCTTGTTTTTCTTAACTTCTTTTTTTTCGTCTCCTAATAGAAATTTTGTGACCTTTTTCCTTTTCCTGACTTCGCGGTCTAGTGCAAAAATTAGGGTTATATATATATAGAATCTCTCCTCTTGGGTGTTCTATAAAGTTTAGTACAATCAGGTACACTATTGAATTCCTTCTAAAAACACGATTTTCCCCTTTTGATTAATTTATAAATTTACAGTTGTATCACTTTTTCGATTGATTATTATCTACCGAAATCGTTGTTTGAATTGATTCCCTTGTTATAACCACAGAAAACTGTGATTTAATATATATATATATCTGTATTTGTCGATATATTTGTTAACGTGCTTTGCAAATCAAGTTTCTTGTAAAGAAACAGAGAACTAGCTCTGTTTTAGAACCTGTACAATAATGTTTTTGAAGTTCTATTGAGTGAGATGCCTTGCGATTTAAGTCTCTCTTATGTTTTAGGGTTTCCGCTTGTTTTTTTTGTTTTTAAAAAAAAAATATTTTCTACCTGGTTCCTCTGGCATATTCAATTCAGATTTTCGCTCGAACAAGAAATATAAGCTTCTCTCAATTTTCAGTTTTCTGGAGAAAATCGGTCCTTAAATCTTCCCCTTTTTTTTACCAACGTGATCGTTTTGGGAAACACATGGAGATCTTTTGTTGAATCTTGAAGCTATTGTTGAGATCTGGATATCAATATTCTTGCTAATATAGTTACGGTTTTTTCTGTGTAGATATTTTTCTTTGCCCATATAAGCCGTAATAGTTTTGACTGATGGAAAAACAAAAACCCACTTTTTTGTTATTCAGGGTTGCAAGAGTTACTTCAAAGCTCAAGGGCTTATGCCGATGGTTTTTGTTCCTGTGTTTGATGGGAATCATTATGAGTGCTGGAGTTTAAAAATGAAAACGTTTTTGAAGACTATCGATCTATGGGATGTCGTGGAGACAGGAATTCAGAAAGAATCGATCACGCATGAGACTTCATCGACATATCATGATTTCGACGGAGCAGCTGATTACTATTCAGCGTGGTGGAAGCAATTGATGGAAACGAAGGACGTGAACGCGCTTTATTTAATCCAAACTGCACTAAGCCATGAGATTCTTCCATGGATAGCTTCTGCTACATCATCAAAAGAAGCATGGGATATTTTGTTAGTGAGATCACTAGGTGGTCCTAAATTTCTAGAAAGGAAACTAATCGATCTCGAGAAAGAGTATGAGGATATGAAAATGAAGGATTCCGAAACGATTCGTGAATTCACTGGGAAACTAATGGACCTTGTGTTTCGTATGAAGTCTTGTGGGTGGAAGGTTGAAGATAAAGAAGTTGTGAAGAAGATTCTTTCCTCTTTGCCTCCAAGATTTGATCAAGTTTTGGTGGAAGTTGCAGAAAGACTTTCTATTAGTGTCCTCATCGATTGCTTGCTAGTTCATGAATACAACTATATGAG